GGAGAATGTATCTTCGCGAAAAGGAGCCCCAAGCGAGAAGTCCTGTGGATCTTCTGCGTAGGAATTCTCTTAGAATTCGGTGGGATCCTACTTTCTCACGGGGGAACATGATACGCAATGATTCGAATTTTATACGACGACTCAGCACGAACGAACCGAAATCCGGACTCGATGTGCCTCTCCCGGATAGATACCGGCGATATTGAGTTCACTGAGCACACTTTATCTCATTAGTGTCCAGATGTTCGCTGGATATTCCTCCTCTGATGGAAGAGAATCAAAATCGAGATAGCGACATTGGCGATCGCCTCCATATGCGTACGTTTCGGCGAAGCTCGATGCATCGCTGAGCTCGTAGCACATATATCATACAACACGTTTGCCATTCAATGCAGAATCTACGACCGTGCTCTCGCTGACGGTTGACATCGGTTGACATCTGGCTTCGATTCTGACATCCGACAGCGCCGACGCGCCGCAGGCCCTGCGAAAAGCATCCGGGATGTATTTCCCGTATAATACCAGTCGTCTACTCTGGGTGGTCATTGTCATTTCCGGGAATCCGAGAATCGTCTGATATCCGCCGCAGTCCGGAATGTGAAATGTAGACAGATGTATTGTACAGGAATACGAGCCACCGGGTGGGGAGTCGAGCCGCTAGGCTCCGAATCGTCGGAATCATGAACGGGCATGTCCCGAGAGTAGGTATGACGGGGTAGTATCGACGAATATTCTTCTCGAGTGGTTCGTTAGCGAATTCGCGCCGGAATGAGAAACTTCCATCTTCGAACTGGACTTCACACTGGGGAATCGGGAGACGATTTCCTGTCCTACAGTTGGGCGTGTTGCCACGATAAATCCTGGGAAGCTCGGCAATCATTGGCGCCATTGGTTCTTAATTTCATCACCGAAGTCAGTAATTCATTTCGCATCGAGACCAGCGACGCACTCAAGCGGTCTCTCAGCCTCACCGAGGAAATAGTCCATTGGCGGCGGAACTTGTGTCAGGCGTGTACTTTAACAAAATCTCCATATCGCTCCGCAACTCGGAACTCTCAAAGTCGGCGTCTAGAGAAATTCCAGATGGTATTTCCCAGACGTTCGAGCAGCGAAGCCTCGCCCGCGCCGGGTATGGAGAATTCCGAGGGCTACTGTTGAGTTGGCTTCCCATGAGTCCGCCGCTCCCCGCCGCGGCGCCGGTCGCGCATGCACAGATGGTGATCGAGATGGCGACGAAGCAAGCCGGACGAAAAATATATATCAAGAGACGGAAATCGATCACCGGCTGATTTTCGACGGCGAGAAGCGTCCGCGTCCTGTCTTATCGTAGTAGCGACTCACAAGAGCTGCCTATGAGCTGGGCGCTCGCCGAGGCTCAATTTGGAGCACGGCCTTCATACCCGGAGCTCCTCTGAAAATCACTGCACGGGGGACCGTGGTCTTTCGGGATCTGATCGAAATCTTAGAGCTCCAGCATCGCGAGTGCCCTGAAGCCTCGCTTTCGAAAAAAAAGCTAGCTGGATCGTGGGGGAACCGGTCTCACATGCGCAGACACTTTTATGTCTCAGCTGCATCACACGTCTATCCGGCGAACCGTGATCGCCCGTTGCTCCCGGCTCCTTCGTCGCGATGACTCATAAATGCATAGTGCTGCTCAGCATGATCGCTCAATCGAGGGATAAGCGTCTCTGTACCTCTGCGTCCTATCATCGTGCTTATCAAGCTTCCCAGCAACTCTCTAGCGGCCGGCGGACCTCGAGCAGTGTTCCTCGTGCGTAATTTCCCGACATTGACCGTCGAGAGCCTTCCGCTGGTCTCTATTCGCGGAAAAGTCTAGACTTTCGATACTCCTCCGAGCGGCGACGGCCTGATCATGGAACGATTGAACGCAAATGTGCTCCCGCCGAAAAACGTGGGACGCGGGCTCTATGGGGCACAACGACGACTGCGATCTATCGCAACTGAACTGAACGGAGAACGTTGCCGGAGATGAAATCGTCGGGATCGCACAGAGGTACCCACCGGCCTTCCAGCCGCACTCCTCAGCGCTTGAGGCTCTAACCTGCATTGTTTTAACAACTCGGCGCGTCACTTCTCCTCACATGCCCGAATTGCTTTACGTGGAATGTTCGGCAGAATACCGGATGGAGGGCTGAGCTGCAGCCTCTTCAGCGCCTCGTTCGACAATATTCCACGTAGAGCTCTGAGGAAATCATTCTTCGCCTAATCTCTGCGCGACAGTCGTCGTTCCGCAGGTTTGAGAATATATTCAGCCATAGATAAGACGAATTCCGGGCGTCCCGGTCCTCCGGACGACATATGCGGGCGGCGAAGAACGACGCCGACGAAACACAAGATGAGTGAATCTCTCTGTAAATCATTCTCGACAGGCTGTTGTTCATCGCTTTGAACTGGCGGGTGCCTCACGCGTGAACGTTCTGGAGTTCACCTGATCTTGCTTGGCGAGTATCTCGGACACCGCTATCCGCGAACCTTTGTTTTTTTTTCTTTTTCCAACCCGCATCCGCTGAGCCGCCACAGACACGGCGGGCTCGGGAAAAAAAATCACGAGCCCCCAGCGAATCGCTGGGAGGACACTGTGTCTCGGAACATATGCATCACGTACGGTCTCTCGAGTCTTAGCTCATGGAATCGCAGGGAAGCTCTACCGCTCGGTCGGACTGGCGGGCATGAAACCTAGTCAGCTCACCCACGCATCACCGGGAATCGGGACGAGACTCTGGTGACTTCCAAGGAACCCTTTTAGTGCGGCACCCTATAGAATCCACGGATTGGATTTCCGAAGATTCACTCAGGATTGTGATCTGAGCTGTCTCAAGAGCTACTTTTGTTTGTCCCAAGTTTCCCCATGGTCCCTACGAGCAGTTCTTCCGGGGATAGAAGCTTCTTCAAACAATGGCCCGATCCGTGTGGCACGCGGAGAAATGCGGCGGCTGTCTCACCCTTCGCGGTTGAGTGCTCGAGTGAGTCGATAGCTGTCGATGCGCGTCTTCTGCGTTTCTGGGAATTCTCCGATCTCAATACATCACTCAGAGATTCGTATCGAGAGACCCCATCGCAGCACATCCTGAGTTCGGAGTTTAGAAAATGACGATTGCGCTCTCTATGAGCTTGATCCCCCATCAATCATTCGGGACGGTCTGTGGGGGAAGGTCCCCATCGCAAACCGAAAAGAGAGTTCGAAATCATGTCGGGCCGGATCGAAAACGATCCGGGGATTAGGGGGCCCTCCATGTTCAGAGCGGGATGCGGAGGACTCCCCTTCCCTTTGTTTAGAATCAGATGTCCCCGGCTGTGTTGCTGGCCGCAGCGGTCGATGGCCATCTGCAAGAATCAGAATTCGGTGAAGCTCAAACGGGAACGTGAGCGGACCATTCAATTACCGTCACGGAAGCGCGGCCGGCTCGCTGCTCAGCATGGAACATCCAGGAACTCCTCCTTCGGGACTGTGAGCCCTTGTCCGCCCTTCCAGTCTCGCGTCTCCTCTTCACTAAGAGACTTGCTCGGAAAACTGTCTGACATGAGAGTACCACTCTATAGTTCGTTTCCCACGGCGGACGTCGCGTTTCCCCTCGGAATCATTATACGGAGTAATAGATATGTCGCCACAACCAGATATTTCGACATCGGCGTCATTTTGGAACCTCAACGCGAAATTGTGACGGGAAGTATCGTGGGAAATTGCCGCGTCGTTAGCGATTTCCGCTGACCAATGGAATTCGTCTCTTTTCAAAAACCACAGTTTGTTCAGCGATCGCAGATCGGAGTGTCTCTTTCCGCGACAGAGCTCCCAAAGCGTCTCTGTAACGGTGCAATGTCCAAGAAGCTGAACACGCGTCAGAGGAAACCTAAATGCTTCGCAGGCTCCCTGATGATTTGTTTCGAGGTAAGCTTCACAAATCTAGATTTTCCTGCGTCGAGCCTTTCGGCCGAGCTTCTACGTTCGGGCTCTGACCGGAAAGAAACCGTCCCCGGATCGAGCTCGCTGTGAGGAGTCGTCGACAGAGCGGCTGTCCCTCTCACGGGAAGCCGACGGGGATTCCGATCCACGAGTTCGCCTCCGTCTTCAACAGTATGCGTGCCGTGATGCGGATTGACTCGACGTACCACACGTAGACTATTCCATCCCTCGAGCTTTGCATACGGCAATCATGAGGAAAATGATAAACTTATGCATCGGAACGTGTCGCAAGTAAATTCTTGCGACATACCAAGCTCAAAAGACATATCAGGCTCCGTGTAGTTCCACACGACATGCCACTTTCGGTTAGCCGATCTTCGAGGTCCGACCGGGAACGCTTAGGGAATGGCCGGTCGTACAAGACTGAACAGCACTCGGTGGTTAGGGATTCCCCTTGGCGAGAATCGCAGGACCGGTCGAGCGGATAGGTCGCTGCCGCTGATAGGCTCTGGAGATATTTCGGATTCCCTGACCGGAGTACATCTTTCGAGAGCCATTCCGATTTGAAGGGCACCTTTGACTCACATCCATATTGAGAGCCCTCTCATCGCGTGTTCTTCAGCAACAAGTAAACGGCCAGATCCCGCTCTGTGGGAAATCGTTCCCAAGTCGAAGAAAAATGAGAACCGATGCGAGCCCACTTTCGGAGCATCTCGACACTCGGGCTCAGTTTGAAGAGGCTTTTTCTGGATCAGAAGTTCTTCCGGGGAAAGCTCGGTGATGGATCACGGATGCTCCGGGAAAAAGCCTGCTGCGCATCGAGCCGCACAACTTTCCATTGAACTCTAAAATCTATCGAGAAGAATCGAGACCCAGTTTCGGGTTGCAGAGTATTTCCGGACCTCAGCCTCTGTGGAATTTCCCAACGTCAGACTCCTCTCGAAGCTTCGATATTCGGACGATCACGCGGAAGTTGTCGCGATCCTTATGAAAATCGAGGAGCTGTGAATGAAACGGAATGGGGTCACGAAGAGGAGACCGGTGGGATCATCGATGACGCTCAATTTCTCTTTTGCAGCGAACGGGTCATCCACTGCAAACACTTGTTTCTCGCCGCAACGGATGCTTGGTCGGGCTGATAGCTCTTTGTTCTACGCTCATAATCCTCGTTCAAGTCGTTTCTTATAATGACAAAGGATCTCTCTATCAAACAATCGTCAAAGGCGATTCCGCTCTGCAGGGATTGCTTCAACAGGGTGAGTCTCCGTGTGTAATTTCCGAATTCTCGCTCGCGCTCTCATAGGTCGCATACCCCAAACGGCGGAATGTGTCCGAGACTGAGACCTTTGAGGAACAGAAGATATTCAAAACACTCTCGAGGAGCATGGGAGTCACATGATCAGCAGAATTCACGCCCTGTGCTTTCTGTGACAGGAGCATTGAATCAGCACGTTCGCACAAGCCAAATGAGTGGAGGTCGTATGGAGCACCACAGCTTGGAACATAATCGGGTTTGGAATTATGAGAGCCCGACCCTCAATCAGATACCTGGGGCGATTGGAACATCCTCCGATCGTTCCTCCCCGAGTTTCGCCGTCGCTCTTGCATACTACCGATTTCAGCTGATCGGTGTATCCATGATAATCATCTCGCGCCAGCCTCGCGCCTTGCCTTGCGTGTTCGGCAGGGACCTGATTTCGGCAGCTAGCAAATTAAGCTGGTCCTTGTTCCCCGACCTTGTTCTCGATCCGCCGACCTACAGTTGTTCTCTGGACATGGACGTGGAACCATTATGTCTCTCGAAATGAGTGAGCTTGGGCTGAGATGTCCAGGCCATAAAAAATCATTAATCGGACAAGGGAACTGCGGCTGTACACCGATTAATTAGGTAAGCCGCGGGGCTCCTCCGCTCGACTCACGAAACTCTAGTTCGGAGAAGTCCACCGCTACATGTACCGCGCCTATGGTCCCTGACACATCCTCAGATTGAGAGGAGACACGAGAGGCTTCATGTTTCCGACTCCCCGCTCTGATTCTTGTTCTGTAGGGGAAGAGACCCCTTTCTTTCTGGAGTGTGGGAAGGTCCTGCGTGTACACTCACCTGCTGTTCTGTTGCCAGCAGAGACGAGCTGTCGTCTTCGAGCTGAAAAGATATCCCTCACAAGACAGCACTATACCCAACTTGCTCTTATCAATACCGTCTCCGCTCGATCCCCGCAGGGCAGGAGAATCAGAAACCTTATGTATCAGACCCCTGGGGATGGGCGATCCTTTGTCTCAATTCAATTACGGAAAAATAATCTTCTTTGCCCCAACATTCGTGAGAGCATGATTTGAATGAGCCAACCTCGAGAAGCCTATGAATTGTCTCAAGGATCGGTCTGACGAAGCGACACCGAAACTGAGGGCTATTGCGGAAGAGTCGTCCGGATGCTTGCCCAATCACCTCTCCGCTGAGCGAGGGAACAGAGACGAGAAGGCACTGATAGGGTCACTAAGGAAAACGGGCATTTCGATTGATGTGTGGGGCCGATGTTTGTATGGATTATCGAAAAAAATATTATATATATCTGGGGAGCTCAAGTCGAGTTTTCGGAGCAAATATGACGCGAAGGAAAAATCATGAAAGAAGTGCGAAAATGGCGGCACCCATAAGAGTCACTCATTCGCAGGTGAGCTTCTCGCATCAAACAAAGACGTATTACAAGGCTCGACGGCGAAAAACGCTCAGGTGGCCATAGCCAATATCGAAAACGGCGTCGATACCTCTCTGAGATCTCAACTCAATGCGAACGTTGTCGGCGGTAAAATTCCCGTGTTGCCTCTGATGCAGGTAAATGCCGCTGAATTCCGGTGGAAATTCCTAGTTGCACACCCTCCTTCCATGCCATCCGATCCAATCTGATTTTCCAGAACGCTGACCGCCTTGCTCAAGCCATGCTGAAACTGTACAAAGTCGTTCCCCAATCGGAAGTGAAACGATTGATCATCGTTTCGTATTTTCGTTCCGGTAGCACTTTCCTCGGGGACATCCTACAGTCGCCGCTTAAGACGTTCTATCATTTCGAACCTTTCCATATCACACGCACGACCCGACTCCGCTTTAGTGAGTATCAACTCCTCCGTATCATATGATTCTGATAGCTCTCTTTCGCAACTATCCTTAAACCGGGATTGCGTATAAACGATTAAGAACCGTACTCACCTCAGATGACATAAGCGAGCTGGAGTGCGCCAAGTTATTTTATGGACTACTCAAATGCGACTTCGAGCATCTACCGGAGTACATGACGTGGGTTTCTCAGCACCGGAATCAATTCTTGTTCCGTCACAACCAGTTCCTTTGGCGACATTGCGCTTTGAAGAACAACATCTGCTTCAACGCTACCTACGTCGAGGGGATGTGTCGCCGGAGTCCCTTACAGGTGAGTTTCCGAAATTATAGCGAAACGGAGTGATCGCTTCAATGTCTGAAGTCCGAGGATGATCCGGATCGAGGAGGTAGCGCCCTGCAGTTCGTTCGGAGGCTCCACTGATAAGTGATGACAAATTCCATCTGAGTGGATCTCAAGCTCCGTTCAGTTTCAAAATCGTGATATCAGCCTCGAAACGCTCTCGAGTCTTCCGTCGGCGAGGGCCCTCCGTTGGCGACGAGGGACCGGAAATCATGTCGGTCCGCTCAATATTATCTCCACGTCGTCGAGGGGATTCTCTCTGCACGCGCGTCCCGACGCAAGTGATGCCATGATATCCATATTTCAGTCGGAGCCTTTCTCGAACGTCCCGATATCATATGTAGCTCAATATATTCAGCAGAGGAGAGGGAGATGAAGTTCTGAGCCATTGAAAAGGAAGCTAACGGATATCATATTCCCCACAGGTGGTCAAGTTCGTTCGCTTCCCTCTGCGATACGCTGTCAAGTTCGTGACGGAGGAGCCCGCGTTCTCTAAGAATACGGCCATCGTGCATCTCATACGAGACCCAAGAGCCATTCTGGCATCAAGGTAGTTCTCCTTCGACGTTTCCCGAAGCTCTGTCGTTAGATAACGAATCGAGCATCCCCGTTGCTAAGTTAGTCTTCACGTCCGGAGCTCGGGGCTCATTATCTCCCCTTGTTGCCTGCTGCTCTTGTCATGGAGATTTGTCGTAAATGTAAGCAACAGATCTCATCGGAATTCTCGCTCGTCTTCGCTTGATTCCATCTTGGACTATTGAGCAAAAGATCTATTGAGAGCCTGTATCGAAAAGGCAGATGCCTGAGATTTCCTATCACATACGAACCCCCACGATCAGACGAGCAGCGAAAGAGGAAGCTGCGGGAGTGGTGGGAATATTCGTGCGAGTCCCAGAGCCAATTTGGCTCTGGTACGGGTATTGGGTTACTCTGCGCTTGATGGAAGGATCTCGGGGCAGAGCCTAGTCGCGACGACCGCTTACTGGAGACGGGTTTTATGCTATGCGCCTCGGTCCTCATCAATACGGCCTCTGCTTCATTGTCATATGCAAATCTACTAGGTAGCTGGAGTTGTAGCCCTTATTGACAAGCTAATATAATATTTGTTTACGTCAGTACCTAATGCGCGAAAGTACCGTTCGCCTATAATTCGATTTGCTACCTTCACAATGCTCTCGGAGTCAGTCCACGTTTCGTGATGGTCTGGGGACTTCTGATAAAGCTCATGGCCAGCGATTCGGGAAACTCTCCAGAGAAAAAGTTCGTGAGGGTCTTCAATATACTAGCTATGATTGTATTCTTTTCCCCAGCCGCCATTGCAGTGGCGGGAAAGAGGTCCAGCGTGAGCGCTTTTGCAACCTCGTAGATCCCGACGCACACCCAAGACCCAACACCTAACTCCTCAATTGCGGACCCTTATTCCTGCACGAAACGATTTTGCATTTTTTGGCTGATTCTCGATACTCATAGCAGAAGAATGACCCGAGGCAATGAGAAAAGAAGCGTCGCTACTGGATACGAAGCTTTGATTGTTCTCTGGTTATCGAAATAGGCTTGAAACCTTCCGGGCGGCGCACAGTGGGCCAAATGGCCGAATTAGGTGGACAAAAGTCGAGCTCGAAATTTGATACCCCACATAGCGTCGGAATCTCGTCGGGACATGGGAAGACGCGGGCAACAATCCTTTCCGACTCCGCTTCGATCAGAATGAAGTGGAGAGACAGCCAAAGTCGATGATTCGTACGAATCCAGAGGAGCTTGTTTCCGTTATTCTTCTCATTTGTGTTTTGTGGCTTCGAAAGAGTATCGACACAGATATCGGAATGGAAAAAGGAACACGCCGTGAGTTGATGTACTTCTTAAGTCCGCATTCAAGACGATTTGAGAGCGGACGATCGGTTTTTATGGTCTTAAATGAGTGTTTCTTCGAGACCTAATTTCCATAGAATCAGGAGGAAGTAGATTATTCAATACAAGACATGCCCCCCGTGACCCCTCGCTGAAATATTTTTTTTTCAAAGTTCCGGCTCTAAACTTCCCAGAAAAGTTGTTGAGAGACCGCGCTTCGTAGCGCTTCTCGAGTTCTAGCGCCCCAAACAGGGGGATCGTAAGACCTTCGAGACTAACTTGCTGTTTTCAGGAATCGAGATTTCTGTGCCGCGGATTCAATTTTTCGATGTTTGGCGTCAGTGTCAGGATGAAAACGGTCCAGATTCACTTACACGATGGATTTTATCGCAATGCGTGGACAGTGTGGAAGAGTGCCATTTGATCAACCGACGAGATTTGAGGCATGAAGTCACTCGCATTATTTCGAAGCTCCGCAAGAAGCATGAGAAATGCCGTCGAGGCCGCGATGAACTCGTTTGTTTGTTTCGTTGATACTTTTGCATCAATGAATCCGGGCAAGCATCTCATCGTTGTGATAGAAAAAGAGACAGACATTAGTGTCTTGTTGTCTCTTTCTCGAAAAGGCGCCAGACCAGCTCCTGGCTTCCCCTGTGAGAAATTCCGAGCTCCGACCCAAGGCATCGAACACGAGAGCTAGATCATATGAGAAGTTTGTCAAGGGGGAGAGAGGGAGTTTTCCATTCGCATGATTTCGTTTCACGAGCTCCGGTTCCGTGATACGCGGGGTTTGTGATGAGCGGAGCGTCAAATTCGTGTATCTCGAGCGTGAGAACATCGAATTAGACAAGCAGCATCGGACTCGAAGTGTAAAATAATTTTTTCCACCTAATTTGGCCATTTGGCCCACTGTGCGGCGTTTGAAGATTGCACCGGAAAGTACACAATCCGTTTTTTCTGAGAGCATATACCGTAAATCCTCCAATAGAAGCCTCTCTCCAATGGAGGCTCCCCTCCAATAGGAGGCCCTCTCTACTAGGAGACCCCGGACTGCCGAAGTCGGCTGAGAAAAAGCTTACGTGATAGAATCTGGACTGCGGCGCCCAAGGATTTCCACCCACACCGGGAACACGCCTCCCCCCAGAAATCCATCATCACTTTTCCGGAGCAAGATTTCTCTTGGATTATTAGAAGCCCCCCTCCAATAGTCGCCCCTCTCCAATAGAAGCCCCTCTCCAATAGGAGCCCCTCTCCAATAGGAGCCCCTCTCCAATAGAAGCCCCTCGCCGGAGGTATTTGAAAAAATAGTAGCCCGGGTCACTATCGGAGGATTTACGGTAGGAACCTCAGCTAATATTTGCGGTTCTTTGGGCTAAGGGCCTCGAATTTGAGTCGCCCGTCGGAGACGCTCCCCTCATTGGTTACGCCTGTCGCTGGATATCGGAATCCGGAATGCGACCGGTGGAGTTGTCTAGAAAAGAGTTGTCTGAAATTATTTCGATGAACATTCTTTGAGGAACATCAAGCAGCTCGCCTTATCCGGAGAGCGTCTCATAATTGATTCAGAAGGCAAAAAAAACCTCGAACTGGGTTTCCATCGCTCGGGTAAAGGTCGAAAACTATCCTGTCGGGAAAAGCGCTCATGTGATTTTGTCGCGTTTTTGACCACTGTGATCGGCGACTTCAAGAGGGAACTGAAAACCTCACTAAGGGATCCAACTGATTTCTCCTCATCATATTTGAAACTGCAAGAACAGGGGCTCCCGTGCCAGACTCCAGTACATTCCCATATCGCTGCGACTCAGCTCTGAATAATCACGATTCATGTATCCTCATTTCAAGCCGCTCCGCGGAACGATTATTGGGAGCGGCGGGCGATAACTCATAAGTAGGGCTGTGCAAAATATGCACCAAAATCTCGAAAATATGCATGCAGTATGCACGAAAAATGCGGCCAAATATGCATGAAAATATGCACGGATTTTTTTATCAGAGATCCTTGTTACAAGCAACCATAACCGATTTCTTTAGTTTTTCAAAGAGAAATGAGTTCCCGTTGTCTGGCACTATCGCCCTATACTGCGGGAAAGAAAGCTCCTCTTCGCATGGTACCAGAGCCAACTGAGCTCTCTAGAGTGTTCGGCGGCAGTCTACATCTCAAGTCAGAGGTTGCACGGCGTTGACGGTTGCACGCCGCCTACCAACTTCGGCAGTCAGAGCTGAGGCTCCCTGGAATCATCTGAAGGTACTTCATTAGGAGGGTTTTCGACAGATTTTGCTCTGGCTTGTGAGAACCGACGGGTGCTCTAGTGGTTAGCGCGTTTGTCACTTCTGGTGCAAACGTGCGTTCCACTTCGTGAAATGCCGCAACGTCGCCGCTCGATCGGGAGGTGGCGTGGGTTCGATCCCTGTTGCCGACAAAATCTTCCTTACGGAAAGGCAGGTACTCGGCCTTGATCCTCCTGGGTACATTCGCTCTATGGATCCGTCCTCGGAAGCAATGTGAACAACAGTACCCAGGACGTTAAACCTCTGCTGTGTGGTCCAGCCCGAAAAAGTTTTCCTGGCTCGTGAGGAGAAGTCGACATGCTCTCGACTTGAGATTGAAAACTCATATATGGGAGCTCATAAGACGGAATTATATAAAAATTCACGAAAATTCAGAAATCGGCGAAATATGCAGTATGCATAAAAATATGCTTTATGCGTGATGCACAGCCCTACTCATAAGCTTTCCGATCGGGATATATGGTCGGAGCCCAGTTCTCTGAAGATATATGAAGCCATTTTCCTCATTTTCAGACGGCGGTTAGATTGGTGCAAAGACGAGTGCGCCAGAGCTGATGCCCTGTGTTCCCAGATGGGGGAAGACTTGGATGCCTTCGATGAGCTCCGCAAGTTACATCCCGAAATTCGTATGGTGCAAATAAAATTAGAGGAGCTGGCTTCCAATCCGTTTGTGCAAACGAGAGCGCTATTCGCAGCACTCGGTACGTATATATTAGGTGAAAAACTGAATCGATTCGAGTTGCCCCTCTCCGTGCTGTCGAAGAGTCCGTTTTCTATCTGGCTTTCCCCGATGGGGGAACCACAAGGTCATTCCAACGTTCTTCTTCGCAGGTTTAAAATTCGATACGCTGACAGAAGCATTCCTCCGAACCCACACTCACCACGGTTCTTCTGATCCTTACTCCACGCGGAGGAACTCGGCGGCGGTGGCGTATGATTGGCAACAGAAGCTGTCTCTCAAGGAAACTCTCGATATCCAAATGTTCTGCGAGTCGATCATCACCAAAGCTAGTTACGACAATGTTCGAATGAATCATCGCGGATACGGCAATAAAGTCGCTCAGAACGAGAGTCAATGGCCCGCGGAGGTCGCTGAGGATAACCAAACTGTGACATGACATACTGAGCGACACCCAAAACGTGTTATGAAATGTAAAAAAGATGTATTTCTCGTTACGTTCGTCAAGTTCCTGAACATATGTACAAAGGATGAATAAAGATAATATTGTCGGATGTCCAGAAAGATCTGGTCGGAACGTATGCTGGAAACTCAATTTCTACTTCTTCTCTCCGTTCCTGTGTCCCTTGCCCCGTACTCGGCTGTCAAACTGCAAGAGATTCTCGGCTAAGTCGATGCTGAGTCAGAACTTGGCCGTCCACAAATAAACAGTTTCGATTGGATGCGTCTAGTTAACGCTCGAGTGAAACACGACAGCTTGCTGGCTGGCTACATCGTCGCGAGCGTTTGTAGTGATAAAGCTCCCCCCTTGTCACTCGATAATTGGGCATTGATCCGATGCCGATCGCGCCGGAGAGGGCAAAGCACATCGCTCAACGGCCTCTTTCTTAGAGGGCCGACCTCATTCTTGTCACACTATGGTACAATTCGGATACCCCTTCGAATGACGACTGTCGTCGTTGCTCCGGAGGTCGTCGAGATCGCTAGGGTGCCGGAAGAGCTCGACCCTCATTAATCCCGGCAGCTGTTGGTTCCGACATATTGGTCGGGGCTCCAATGAAAGCTAGATTCAGTAAGATTGTCGAGCTTCCTTGTCGCGATTGCAAACACGCGAACATTGCAACAAAGACAGGACATCCTCGCCAAAGATGCCTCTTTCTGCGGGATAAGATTCCATCATCTTTCCTTGTCTCCCTCCCTGAGTGTCGAGCGAGCACTCACAGCCAAGCGACGGTATTTTCCGTTCAGTGCAGGAGGATCTAATGCAGAGCGATCCACAATCGAATCGGCGAAATACAATCAAGCGATCTTCGAGGAGCTCCGATATCTCCCGGACCCGGATTCTCGACCGGGGACCCCGCATACCCCACGACCACCAAAGAGGCTTATCCGACTACGACGCAAGCTTTGCCAAGCCACGTGAGTCGACAGCATCGGCGCCGTCGCACCGGCGTGAGGTGCCATAAATCATTCGATGCTGGGCTAGAGCTTGAAAACAATGGATCGGATTATGGATTCGAGAGCTCGGGCGATCTCCCACCAGCTCGATGAACTTCAACTCATTCGTTGACAGGGGATAAGGATTTAAATAGAGCACACTACTCCGAAGGTCCACATCCCACCCAGCGGATTCCGGAACCGTCAACCCTTAAATGGGGTTCCACGGAACCATTCCTCGATTCGGAGTATACATAGAGCGTCCGCTTGTTCCGGGCGAGCTCTAATGGGAGAATAACCGGAAAAATTTTGCACAGCGAAGGGAAACAAGCTCGGGGGACTGCTCTGCCATCTCGCATTTCACACATCCGCCCGCAAAAAGCATCGCGGAGGTTCTTCCCTCAGGAGAAGTATCCTGTGCAAAAACCAAACTCCATGCCAAGATTCTATTCCATCACCGACGCGCCTCTTTGGCGTCACATCATCGCCAAGAAGCCCATCTGAGCCGAAGTATCCCCAGCACCAAATGATCCATTACTGTAGTCCCAGATCAAACGATGGAGTGATTCGAGTTCCGTGGAGAAACTCAGTGCACTGCGCGTAACGCATGCCCGGCGAAATGATGCTTCTCACTCCGCAGCTCCCTATCCCATGCGTGCCCGTCGGAATCCTACAGGACTGGTCAGATAGCTCAAAGCTCCCAGGAGTTGCAGGGAGCTGGCAGATCGATCTAAGACCAGCGATCAACAACAACCGGCAGCAGCCGTGACCATTTCTGCGATTAAAGTTTCGAGTGTCTAGCTCTCCGTTTTTCAGGCGCCGCGCAGCACCCTGAGCAGACGACAGATGATGTAAACAAGCAGAAGAGCAGAGATGTGTGCTCTGTGCTCTGCGTGCGCGACTCCTCTTTAGAATTTTCGACAGATCTCCATAGTACGTTGAATATGCAGTCAATCATCCGACGAGAAGCCCTGAGTGGTGTCTGCAAGGTGAGAGACATGGCTTACCATCGACTGTTTGTCTCATAGATCAGATTTCCCCGCCGGCGGCTCTCCCAGGGACTCACCGCGCGAGGAATGGAACGTCTCCATTCCGGGGCTTACTCATTCCCATTCATAACCGATTCACGACCATGTTCTCCAGTTATATAGATGGTCATACTGTATGCGGAATCATTGGCTCTGGAGACGTCATCTACACAAAATGAGGAGCAGAGGCTTCATACAGCAAATATACCCACCGGTAGAGGAGTAAGTTCAAAGAATTCTGGCCCTCCTCAGAGTTTTTCCTCGAATCAGAGATCTCAAATGAACGCTGATGAAACGACTGAGGTCTCGATCTTCCTCTCAGGAGCCGACTGCCGCAAGTATTGAAAGACACCCGAGCAGCTTACTGTGGGTTCGATCCAACATCAGACAGTCTCCACCTAGGAAATCTGCTCTCTATCCTGGTCCTCATACAACTTCAGAAAAGAGGGGTGATCCCGATAGCAGTAGTTGGGGAAGCTACAGCTCAGATAGGAGATCCGAGCGGTCGTTCGACTGAACGAGAATCGCTATCTTCTGTATCTCTCCATCAGAATGTCAGAGGCCTCGAACAGAATCTGAGAACAGTCTTCAGCAATCACGAGAGGTAAGAAGTCTTAATAGAGCTCGATCGGTTCGCAATGCTCACGTCCCTCTCGATGATGCGTCACCTGTCAGGATGCCAACCGCCGGCTTCAACTGAAGTGGCGCACGCGAGTTTGCAGGTTCTTCCACAAGTCGGGAGACCTACCGCAACTGGTATTGTTGCGAAATTCCGCGTGGTACTCAGGGTTGGAGGTCATCAATTTCCTCAAGACTACTGGACGATACTTTCGAATCAGTCTAATGCTGTCCCGAGAAGCCGTCAAATCCAGGTTGGCGTCGTCTGAAGGGATGAGCGTTTCCGAGTTCAGTTATCAGATATTCCAGGCCTTTGACTGGCTCCAGCTCTATAAACAGTACGGATGTGGGATCCAAGTCGGTGAGTGGCACAGAATCCATTACCTTGGGCGTTCACGGAAATTTCATGGGATGCACGGTCCTAGGGGGAGATCATCTCCCAATTGTCGCGGATCACTTCGATTGGGCGGGAGTATCCTGACTGGAATTTTGTTTCCAGGTGGTCAAGATCAATTGGGGAACATCGATGCTGGTCATGATTTGATTCGAAAGGCTCTCGGGAAAAACAGCGTCGGACTTCTGACTCCCATTATAACCGCCGAAAGCGGGAGCAAATACGGAAAGAGCGCAGGCAATGCAGTTTGGCTCTCGGGCGAAAAAACGAGCCCTTACGAGCTTTTCCAGTTTTTGCTGCGAATGTCAGACACCGAAGCGGTGAAAATGGTGCCGGTTTTCAGCTTTACAGGAGACGAAGAGCTAGTTGAACTCCTGGAGCAGCACAATAAACACCCCGAACAGCGTCCTCTGCAGACGCGGATCGCAAACGACATAACGCTCTTGCTCCATGGGCCGGAAGGGCTCGAGCTCGCGCAAAAAGCAACTGCTCTCCTCTTCGATGGCAGGGGCGACTTGCTCAATGAGATGGACGAGAAGACGCTACGGAAGCTTTTCTTGGACACCGCCTACGCTGAAATTTCCAGAGTGAAGCTGTCGGAGAAATACTCCTTGGTCGAGTTCAGTTTGGAGGCGAAACTCTTCAAGAAGGAATCAGACGCGAAGCGAATTATAGCTGCCGGTGGATTGTACATTAATATGATACGCACAACTTCGGAGTTCTTATCGGAGTCATGCGTGCTCTCGTCTGGATTGACTCTTTGCAGAACAGGCAAGAAAAACTACACTTTAGTCAAATGGATTTGAGCTTCGGACCGTGTGGTATCAAAATAAATTAAGTGCTCTAGATGTCTCCACAAATCGAACCCACAATGCGAGCGTTCTCCCCGCGGAAGCGGGCTTCGCGCCTTCCGAGTCCTGAAATTATACGATTTGCATCGGAGATCATTGTGGATGAGCGTGACAAATATTCCGTTACTGGTGTTGAATTTCTTCGTCAGCGTGTTGATTGAGATGCCTGGTCTTTCATCAATGGCCATCTTCACGGCTCCGATGGGCGCTCGATTCCGCTCAGAGTTTGCTCGACGCTCATTTCAGAAGAAGTACAGGGATATCTGATTATCCTTGCCGCTCGTTCCTTATTCGGAAGACCGTGGATTAAGAAAATCGTGAAAATCTGATAACGTCCTGAGGCCGGGAGAAGAAAACGCGGAGAGAACCGCGCAGCGCTCAATTGCCTTGATTGAGTGCTTCCTACCAAAAAAACTTTTCCGGGCTGATCCACACAGCCAAGGTTAAAGTCCCGGGTACTGTTATTCACATTGCTTCCGAGGACGGATCCATAGAGCAAATGTACCCAGGAGGATCAAGGCCGAGTACCTGCATATTTTCCGGCAGCAGGGATCGAACCCACACCGCCTCCCGCGCGAGCGGTTTGCACGAGAAGTGACAAACGCGCTAACCAGAGTGCTTCCTACCAGAGCTGGCTCTTCCCATCTCCCGGGATTTCGCTCAATCCCCCGCTCGATTTTTTCGCGAGCGACGAATGATTCGACTTTTACCCTCCGTCGGAAAGGCACTATCCGTCAGAACAATGGCGCGGTGCAAGATCGGGTCGAATCTCAGTTAGTCAGTATTGTAGCCCTATTAACAGGGTTGTCAGGAGAGATGAAGTCGGAGAATCTATCATGAACCTCTGGGATCAGATATTCCGGCTCTTTCCGAGACGGAGAGCTCATTTCCTCTGGTCCTATTGATGGGGTTCGAAACGCACGGAAGTAGGGGTCGCTTCACATGAGCTCCTGGTCCTCGCGGTAGAACTCTTATTCCATATCACTGAACCACGTTATAACAACGCAGGTCTTGAGCGAGTCTGGGACCAACGACGAGCTCATCGAAGAAGATCCGACCTTCAATTCAAAAAGGATCTCAGGGTGCTTCGGAACTATAGCTTTCCTCTCGCTGTCATCACAGCAGCGGCGAACAGAGGTTGGGCGCTGTTGGTTCGTCTTGGGTGCCGACCCATACCCGAAAAGTACTAAGGGCGCCAAATCCTTCACGACGATGTTTGGTCGCACTCGAGAATCGTGCCCAGGACCTCTCGCGCGGAGAATCCTTGCCGCGGCGTGCGGTTGACCAATCGTTCACCGGTTTCAACCCCTTCAATTAAGAAACGCTTGAGGCTCAGCTGAAACAGTCTCGAGGTATATATATTTACAAAATGATTCAGTGCAAAGATGTCGCCTCAGTCAACAGGGGTTGAATTTCCTTTTCATCTTCAGAAGCGCCACTTTGCGTTTGTCCTCCGCAAACTTTCGTCGGAGTTCTTCAAGCTCGTTGAGTTTCGATCGCTTGGCTTGGAAAGTGTAGAAGTCTTTCAGTTTTTTCCGCTTGTCTTTCAATTTCTCTTTCTCCAAGAGTCTGCTCTGGACAGCTTCTGTCCGCGGGATGACGGGGCGTTTCCTGTAATGTCAAACTTCGCTCAATAGATGCTCATCATCTCCCAGGACGCTGCCCAAGTTCTGGACGCTCATCTTCTGGCAAGATGCTATCGAGGAGCGGCAATGATGATCGCCTTGGCTACGCACCCATGCCTAGTGACAGTTATCCAACCGTCATCGTCCGGTGCATGAAGTTTCTCAGCGGCTTTCTTCTCTTCTTCTTGTGCGCGGTCGTACTGTGCGATGGCCTCAGAGATCGTGGCCTCAAGTTTGCTTCGCGGCTCGAACTTCTTTATGTATGACTCCACCATTTTCCGCATTCCAACTAGCTCGGTTCCACGATCCTGATAGACGGCGATGGGCTTCTTGATCTTCCGCGTCAAGACCTGAAACGGAAAAAGAAGATCAACGATCCTCGTTCCAACTTCACATTCTCATCAATCACCATGAAACCATGCGGCACCAAAAACTGACTTGATCCAGTGGTTCACATATTTGCACTTTCCGGAAAGACAGATCATTCTCAGAAGTGAAGGCGAGCCGATATTGGATGTCTAACCTCGATTGCCTCCGATTTGCTCCGGAGCACGACGTAAGCGACTTTGAATCCCGTGTAATCTTCCATCCCACTATCAGATGAAGCTTTGAAGGAGCCGGCTTCCCTCTGCACGAATATATGCTCGGAATCGAAAGGATCGATCAGCGAGCGCAGCTCGTCTTTACCCATCCAAGGCGGGACATTAGTCACAAGCAAAGTTCTGCCCCGAAATCCTGAGACAGCTTCGTTTGACGGGCTCTTGTCGAGCTTCACGAATACTTCGTGCGCCGAGCCATTCGGAACACGTGAGTTGAACTTCACCGGAATCACGCTCACTTGTTCTGGGTCCGACATGATCGCCCGACTGCTTTCTCCGGCGACGGCTCTTCGATCATGCGGTGTGTGTAAACACGGCAGCGTGTTCTCCCGTCCGTGCTCGTTTGTTTTTGTTTTGAATCGCTCTGTGGTCTGCTACGCTCTGCGGAGCGCTAATGTAGAGCGGAGCTATACGGCATTGATGATCATCGATAATGAGACCCTTACATATGCATTCGCGCAGAAGGTCGGTGCGACGCGTCAGCGGGTCCGATCGGGATAGAATTAGCGAGGCTCTGCGCGAGTCCGAAACCTTTTTAGGTTCGTTCTACGGACGGAGGATTTCGCATTTATCTCTTTTCCAGCGAGGATCAACCACTTCCCTGGGAACGCAATCATTAGAGACAGTAGCTTCGCACCGCCCATTGGGTCGATCTCGGTATCTTGCAGCATGATTCTCGACTGGCTCGATTGAATCCATCCAATTTCAATTGAAAACAGATCCGTGTTTATAGGGGCTGAAATTCCGTCCTACTCTATCTTGAGCTCGGATCTCAAGATGATCTTGAGATAGGGATGTGACGGCTCCTCAGGTCACAATAAATACAAGCAACGATTCTCGAATTCCGACACTCGGACAGAAAGAACTCGCTCGGGTCGAGAGAGAAATCCGTCGTTTGCAATGATAGATATCGAGGGACGGCCCTTGACAGCTCCCTTCGAAATGAAACTCTCAATCGTCGATGGCAAGGTCTCGCAGGTGATGGCTGTGGAGATATGCTCGATTTGTCGAGCGACACTCGAGGGGATTCCGCTCGGATGATGATCTCCCCCCCTTCTCCCTGCAAATGAGCAAGTCCATCGAGTGCTTCTTTTAGAACTGCGTACGATCCCTCTCCGGGTGAGCGGCAGATAGAAAGGCCCGATGAGATAATTGGACTGCTACATGCAACATTTGGAAGCTGAAAATTTTGCGCCACATGAGAAATCAGCCTGGGATACGAGACGAATCAGTGAAATCTGGATTCAGCGCCGTGCCTTCGGAGACGAATGCCAGAAATCGACGGAGCTCAAGAGATTCGGAACCACCACAGACGCGATGAATTGCGATGTCGATATCGATGCCGGAAAGTTCGAAGATTTTTGCCGAGGGAGAGCGACTTGTATGTCAGATTTCATCCTCGGTACTCTGTCCATAACATTCTTAAGCATCGTAGTCGCGTTACAGCGGAGGCTCGTCTACCGATACGACTTCTGAGCGTTATGGCTCAAGAAGTTCAAGACAAGGTCTATCGGCAGTTCCGATTGGGGCACTTTCGGAGAGTCAAGTGTATCTCCACGAATGGCGATGTGCTGCACCAAATGCTTTCCGCGCCGGATCCTCTGATACTCACATTCGGGAGGGCCCCAATCGCTCTTAGCCTTCCCTCCGAACATCAGACTCTCAGGATTTGAGTGAGAGGAGGACACTCGGATCATCAGACCCCGTTCTGATAAGTTCGGTTTTTCAGGTCAGAAGCTCATGCACTGATGAAGATCACAGGAGACGGGGTGATGAGTTCACTGCGAATACATTCGCGAGCAGTCCCGCACGATTGGTCGGGTTTTGAGGCCCGATAGGAATCCGAGTTCATCAGACCGCTCAGGTCAACCGAGCTTTACTCGGTCTCCGGCATTTGTCAGCATAAATTCCCGCATGAGTCAGCTCCTAGACGTTCTTCTTGTTTCTAGACGTTCACATGGGAATGGCTGAATCATTGGATTCTACATATGTGACTGATGAGAGAAATCGATTCAGAGAACATTCAATCGCTCGATTAGTTCGAGGGACGAGAAAGAAAAGAGAGCCTCACAGGAAGCTTCGACTCTGGAATGACAATGTAAGCACGTGTCGAAACCCCGAAATCATCAGCGCGGTTCCGAAAAATCTGGATGAGACAGGTGCTTCGCAATGGTGATAAGGACTGCTCGCCAATCGATATTCTTCGCCAATTGAGCCGGTCGCGCATCCTTTGGGAGCCTACCGTAAATATCGTCAGACCTGATGGATATGGACGAATAGTGAATGTCATCGCTCGTTGAGCCGTGCGGCTCTCAATTGATTCCTGCACGGACCCTTGCTGATTCCTGGCTACCCGCCGTAGTATACAACCTCATGATTACCTTGTATGCTCCCCCTATCTCTCCATTCCAGAAGGTTCTCGCGGCGATACCATCCGACCGATTGACGATGGGGAGCGTGGCTTCACTCGGGTTTGAGCTCGAGGACTCGAGGACCAATTTTAGTAATTTCCCTGCAGTGTCTCAATACATACTTCTTCTCGTGAGCTGTCTTTTGGGCATTGGACCTGCGTTTTTCGGCTCACTCATTCGCCATGTAGGGCTGTCTGCCCACGCTCTGGACTACGAACCGACTCTAGGGCAACAAAGCTCAATGGCCTATCGCCAATTCCAGGAGAAGCGAGAACGAAACTTCGATATTTATTCGATCATTTTTCATTCGGAGACCAGAACCTCTTCCCTCTAACCATGGCCAACATTATCAGAAATGTCACGCAGAGTGTCCCTGTCAGTCCGGCTGTCGCGTATGCGAAGACCATCGGCTCAAAGTCGATCCAAGGTGCAACAAGAAAGGCGGGAGAGACATTCCCCACGCTCAATGCGAGCTGTTCAGAAAAAGCAACTCAGATGCTGGACCACTACAGGACAATAGAGGACTGTGTTGCTCAATAAATTGACTCACCATGCTTGCTGCCATGTGCCAATGTTTCAGATTAATATATTGACAAGTCCAACTGATGGTGGAACCGAAAAGTGTGCTCTGTCCTAAGCCGAGTCCAGCAGTCGCCAACCACACTACTGATGGCGACGCCATTACGAACAGCAGGAGGACGGCTGATGAGAAACTCAGGAACACCAAGCTCACCTGAAACAGCCGGGTGTGGGGAGCTTTCGATGGAAGTCGACGCAAGAAGTGTTTTCCCTTGATGCGGAATAGTCGAGAAAGGGATTCTAGAAGGAGCGTGTGAGAAGGGTCTACCAAGATGTGCGTACCAATATTATGACGGTCAGTGAAATCTTGTATCCGATCACGGTGAGGATCCGACCAACGAAGAAACTCAACCGGAATATACCTCCCAGGTACGCGCCATCAGACTTACTCAGACGGAGATCCGATTGCATCACGAACGGTGTGATCATGCCTACGAATTCTCCTTGTTGTTAGCCCTGCGATGCTTCGCAGATTCTTCAGCTTGAATTTTATTAGCGACTCAATCACTCGCATTGGCTCCTCCGAAAAACTCGCGCCCTCAAGAGCTCGATCGAACTCACCCGACACCGTCGTTTCCAAGGCCGTCGATAATAAACTGAGCAACGACATGAGAAAAACGAGCGACACCTCGAAAGCTCCGAGACTTTTTTCTTCACTTTTGACTTCTTCTGATTTCACTCCAGCGCCTGTCTCTTGCCCATCCTCTTGTACCGGGGGCGAAAGCTTCTGACACTTGAAGAAAGCCATCGCCAGTCCTATGAGGACGCAAAATGCCCCGATGCCGCCGTACGGGATGTAGATGCGCGACTTCTGCAAATATCGCGTTTTTCTACGTGAATCGATTTGGCGAGATCGACATGAAGCCAGAATTTGGAAGCTCGTTTCGGAACAGTTTGTCGAACTCACCACATGTTTCCGAATCTCCCCTTGAGTGATGGGATCGTCGCTGCTCAAGAATGGCTCGACTATGAAGGGAAAAATGAAAGCGGTGAACCCGTAGGCTAGTTGGTACATCTGCGTGGCGAAAATTGGTTTCTCCCAATAGCTGGCGAGAACCACGAAGGAGCCTGTGGAATGGAAGTGTCCGACTAACCAATTCGTTCTTCGTCGATCTTCGCACGATCGGTGCTTTCGAATAATTACACGCGGTGGCCCACCTCGCATACTTACAGGCTTCAAAAAGCACACCGGCGAAGCCGTTCAGAAGGGCCGCGGCGTGTGTAAGCCAGAAATGGTGGGCTACGGGATGATACGCAAAGGACAGACCGAGCGCTATCATGGAGCTTATAAGAACCATATCTGAATTCCTTTTATTGACGGCGAAGCTCTCTGTAAGCCAGTCGAGAGTCAGTGAATGGGTGACGTTTGTGCCTTGAGATCCTGTATGGATTCGGCGACGGGATTGGACTTCGATCCCTCTGTTGGACAACCGAGTAAGGAGCCGATGAGGAATCCGACCGAGCGAGACGTGTAAAGTTGAGAAATCTGGTCGATCTCCTTGTCGTAAATCTCAGCAAGATCGAGTAGAGTGACACCGATGACCGCGTTGATCATGCCCTGAGGATTGAGAGGGAAATAGAAAATGCCCTTTGTCACCGGATGGGATCCGAAAAAGGAAGTGTGAAATATGCGGATGCATCCATACCATCGCTGCATTCCCGAGCACGAAGAGTGTACTAAATATCTCTTTCTTCCGCCTGGTGGACATCATGATTCCCGCATCAACGTGTTCTCTCCTGTGATCTGCGGTATGAAAAGCGTAGACGCAGTTATCCTGAATGGGACTCCGATTCGCGACTTACAGGGAGGATCGCGAGAGAGTTCCGCCTCGGCTTATGTCCTTGCATCTTCTGACGGACGCAGAAATCTGAAGCCCGTGCGCGGAGCTTCAAGCGCAAGCTGTTCATGGGAAGCTGTACCGAGAGGGACAGCTCTCGAAAAAGTCTCGCGTCGACTGTTCCGTACCAGTTCCGAGCTCCGAGACGATATAAGCTTCCCATTCGGAATTCCTTGACAATCAACCTAAACCGTTTACGATTCGATACGGAATAACGAAAATGCGGAAGATTCTACTGCGCATATCGCACAAGACCCTCTTCATGTTGAATCTCCGTAGCACTTTCGGTCCGTGGGGTCTGCTGGCATGACTTCCGCTGTTCGACCCGAACGGCACCGATCTCGGAGCGGGCCCTCCGATGGGCGGTCACCGACGTCACAAGATAAACGAACGTTTTTGTGAGGGACCATAATTGAATCGCAGCGATGGACAATTCACCTCACACGGTTTAGACCATCGAATGTGGTCTATCCTCAGAGGCTCTGCGGTCAACGTTCCAGGAAGAGTTGCCGCCTAACCTCTCGGCGGATGATTTGACGGATAAACTTGGCATACGGATTCTCCCGGTATGATATCATCGAACTCTGGACGGACGGATGAACAACTGTCCCTACGCTAGCAACTCCAGCCCCTTCTCGGTGTTAACGATTCACGACCCGGCCTGTTGGAGTTCTAGACCGAACGGAATTAATCGGAGCTGACGCGATGCATAACGCAGGTGAAAACACTTGAGGGGCGACGGTCCCTCTCGGGAACTTGTCATGACAACAGAGCGCCTGAGGAAAACATGCGGGTCATTCCAATGAAGTACACGAGTCTCGAGGAATGCTCCGGTTCCCCAGCATCGCTTCGGCGTCGCGGTGAATGACTGTTTCACTCAGACTTGAGAACCCAAAAAGTAGCTCCTCTTGATTGTCTGGCTATACATTCGAGATGAGCGAGCCACAAACGACGCGAGGTGATGTCAGACACTCATCATTCCCGCCGTGCACTAGTCGAAAATGGATTCCTAGAAGGGCAAAATTATTTTGCATATCTTGCTGATTTTTGATGGATGAGGCAAAAGAGTGACTCCACGTAGTATAACAAAAGTCTCGGTAAGTCTGGATACGTTCGGGGCAAGGAGAGCTGCACCGTCGCTTCTGCATACGAAACAGGGGTTGCTCTGTGGTCTCCGAGTAAGGGTGAAAACCCTCAGAACGGCATCCGGACTTTATAAGCAAAATGTACCCCGATTAACTGGCTTGTGCAAACCGCTTTCACGACCCGATACCCGATTGCTGCGCTCGTTGTGTCAGGGCCCCCTTTCCCAGAAAAACGTTAAGAAGGCCCTGAATGAGTAAAAAATCGCTCGGATCGAGATTCCCACGTTCTATATCGGAATCGTCATGCCGATGGATATTTTTCCGTTCCGGGGGCGATCAAGGGATCAGGGATCAAGTCTGGGGCATGTGAAAAACCGTCGCACTATCATGGCGGGCCAGAGATGTCGCTTCGATCCTGGCCACTGATGACTGCTCTGACCACAGGAAGCGATTCCTCGGTGTTGATACTCTGCAGAGACACCTCGTATTGAGTCAAGAGTCGTGGAGCTGCTCTTGCCAACGTTAGGCGATGGCTCCACAGCAGAGCAGCTGATGAAGACGTTCCTGAACCGGCTGGCATCCCTTTAGGTCAAACCTGGGAGATATTCGTAGTTCCCTCCCGAACCCACCGTGCATGAAATACGTATTCGACCACAGAAGCCAGATTATTCGCCATAACGAGGTGCCCCTGAGTATGCTCACAGAAGGAGCTCAAGAGGTGGGGAACAACGAGAGTCGTCGCTTCCTGTTATGCCCTTGAGTGCTGGATGAACTGAGGGGATATCGAGCGAGTCCAGATGAGGAACGGAACTCACGGTTAAGACTCGTTTCCACTAAGCTTCACTGAGAACAGGTCGCAGGTAGACCGAGAAGACACTGGGGCAGAGTTTTAAGCAGGCCGGACCGTCTTCTATGCTAGACTGGTCTTTATTCGATGTATCTGGTTCCTATATTCTAGTTAGACGATGGGCTGGAGAGGTTTAGAGTGGCTACTTTGTAACTAGTGGAAGTCCTTGATTTTCAGTGGTTCCTTGTGGTACTGGTGCTATCGGACTGATGTAATCATATTCACTCTACGGACCCTCTAGCTACGATTAGATACGTTTCCAGCTGACGTGCTCACGTTCTCGGACGGATCCCACGAAAAAGGATTCGCGACTGGAAGCTGCTGCAGGTGCCGTGCTCAATCAAGGCAACAGTCATCTTCTCACTTCGCGACTCACCAGCCGTCAGGGAGCGATTCTATATCGGGAGCTCCTTATGCTGCAGACTTTTCCGATGAGAACAGATCCTCTGAGCTCAGCACCGGAGGATGTGAGACAACGAGACAGCTGAGGAATGCGGGTCGTGGAGTTGTCTGGCAGAATGATCTCGATGAGCATTTTCAAGAGTTATCAATTTTCCAAGCTCGTTCTGTCCGAAGAGTGTCTCATTACTCATTTTGGACTCGAACTGCGTTCCTGAGGCTAAGGTTGGGCTCGAAACTGCTCCGAACCGATTTTCCTCGCTCGGGGGATCGGAACCAAACGGAAGAGGCGTTCGTATAACCTTGTCCGCTAGAAAAACGGTCTCTGACCACTCTGCGCCGCGCCGTACGGATTCTACCAATACCCGCCGCGGTCCACGACGGAAATCACTGGAAATAATGAATTTAGGCGCATGGAGGCCAATATTGGCGTCGAGCCATATGGGGCGCCCGTTTCTCTCGCGCCGAGTCAATCACTTGCAAAATCCCTTCCAGATAACTGATGAGCCCGGGGGCAAACAAGGCTTATCTCCACACTTTTCCAAAATGAGGCTTTCCCAGATTTTTGTGCGCCGGGGTAGCCCACATCAGATAACAAGGTACCGAGCTCTGGACTTTCCTCATAGTACTCATGTACTCGTTCTGTGGCACATCTCCATCTCGTTTGAGAACCAGGTCGTGGAAGGTGCCGCGTGCTCAGCGGAGGAACAGCTAGGATTGATTTCACCGGTCCACGACCAGAGGACGATTCTCGCCCAAGTTCGGCTCCAGATAGACCTACCGAGGGATTCGCTGAGCTGTAACACCCGAATTGTTGGCGAAGGTGTTCCTTAGGTAGGCTGCCGACACCTTCCGCACACCGGGTCCGTTGGAGGACTCTGCGCGAGCCAAGTAAAGGGGATTCGTTCTTTGCCGTCGACTTCCCATGAGCGGGCCATACATATCCGGAGGACACTGATTGAGCAAAGCTACGTCACAATGTCTCCCCTTCCTTTGCCTGGTCAACAATTAATCTCGGCTCGGAAGCGAATCCATGACTGAGTCGGCAGCACTCCTGAAGCTCACTGCGGGAGTCCGAGTGGCGTTGAATGAAAGGTTCTTCGCTCGGATCCTCCCAGTTGATGACGGCAGTAAAGGACTCGAATGTTTGGCTCGGAGAACCGGAAAGTCTTCTTCAAGTCAGAGTGTACGAGTGGCCCTGCGACGCCGCGCCGCGGAGCTCGAGGACCAGAGATCCGAAACTCGGCGGAATGTTCCTTGTTGGAGCACGATGGCACGAAGGCTCATGTGTGCCTTGGAACGTTTGCAACGTTCGGCCGCTAATATGAGAGCTTGCGGTATTTCTAGACCAGACGGACGAGGAGAGGGGCGCGCATTCCACCGCAAGAAAACGATGCGAAGTACTGTCGCAGATCGCAAACAAAGCTTCGAGTGCCCCCCGAAATTATCGCAGCAAAGCATCCACGACCGCTATGTCTACATCGGACCGATTGTCAGACCGGTGTATGTACAGAATCAAGCGGGCGAGCGCTTTGACAGATTTTCTCCGTCATCTCATGGGATCGAACCTAGAACTATCGAATCTTTCTAGGTTCCGAGGGCCGCCCGGGGGAAGAATACTGCTTTCTTGTCTTTGCCGACACTAGAACAAAGGGAGACGTTCGAACTTACTTGGCCGTTGGTACCCGCAGTTCCTCGCCCGACGACAGACTGTTCGGTCGTCTTCGGGAAATCTCTCACAGGCAAGATACCCTGCTGACTCCGGCGGAATGTATCCCGTTGTCCGCGCGTGTTGCGAATGTCCACCCTCTCCGATCAGACTGCTCCATGCACTGCTACTAAGATGCAACGCGGCCCTTCTCAGAATCCAGGCAGCCATTCAAAATCTCGCTGTCAGCAATGAGATCCATACGATTCATGGGAGGCGGCAGGATCGAATTCACAGAAAAATTCGACGCCACCTCCGAATCATGGAAATTTTCCCAAGTCTTGAGTTCCGATAGCCCCAAGCGCTGCGCTGTGTGGAACTTTCTTCAGCGGAGTGGGAGACATGATTGCGCGTCTAGCTCCCCCTCATCGAAGCCAAAGAATCGTATGATCATCCGTGCATTCCTACTCATCAAGTGAAGGAAGCTGCATCGGATCCGACCGATGCCGGCTACTGAACTACGTAAGAAATCGACTCAAACGATAGATTCCGCTTCTTTATCGGAATAGGAGAGGCTCCGGGGTCAGTTCGGCATCCTAGTGGAATGAATGTAGCGGTTCCGTTCGCAATTTCTCAAATATTATATTCCCCGATCTCTCGGGGCTCCGTCTTCTGACTTCCAAGCTCGAAAAGTCGAATCTACCTCGTGTCGATTGGCAAAGATTTGCGACCGGAATCCGGCTGGGAAATATGGGGCTGATAGAGACTATCCGGACCCCTTTCTTTCCGCTGCTCTTCGGAGAGATGAGGAACGGAGCCGGGACGCTCCGTTTCTGGGTTCTTCGAATCTCTTTCTTCACCCCCTTGAGATTCAGTCGTCTCGATTCGGCGGAGTAGTGACGTCCGAGAAACTACACATCTTCGAATCTTTCTAGAGGGGGAGGGGAGGAGATTCCCTCAGTGCGCCTTGAGAGAAGATGTCGATCATATCCACGTTTCTGAACGAGATCCGTAGCTTCCAAGTTGAACGATTGCATCGAGACGAGGGAGCACTCACACTCTACTCGCTCAGCGGTTGCCTAAGAAACGTTCAGCCGGATGCAACTCTGCGGTTTTTCTCCCCTTGTATCAATTCGATTGTACTCGGAGTTGGAGCGAGGAAAAAATCTGAGGTTTCTGTCAGTTTCAGGGAGGGGTCGTTCATCGGGTCGTTTCTACCATGGTCTTAGCGATTCCGATGCGAAGGATCCTCACGGTGATGATTGAAGGGGAAGGCTCGTGATGGAAATCATTCTGATGGTCTCGTGGTCTCTGGGAGCGATCTCTATCACATTGAATTTCATCCCGGATCAAAGGAGTCGCGATTCCTGCACCAATTCATCGCGTAGCGCAGCCAAAAATCGTCTCCTCGTATCGCGATGGTCCCGTCCCAGACGAAACGATGCGATAGCCTGAGCCTCCGATCATCGGGATGAACGAGCGCCAAACATAGAAACGCTCCGCTGTCTGATACCCTTAAGATTCATGATATACCTCCACGTTTGTCGACCACGGTATTACAGACATTTCGGCATAGCCTCGATGTGAAGGCATGCGAGGAAAAGACAACGTATAACTATGAACTAAAAACCTCTGCGACCAAAAGCTCCCTGCCTGACCGAGGCGCTGTAGGTTCAGCTGGAGTGGACTTACTAGCGCCGTGTTGCGGTCGATCGAATCCCTGACGCCAGCGCTGCGCATCTAGTTGCTGAGTTCCGCCTTGCAAGCGCGGCGGGTTGGTCGGGAAATCCCTTGAATATTCCGGGGTGGTTACCGCTGTTCCGAACCTTAAGAAGGCCCGAGTTCCGAAGTGCCTTAATTGGATGGAGGGCGTCGATGTTGATCTCTGAATTTCGATTGCCGCCTGTTTTTCCTCCAATTTCGCACCGCAATGAGCAGCCATTGATCCGAGCCTTGTCGAGAATCATCTCTCGGTCTCCGGGGTAGGGCTTGTCGTTTCTGGGCTGCTCACCGCGCTAGCAACTATTCTTCGCTAATTTTGTCCCGGACGATGGCGTTTTTTCCCGACTCCCTCGCTGCGACCATCGCTTTTTTTCAAAAGCTCCTTCGTTGCGACGATCGGATCAGACATCAGCTTTCAGCTATCAAAATTTATACCATCAGCTGTCTGATACCAGCAGAATCCGTAGCCAATCAGAGTATAGCAAGCCATTTCGGGACGTATTTATTTCGAAAAGGGATGACTTCCGGAACGAGCGTCCTCGAATCGTTCAGGCAGCACTACGGCTTCGTGTCAAGGACGTGTGGCACGAAGGGAAGACCTCCATCCAAGATGCAGCATGAATTACGCCTTTTGAAGGAATCTCAATTCTCCATTCCAGATAATCAGCGCAGCTTCATGTTCGAACAAGTGTTGTAGGAGAGTGGAAGCAGGGAGATAATTGTAAGAAGGTTCGGAAAGCGCGGGCCAGTGAATTGATATATACAAAATGATTGCAATGCGAGGAATTTGTCTCGCTGCCAGACACTGAAATCAGTTGTGATGATCATCGCGTCGGTAATGTAGCGCACGAATGATTTGAACTGTCTAAAGAAATGGACATCCAGAGGTTGGATTTTGCCCATATAACCGCCTGGGATAAGGCTCTTCACGAAGTTCACTCCTGATCTCTTCAGACTTTCAGAAAGCCCGTCGTCGCAATTTGCTGCCCATGAGTCGAGCATAAGGAGGACCTCGCTCTCTTCGGGCGGTACGCTCGGCCAGGAAGCTTCCGAATAGAAGGTCTTCAAATCATTTTTGTTCGCCGTTTTACCGGTGAAGGCTCTGATGTTCGGTGGGTCGGACGCGCGAGTTTGGGGAAACTTTCCCTGAGCTTCCGACACCCATACGTACATCGGTCGCATACGTTAATCCCCAGCCATGGTGATAACAGGCATGATCACGTAGCTGTGGCTTCTTGCCTGTACAGACCCCACAACTGTTCGCACCTTCGAGGTAACTTTTACTCGCAATGTTCGATGACTGTGGATGCCTTTCTCGGAACGACTCTGGTCAGCGTTCATGACTTGGCTCGGTCGCGAGCCCAGGGTGATCAGAAAGTTCTCTCAATTTCGCCTCCTTCTCTTCCCATTTCCTGCAGACTTTGTGGGTGGTTGCTCAGCTGAAAATGTGGTATTGGCGCTTGAACCAGTAGAGCCAAGATGGGCTCGCGCGGAACTTCAGAAGACCCTCGGGATCAATTTCGTGTTTTAATCAGAGAGCCCACCGCCGAAGATCTCTATCGTGAATAATAGATCACTACGCAGCTTTCGTAAAGGACTCATCGAGAACGGCTTCATCGATCATCCGGATCGAGGGCTTGCCCAGCGTCCTCTCGTATTTGTATAGAATCATTACCGTATTTCCTGTATTATGAGAGAACCTCTGTTTGGAGAGCACCCTCTGTCCGAAGGGCACCCTCCAGTAGAAGAGCACCCACAGGGGGATCGAAAAATAAAAGAGCACCCTCTATTCGAAGACAACCCTCTATCAGAAGAGCAACCCCAAGTGGGTGGCTATAATCCCGCCACCTGATGCAGGCAAGACAATTGGAGAAATCCGCTTCTCATATTCCACGGATGCCCTCTCGAGAAGTATTCTCTTCGAAGTCCGAATAGAGAGTAGCCATATTATAGACAGGTACCCTCTATTAGATGGGCGCCCTTTAAGAGACGAACGATCTGTTGAGGGATTGAAAAATAGAAGGGCATGCTCTTATGATACAGGAAATACGGTATATCTTTGATCAGCCAAAATCGTCTTTGCACGGTTGCCAGCTTCGCTCGCTTCTCGTGTCGCTTCTCGGTAATCGGAGTACAGTCCAGAATTCATACGCATTCTGCCGATAAGATGCCCATTCTGCGTCGGACAGGTGCTCTGGTTTTTTGCTCCGCCGAGTTTTGCTGGGCTCGCTCGACTCACTTGCGGAGCTGCAACGTCTCGACTGATCGGATGAGGTGTCTGATCTTCCTGAAGCAGATGATTGCCCAATGGATTCCTCCACGTTTTCGACGCCCTCTTCCTCGAGCTCCTCCTCTTCACCAAAGTCCATTCCAGCATCCAAATCATCATCGAAAGCTCCATCAAGACCCAGCGTTCGGATCTCTTCCACGACTTTAAGCTCACCTTACAACATGTCTCCTTGCCAAACCTCTGCATAAGGGCACCGATGACAACGCTCGGATCCATGATTGAATACTAGTGATCCTCGGAGAGCAACTCGCCTAGACTGGGAGCAGCCTCAAGATGCAGACATGCTCTGATGCAATCGAATTCCTCATAGCAGATTTGACTGAATTGAAAAGAATGGTCTCCAACGATAGAATACAGATTGAATTTAGTCAGGACGGAGAGTCGAAATTCCTCTGTGATGTAATCGGGTGCGGAGCTCAGGAATGATTCCCAATGAATTTCCCCCGATGTGACGATCGAGAGATCTCCGGCAGAAAGTAGTATTTAGCGGGCCAGAATATTGAGATTACTCTGGATTTTAGTGGAACTCTTTTTCTTCCCGGGCTCCACGAGCTCGGAAGAAGGGGTGAAAATGCCGTACAGCAGGAAAAAACGATTCGGGGTTGCTCCGGGGTCGAGAACTTTCAGAAAACCATGTGAAACTAGGCGATCGTCATTTTCAAAAAAGAACGTTTACTTGTCAGATTTTCGCTCTCAAGCTGCGGGATTCTCTGAGCCGACGATCACCGGGGATGAGAATCTCGATAATCTCTATGATTCGTCCCTATCGCCTATCCGGAGATTCCAGAACCCGGAAGCATCCTCGCCGGCTACGGCCGCTGACTCGCGCGCCCAGACAGCCTAATCCGCTGTCTGTCAGGGAGGCTCTCATGTTTCATGTAACCAATATCTCGATGAGATTCCAAATATTCGTGAACGTATAAGAGAAGGTATGCATGTCCTCACAGAGAGGGAACCTGCCGAGGCTGGAATTCGCTTCTCGCATTGCGACAAGGTAGGTACATCGATTCTTCACGGTACGTTCATTCCGACAGCTTGATGGATTCTTTCGTTTTTCTTGAGATCTGTAATGAACCAGGAATGTCGCGGCAGCACGTTGCACGTCACGCGCGTCTGTACGCTAAGAATATCCGAGGGGGCAAGTGTCGGCCACGTCAGTCTGGATTTCTGAAGGAAGAATAAACCGCGACCGTTTCGCCATTTTATAACTGCTTTCCCTATCCCAGCCAAGTCCCAACCGTAATCTTATAGATCGATAGCTCTAAGGTCGCGAGCGGAGCCTCGCTGCCTTGTCGGAGTATTCGAAGGATGGTCCCAAGAGCACCCAATTGATTGAGTATCGTACGTGCAGTTTGCCGTTGAAATCATCGAGTCTCGAGAGCTTGCGGGAAATGTAAGGTCTCAAAATCGTGGAGACGGAAGGCATCATGATATGATGTAGAAGTTTAGAATCAGAGCCACCCCCCCCCTGAAACTTCCCCCGATTATCCGAGGAACGAAGAGCCGCATCCAATTCTGAGCCACTGCAGGACTTCTGTGGGAGAGCAGCCTCGACTGCTGAACGCGGATCCTTTCTTTCCCTGCGTGGAGCGTGGCAGGTGAGCTTCAGACTCCCCAATACGATTATACGTTAATCCTTGCTACACGATGACGATGCCGAGACCGGTGACTGCTAATCCGGGGTAGACGTTCTGTCTGTCGATATTGAGGATGAGCAGAGCCGTGAACGGGTTCTTTCTGGGATCAAGATCGCACGCTGAATGAGGAGAATAATTTGGGAGCTATGCTTCTACATTCGGAACGTAGACCTGCACATCCAAGTTCCAGAGGACTCCTGACTCCGAGCGACTTCGCTAGTTTTTAGCGGCTCCAGTTATGATATTTTATTTTACTAGGACGAGAACGACAGTGATTCTCTTTTCTTGGACAGCCGTCCCGATTCACTCGGGGGACGAATGGGCTCTCACTACTCTCAAATCACGACCCTGAAAAAGATGCCGGAGGAAAGGAATGGAGACTGGATGGAATCCGTGTGATCGGTGCTCGAATTCCAAGGATGAATTTCATTCCCAGACAAGACCCGTCCCAGAGAAGATGCAGTAATTCTCAATTGCGCTAGACGTTCGGAGATTCCATCCGGATCTTTCCGTAGATCCACCGCTGATTGGCGCATTCTCGGGACTCGGATCAGGGGGGATGGCATCAATGTGGTTCTGGTTACAAGGCAGCAGCCAATACTGATCAAGGAAGAGTCATCTCGCCCATCATTATCGATGCGATGCCTGGAGAGTCGATGAGAATCTCGATCAGCAGTCATCGTACTGATTCTCTATAAGCGAGGCGATTCATTTCTCACCAGACAGTTGTACTGTCAAATCTTGTAATAGTCGCATCCCAACTTTTTCACAGTTACGCTGGCTCACGGCGACTGTACAGCTATCGCTGTTGTGGCCGCTACTCTCTTCCCTCCACTGGCTGCTTCTCGATCTTCTGCTGCTGCTGCCGCCGCCACCGGTGCGCTAGCATTCAGTTCCGAGAATCGGCTGACTGAGCGAGTGAGCCGCCGAGCGACTCGCTCGCTCTTTGGCCGCCTATTTGGCTCCTGGCTGCCGGTCGCTCGCTCGCTGGCTCGGCCGACCGACCGGCCTGTCTGCCTGTTTTCTCTGCGGCTATATCCACGGACCCCTACAACTACTACCGCCACCACCACCACCGGCGCAGAGAGGAAGGCTCTCTGCTGCTTCGCTCACTGCTCGGGATTCGTGGAACCGACTGCGTCACTTCTCGGGGCTGCTTCGAGGACAGCCTACCAACGCACCAACCAGCCAGTTTATCTGCCTTTGTCGCGACTAAGCGACGAGCTTCGATATGGAGGTTAGTGTCCTTGCGTCAGCTTTACGTCAACTTTCCGCGCGGAAATGGATTCAAGTGACAGCGAGTTTCCGACAGGTCTTGGCGCGCGGATCTCACCCGACAGCTCTGATTTGGCCATGGAGACGGCCCAGGCTGAATGTGTATTGGGACCGAGCGATCGGGAGCCCCTGTCTTAAGTCTCAGTTTTTTCGTGCAAGATTATTTCTCGGGTCCGATAGCGCCCAAGGATCTTCGTGTGATTGTGCGAGGTGGAAGTGTTCTTTGAGTCCCAATCTTCGGAGAAGCTCTCAAATGTCCATCGACTGATCGGAGTATTTCATCTGAGTCAGCTCTCTCGGCTCGACGAGTGATTTCCCCATATCGCAAGTCGAACGAAAAGTTTTCCCGAATCCGGGCTCAAAGTATCTTGGAGCGACTTTCGGTTGAAATCATCTGTTACCGGAGTAGACCGCACCGGTCGAGTCAAAACCGTTCATTTCTTAGTAATCGTCATTCGCGGTGCACATCTTCGGAGCACCTCTTCCAAGAAGATCGGTATCATCCACCGCTCGACAACTTGCGTTCGTCGCGTTACGCCTGCGGCTCGTGACGTCGAGACTTCTTCACTCGATTCGACTTCTATCAATCAGCTAATCGGAACAATGGCAGTCTTGACTCGATTTCGAGTCGGCTGTACAATCTCTCGCCTCGGAGCCAGGATCCGAGTAGGAGGACTTTCTGAATAATCTCCCGATCCAGACCTTGGGCGGTGACATGGTCCAGGATATAGTTTCCTGGACGAAGCTCCACGGCTTCCATCGCGAATATCAAAATGTGTGACGAGGCCGAATAATTTCGCAGGCGAGCAGAGACTCGTCATGGGACCGACTACAACGACTGCCGGAACAGTATCGCCAGCAAATACATTCAATCTACGGAGAACACATGCCCTTGGATGTGAGAAAAGTTCTCTCGGACTGGCTGGACAAGCAAGATTGGCCTCTACTAAACCCGGATAATCCTGACATCAGCCAATATACGATCGTGTTAGCAAACCAACTCATCGCTGAGCTTGAGGTGAGCATAATTCAGATTACTAAATGGAGCTGATCATTTTTGCGCGTGATCAGCTCGATCGCTCTGATCGAGGTGCATGATCCCGAGCTTGGGCCGGGTTTGGGACCCTCCCACGATTTCTATTTATCAAATCCAGAGCTCTGGGCGAACTTTGATTTTTCCAAACCCGATCTTCCTGCAGCAGCCGAACTTTCGGAAGTTCCTGCTGGAGGGTTTCGGCCGAAACGGTCCGTACGCAGGTTTCAGACGGCACTTTCGAAGTCGCTGGAGGAAAGAGCCAAGCGACGTAGCCCGTCTTTCCTGTGAATCGAATGCCTTCTGAGAAGTCGGCAGAACGAATCGCCGCCGTAACAAGCTTACAACATTTGACAATATATATCGATGTAGAGCCGAGTGTGTTTTCTTCGGAAATGAGAAGATGACACACGGTTCCGCTCGAGGGATTCCGACGATATCACAGCGAGTCGAGTGAAATGTCCGGAATGGAATTGACCGTATTTCTGGACGAATGAATAATTCAAGCCATCTTCCTCCAGGACAAAGTAACGAAAACGAACGATACTATCAGCCGGATCAAACTCAGCGAAGCCCTGGTGGCGTTCAGGCAGAGTGTCAATACGGACCCCACATTCATGATCAGAATACTCCGAAATTGCATCATGCATGAGCAGAAAGTCATCGCGCTGTGCGAGGCATCGCTCGGTCTTAACCTCAACCCCGACCGCACCCTCGTGCTCCAACAAGAACTCGAAGAGTCTCGCCGCAACATTCGACGGCACGAAGAACAATACTTGAACATGGAGAAATTCGGCGGAACGTTCCTCTTCAATTACCAGGAGCTACAGAAGGCCAATTCTCAACTGCAGCGGATGCAGGCTTCTGGTCAGGCGACCGACTCAGCTCAGCATGAGATACGGCAATTGGAAAATCTCATCAAAGAGAACGCCAGAGAACTCGATCAGCTCCGACGGTCTTTCATAGAGAGTTTAACAGGTGGGATCGATATTCAACCTCACTCAAACGCTAAGGCCTAACACTCAGTACCATGACCCCCCTCCCCTCCCTTCGTTCCTCGTCGCGGGTAATCCCGGAGGGTCCGATGGTTTCGAAAGATCATTCTACAATGCCTCCGACATTCCTTGTTGCAGATAGCGTCCGGTTCTTAGGACACGTTGAGCACCAGATAATCGGCGAGGAGCTGCCGAACTGGCATCGCGCACAACAACTTTCTGGAAACGGTCAACCGATCGACATCAACTTCGAACGTCTGCAAGAGTGTTGCGAGTCGCTCGCCGAACACATCTATCTCCATCTGCAACATGTGGAGAAATTGAAGTATTTAGTCATTAAATTGCCCACGGCGTCTGAGGCGAGTTTCAAAGAGAGTTTCGAAATTTTGGAAACTCAGCTCAAAACGCTATTATCCGCCCTGGTGAGCGGGACATTCGTCATCGAGAAGCAGCCACCGCAAGTAATGAAAACGAACACTCGATTCACCGCAACAGTTCGACTCCTGGTGGGCGCAAAACTAAAGGAGCTCTTCGAGAAAAATCCAAGCGATCCTCCACAAGTGCGAGTTTCCATAATAAGCGAAGCGCAGGCTGTAGTTCTCGCTCGGAACAACGGCTATCCGTCTACCGATGTTGCTGGTGAAATTCAAAACAACATGGGCGCTATAGAGCATCATCATTCCTCGAGACAATTCTCAGCCTCGTTCAGAAACATGTCCCTGAAGAAAATACGCCGCGCGGACAAGAAGGGCACCGAGAGCGTGATGGACGAGAAGTTCTGTCTGCTTTTCCAGTCGGTGATGAAGATCGCCGACATGACGTTCCACGTACAGGCCCAGTCGCTGCCGGTCGTGGTCATCGTGCACGGCAACCAGGAGCCGCACGCTTGGGCCACCATCACTTGGGACAATGCGTTTTCGGAGCCTAAACGACTGCCGTTCGTTGTCCCGGATAGCGTCAGTTGGAACAAGATGGCCCACGTTCTCTCGACGAAATTCTTCAGCGCGACAGGCCGCGGTCTATCCGAGAGTAATCTTCATTTTCTCGCCACGAAAGTATTTCATAACGCGAATCTTCCGCCCGACTACGGCGAGCTATTGGTGACCTGGAATCAGTTTTGTAAAGAGCCTCTCCTGGATCGGAGCTTCACTTTCTGGGAATGGTTTTACGCCATTATGAAACTGACCCGCGAACATCTGAGGCCGATTTGGATGGACGGTCTCATCTGGGGCTTCATCAGTCGTCCCGAGGCAGAGGGCATGCTCCTCAAAAAAGTCACCGGTACCTTTCTGCTGAGATTCTCCGACTCTGAGCCCGGAGGGGTCAGCATAGCTTGGCTGGCGGAAACAGAGAACAATCAGAAGGAGATCCTGATGGTTCAGCCATTCACCGCCAAAGATTTTCAAATACGGAGCCTCGGCGATAGGATATCTGACCTCGGGGTATGTAGATTGCCTTTTCTATCTACGCGGAGTGAAGTCCAATGGAGCTGAGCTGAGAAGCTTCATCACCCCTGTCTTTTCAGAGCTTGGTGTATCTCTACCCGGATATACCGAGAGATCAGGCTTTCGGTAAATACTACACGACCCTCCAGCAGAGTCATTCTCACGGGACGAATGGCTACGTCCGGCCATTGCTCGTGACTCAGATAGCGGTTCGTCAGTTGCACACAACCGACTCAAATCCACCAACTCCTCTGCCGTTCTACAATCATCCGGAGTCTAACATGTTCGCCGCCGTTCCCGAGACCGGCTTCGGGGACCCGAACCTGCAGTAAGTTCATAGCAGTCATAAATCTCTTGGGTCTAAAACATAATAGTCCCTCCGCATGGAGATCGGTTGGTTTTCTGCCGACTTCGGACTCTTTACCGAGAGCTTGTATTTTTCAGGCTTTTCAACTTGAACGCGACAAATCAGCCCATGAAACGTCAGAGGGACGAAAGTTTCTGCTCCCTCCAGCACTCGAGCTGGCCGGAAGTGAGCGACCGAGTGGACTCCAGCGTTCACGAACAGACTTGAGATTCATTCCTACTTAAGTAAAACTTAGCCAACCCCGACGAATTTGATCGAGGCAGTAGATATATCGAAAAACGCTCTGGAGCCAATTCCTGTACATCTTTTGATAACGTGTCCTTCTTCTCGATCACGTGGAATACTGCTCGAGTAATTCTATCTCATGAAACCAGCTCCTGGGTCCGCTACCAAATTGCATTTCACATCCCATCGACGCGAGTTGCTTTCAGAAAGTGTAATGTACAGTATTGTATCAGATATCTATTGTAAATATTCTCTTCGACAATCGGCGTAATAAAGTATTATGACAGGGGAGTATTATTTCACCCGAATATGTGCTCGTCATCCTCTAGGGCTAAGTGATCGATGAGAGCGGATGTAGAGCCAATGGCGGCATCATGCCCAGGCTCCGGGACTTCAGCGAGAGAAACGGCGCGTTCCGATAGAATTCTGACGGGACCGCGCGGCGCAGCGTTCCGAAACAATATTCATCGTGGGGACCTCCTGGATAACCCCTGATCGGAGGAGGGACTTCATTCAACCGTCAAGTTCTTCTCTAGTATGGTGATTGCCTATCAAGCATGATGTTGAACCAGAGAACCTGCCATTGAGAGCAGTGGCCTCCTCTATTTCGCGAAGGAAGTCAGGCGTAGTCACGGAGGGCAAGCATGATTTTCCCGCAGGAATGACCCCGAAAACGGGGGGATCCTGACAACTCGAGCGCTCCGCGAGAGAGAACGAGCCTGCGGAAGACCATTGCTGAAGAAAATATTGAGCTTCGGTTCAGAAATGTGCAGCTGGCTATTTCTACGACGAGCACAGAGGAATGGATTTCTCGCCTAGCGGTCGGGATCAGATATCTATTCTCCCTCGAATGTAAAGATCGATTACGGAACGGGAGATATCGCCGGTCGGCAAGCATTGCACGAACATACTACACCCGCCGCACTCCTAGGAATCTGGATCTCGTCGAGGCGAAGTCGAGCTGATCCTAGATCTTCATCTCTGGCTGATTATTATTGCTGTCCTTGAGCGCCAGCCTAGGTTTCGGGAATCCGTGGGCCCGGTATTGACGAGACTCGACGCTGCCTCCGAAATTTGCCGTGAGCGATCTGGAGGTATTTCCGGCATTGCTTCATTTCTAGCGTTCGGATACTCCGGGGATTCCGTCGTTTTATACTTCGCTATTTCAGTTCTCGGGTAGAGCCCGAGCGCCTTGTGTAGTGGTCGGAATTCAAATCCTTCCGGGACGTCTGCCGGGACAGATTAGAAGAGAGGTGCTCCGCGGAGCGAGCCCTCAATCGGACAGGATCGGAAAGGGGTCAATCCGGCAGCCGCCGAGATTGATTGATTGATTTCATTTGCATTGTTCAGGAATTTGACCAGGCTAGAATTGAATCGGTGGTGTGGTGTTCGGCTCCGAGATCCACGAGCTGCGAAGGTTCGAAGCAGTCACACTCCCTCGGAGCTGATACTCCGCTAGAGGGCTTCGGGAACGCTTCTGTCGACGAGGCTCTAGGAAACTGGAAGCTTCACATCGGAGTCTTATCGAGGGTTCCTGCTCAGCATCGGGCGACCTTCATGCAGTTTCATTGGGCTCAACCCCCTCCATAGATATCGAGAGATTTTTGAACGAGCACTTCATTCGTGCTGTATGCTCAGGCAAGACAGTCGCAGACACATAATGACGCCCCAAAAATGTTCGAGCGTGTTTTATTCGAGGTATATTGCAACATCGCAAAGCCTTGGTCCTGGACACGGGATGAAGCAGTTTTCAGCGAATGTTTGTTTGTTTCAGCATAGGTTTCTCTGTCTTGGCTGAAGATCTCTGCTACAATCCCGATCTAGAAAGTAACTCAACGACTTGAGAGCTCACTGTGATCGCCGTATGGAGACCTTTCTGCTAACGGCATATTTTATGTACTTTTCTAAGGAGCCGAGATGTAGGCCTAGGTGCAACAATAATTCTCAGACCCAGCGACAAAACGGCTATGGCACGCTTCCGGTACCTTTTGGGACTGAGTTTGTGAACGACTGACGATGTGCTTCATAAACCTGAAAATAGCATTCTCCTAGTTGATCCTAAATCATGCAACAAGGGGATGAGGGAGTTGTGTCCAACAAGGGGGTGGAGAAAGAGTATCACGCAATTCATCTCACAATTCGAATCAGCTAAAATAGATGTGAGTCACCCTGCCTCAACTGACAAGCCTACTTTTCGTCTACACTCAACAATGATCACACAAGCTATTCTTGAAGCTTGAAGTCTCGTGCTGGTCCTTACATAGAGAAAGTTCGATGTCGTTCCCTTGGAACGAAGAGAGGTAAACGGTTCGGTCTAGGAGGGAGTTGCTCTAAAAAAACACACTCGAGCGTTCCCGATCCTCAAACCGGTGTTGAGACCTTAGAGTCTATAGTGGACGAAAGCTCTCATCACAAGCAGAGCAGGCGAGCTCAATATCACTGGATTCGCAGATTGTAGGTGATTTCTCAACATGAATATGTAGATGCCGGACCCAATAGAAGAATGAATGAAGCTCGCAGTCGCATCTCAACCGAGACTGTTGACCTCGCTCGCTAATGAGACTTGGACCGCGGAGAAGTCCAAGTCAAACTCGTCTATGTCGAGTAGATCCGTCTCAATCAGGTAGTCCATGAGTCTGTAAAGAAATTGTGAGTTGGATCGCGAATCTTGAATACGGTAGAAACTAAGCCGGGCTTCGACTCTTCTTCGAGTCTCTGTGGAATAGAACAATGACATCACGCACTCGGATGAGTCTGCATGAGCATTAGCGGACCGTTTTAGGAAGCAAATCGCGTAAGCTCGTCATCTTTTATTCGTTACGGATTACAGCGCCCTAGCATTTTCCGGATGCGTCAAAAGCCATGCCGTTCTCGCGCTCAGAGGAGTGAGAGAGAGCGCGAGAGAGACTCCCCTAAAAACCGAGCAGTGCAACATATAGGAGGTCCGAAAACAAGTGTCTGGTGTAACTTATGAAAATATACAGTCTGAATTTTCCGAATATCCAGTGAAAGATCAGGAACCCGTCCTAGATCGATCCGTTTGTGTTCACAGTCTGTGAACGGGCGTCTTCCCTCCTGCCGCGATTCTCCAGACAGGTATTTCGCCGGGGAATCGGAATGCAGGTGGAAGAGAGGCTAAGCCGGGACTATAGAATGGCTTAAACGCGGCGACCGAAGTCGTGAAACGCACAATGGTCGTAGGTTAACAATCGAAAGACAGTGAACTGTCCGTAGAACAGCATCGATTCTTTAGAATAGATCCCCAGTCCCGAGCAGGAGGGGGTCGATTTCAATGTTGAGCCCCTTAGACCCCCGAAGACTCGGGAAAAATAACTCGGCGGGAATTCCGGCTTATAGGATTTCGTATCACTGTATGTGGAATCAGTTCGCGGTCTCAATAGCAACAATCTTATACGTTGAATAGTCCTCTGAGATCTCTCACGAATCGCGAAATGCTTTTTTCGAGCGAGGCTTCAAGATTCTCAAAATAATAATTGTCATTTCAGTTCCGCTCGTGGGCGAGAGTCGGCGAAGTTTGCCATTCAGAAAGCTGAACGAAGTCCTCTCGCGGCCGTTTCAGCGGCTGTCCAGATTTCAGTGCAAAAAGCCTGTGCAAAGAGAGTAGGGTCGATAATTAGCTCAAAACACTTGGGATGACGCACCGGTTCACACAACCCACCGACGGGGAACAGGGTTCAACAACGACACGCGCACAGGGGACTTTCTTCGTGGATTCCCCTCTCGGACACATCCGACTCCTCCTCCGAGCATGCTTGGTCAAAACAGCTTCGGCGGAGCATGCAGTCCGCCTTGCTGACTGATCGGGCAAAATCTGTCAGCAGGAATTTAGCGAATTGAGATCGGGGCACTTACTCAATTGAGTTGGGATCGTACGACCCGTCGTTCCTCGTGAGCTGCATGCTGTTCTCGACTGCACCGTAGTGAGACGCCGGACTGGCTGCGTTCGAATCGAAGTATGACGGCTGATGCATCCCTGGCAGCTGGGTGACGAGAAGAGGCTTCACGTAGCCATTCGCCGTGGCCCCATTTGATTGTTCCACTGCGCTTGTGTAATATCTTTGGAAAGCTTGGTCCTTCGGTATGTCGGGGTAGAGATACAAGAGGTTCTGAAACGGAAGAGATCGGTTCGAATACATCGCCCAGGATCACCTAGAGGGGAGCGGCGAGAATCGATCGAACAAGGACGTATCGAGCTCCTGACTGGGGAAATCGATCGGGAACAGGACTCGACGTTCCATTTCCTGAATGAGCTTATCGTGATCTTGACGCATCGACAATGCCCGTGAGGACGCATGCATTATCCGATCACGTATCCAGCGTGCATGCAAGAGGGAACAGTGGGAAAAAGTTTTTTCCATGGAAAAATCCTCCCCTCACCTTGAGATCGAACAAGATGTCGGCAAGACTGCGGATCTTGAAGCCCACGGAGGTGAACGGTTTGATCATGAGAATTTTCTTGAGACCCTCCTGCTCGACGACGTACGCGATTGTCAATCCTCCCTGTTCAGAGTCCGAGAATCGCAGCAGGAAGGTGCCGACCGCCCTCTTGAGCAGCATTTCCTCCGCTTCCTGCCTCCCGATGAAACCCCACACGAGTCCATCGACCCACAGAGGTTTCAGATGCTCGCGAGTCAGCTTCATAATCGCATAGAACCATTCCCAAAATGTGAAGTTCCGATCCCGGAGAGGCTCTTTGCAGAACTGAGACCACGTGACAGGATATTCCCCGAAGTCTGCACCGAGATTCGTTTTCCGGAGCGCTTTAGTTGCCAGGAAATGCAAATTGCTCTCCGAGAGACCAGCGCCAGTGGCCGCGCGAAACTTCATGGAGAGAACTTGAGCCATTTTTGACCAGGGAACTCTCTCGGGAACTTGGAACGGTTTCCTCAAGCTGTCGGAGAACGCATTATCCCAGGTGATCGTCGCCAGTGCGTGAGGCTCCTGATTCCCATGTACGATCACCACGACGGGGAGAGATCGCGCCTGCACGGCGAAAGTCATGTCGGCGACTTTGATTACCGACTGGAACAGGAGACAGAACTTCTCGTCCATCACGACAGATTCGCTCCCTTTCTTCTCGGCTCGTTTGATTCCTTTGAGCGACATGTTCCGGAAAGAAACCGACAGCTGTTTGGTTGCTTGGTGGTATTCCATGGCGCTGATGCTGTTGAGGATTTCCCCGGAGACCTCGTTAGTCGGATGTCCCTCGTTGCGAGCCAGATTCGAAGCTTGCGTCTCGCTCATGATCGACACCTCCACTTTCGGGGGTGACATGTGAACGTTCAGTTGCCCTCCGACAAGGAGGCGAACCGTAGATTTGAAGCGTGTATTCGTCTTCAACACCTGAGGTGGCTGTTCCTCAATCACGAAAGTCCCGCGCACAAGTGCAGACAGTAGCGCCTTGATTTGTGTCTCCAACGAGGAGAATTGTTCCTTCAAAGACGGCCCCAATGTGGTCGGTATCTTCGTGATGAGCAACTCCAACCTCCGAACCAGCTGGAGATGCTGCCACGCCAGTTCTGCGAGGGATTCGCACCATGCTTGAATTTGGTTGAGATTGCTCTCGAACTGTAGCCCGTTGCCCGCGAGCTGTTGTAGTCTCTGCCATTCCGCCAGATGTTCATCGATGATGAGATGCCGCAGACCGTTCAAGCATTGCAAGCTTTCTGCAAAATGAGACATTTTCTTTCAATATGGCCATCTTCGCACGCTCCGTATACGAGAGCAGATCTCCTCGAGGGCGAGCACGAGGCGGAGGTTGAGGATGAGAGGAGACTCCGGGGAAGAGTGTCAGAGAAAAAGATTTATCGAGAATGACGGGTCTCAAAGGGGGATTGTGGTCTGAGTATCGAATGTTAATATTAACCAGAACGCTGGTATTAATTATATCAGTATTATAGTATATTAATTATACTATATTAATTATATCGTATCGGATGTTGATATTAACCAGCACGCTGATATTAATTATATTGGTATTACTGATTATTACTATTCGGAGGGAGGGGTTCGGACTCGATCCTGATGGCCTGTCACCGAAAAGCCGGAGACTTACTGCTGAGCTTGTCGAGGAAATCGAGTCTCTCCGAATGTAACTCATTCGTCTTAGCGTTGATGAGTGCCTCGAACTGCGAGTATTCCAGCTGAGCTCTTTGCACCGTTTCGATCGGCTGGTTCGAGTCGCGCAACTGCTGGAGTTGTTCCGCCCGCTTCCGGAAATTCTGATACGGAAACACGAACGCTTCTTCGTCTTCATGCATCGCCTTGATTTTTTCCTCCATTCGCTGACTCTCGAGACGTGAAGCTTCCAGATCCTTTTGTATTGTCATAGCTGGATCAGGCCGGAGGAGCGTTGCACTCTGAGCGAGCGTTTCGTCATTCATCCTGAATATTTTCTCCTCGCTCAATATGCAGTTCCTCAGCACACACATCAGGTAAGCCGGATCCTGGACGTAGGCTAGTTTGAGGTTGTTCAAGTGCTTCGCGAGCTCATTGCGGACAGCCGGATCGAGCGTCCTGGTGGCGTGTTCCTGCAGAGAAAGGTCATCAGCTCATTCGATTTACGATTCGCGCGTCAAATACGTAAGAGAGCCTTCGAAGTATTCCGGGCAAAATATCGTCCCGCCTCGGCTACTAGTGCTCCAGACCTATCGGTGGTCTCATCGTCGGAGAGACGATCGGCAGAGAGGGATGTATCCGGGCAGAAATTCGATAACATCCGGGTGACCTTTCTCAGGCCTTTCGACTCACCTCGAGCACAGAAAAGAAATCATTGGCGAGCTCCAACATATACTTCTTCACTTCGGGGGTTTCCGCAACTAGAGATTGCCAGTTCTGTTTATCGATCCAGTCCGAGAGTGCCTTCCGGACCTCAATCGGGAAGCTGAGGTTGCTGTAGAGTACCAAGGTCTGCTCCTGGTACTCACATGGGAGCCGCTGGATGCGATCCCAACTCGATGTGACGGGCATCTGGAAAAAATATTTAATTTTCTCATGTCTTTCTGGTCTCCAGCGCATGTCGCGACCTCATGAGATCGGGGAGACATCTGCCAGGCTGCTTGACATCGCGCCCTGTCGGAGCTCACACGAAAACGTGAATGCGGAGAGCTACACCCGACGCGTACGAGGGAAAAATAGGGTTGGTCAAAGCCGGCTGCACCGATGGTGATTCACCCTCGAAGCTCCCTGTCCTCGATAGAATGTGTTCGCAAGCGACAGGGATACCACTCGTCGGAACATTATCGTCCATCTATCTCGATAGACTGTACTCTTCCCTGTACGCTAGCACAGCGGAACCCAATGGAGTTTCCTTTTCCCGAAGTGGCCACATATGCTGAAGTGAGCGGCTAAAGTTTCTCGAAACGCGCGAGAAGCCACCCAAATGTTCATCCAATGACAAGAGATGACATAACTGTAACACCTACGCTGAACCACATGGTGGCGGGACCGACCGTTCCCTGAGCGATCCTCGTCACTTATTGTGCTTTCGAGAAACTCGCCGCTAACCTCGAGTCCCGAGACTTTCTCGACGGGAAACTCATCCGATGAGGTGGGGGCGGAACAAGGGCGCTCGAGGACAAGGGGCGATACGTCACTTGCGAGTTCCAAGAGATTGATGTCGCGACGATTCTCGAGATGTCGATGGGGAGTTCGACCAGAAGTGCTGCAACTAGCGCACCGAGGAACCGATAATCACACCGCGAGAGATGTCCTTGACGTGGCAGGGAAATAGACTAAGAGTCTCTCGATCTCTTGTTGTTCGTGGGCACTCTTGCCCTCGCCATTTTCTCTTTCAATAACAGAGAGCCGGGTGGCGATTGAACCGACAACCGGCTTCCGACCATAGCGCCAAGAAGGAGCTCAGCGTGTACTTGTCACAGCTCAGGATCATGGGGTTTCATCCCGCTTCGGGACACCTCCGGAACGCTCGTCAATGTGCCCGTTTACGGTTCCCGCTTGTCAATGTCACTGAAATTCGTACGAACTTGTGTACTTGACCCAGCGCACCGAGAGACCGAGGAGGAGACAGTCAGAGACGCCCTTGACGTGATCGGCCATTAGATGGGAAGTCAGTCACTCGATCCACGCTTGACAGTCACTGGGGATCATCTTTCCAGTATCGCACTCGACGGTAGAGAACAGGATAGAGATCAAAGCGGCTATCAGCTCTCGACAAAAGCTTCGACCAGAGGCTTTCTGCGCACCTGCTGCTGTTGCTCTGACTCATAGAATCATATCCCGTTTCAGAACACAACCTGAACATTTGCGCTAGGAGTCGGTCTGTTCTGAAAGATCCTCTTACCTCCATGCCGCTGCCAGTACACCGGGCGATGGCTGTCCTGGAAATGACGCGGCCGCTTCCACGAATTCCTGGCCAAGCGGAGCCTTACGAGCCCTGTATTGAGGCAATCATAGACAACTCCTGGAACTGAACGTCAGCGCCGCCAAAGGCGGAGAGGAGGGGGCCAGCATCACACCGTCGACACTCAGACCCGCACTCTCACCCAAACTCACATACTTACCACCACCGCCATGACCACTGTTGCCTCTTCCTCCTCCACCTCTTTGGCGCAAAAGTGCTCTGGGAGAGGGTACCCGGGATACGACGAACGGGTCCCGCAAAGTTTGAAAAGTTGCTCGTGAACTGTATGGCATCAGTGGGTTTGGACTGAGAGATGGATCGCATCAGATCCTGGCTCCGAAAACTCGGCTAATTCGGTCATCAGCTTGACAGTCTGCTATGGTCTCAGACAGCCCACTAGACACCTATCGTCTGGGAAGAGCCGCTCTAATTCCTCAACAACATGACTCTTATTGAGCTCCTGAAGTCGATGAGGACTTCTTCAGGACTTGCGGCTGCCATTGAGAATCGCATTCGAGAGAGCAATGTGGAGTAAGGATTGAGGAAATAGATTCTTGAATGATTCGTCCCTCTCCCTAGTGATGAGTCCCCAGCTTCATCAAATACTTCCCGGAGCTCACCAGAAAATGCCCGCGCACCGATGAAATTCCCCCCCGCCACTCCATCAACTGCATGACACCGATTGCTGAACCTCAAGGTGATCCTCCTAGGCCCTGGGACGTCACTGGAAGGGGAGGAATAGCGGAGCTCGGATGAGAAGATTAGGACTGATTATCACAGGGAATCTCCCCGCGGTCGACCCCTGTGCCTATGCCCCTTCCCGGAGACCGAGAACTATTGTGAGATGGCGCGACGGCTCCTCCGAGCCGGATCTGTTTTTTCGGATGACATTTTACACTCTATCTTGTGCGGCGGCTCTTGAGTGTGCGTACATCTACCAGTCTTTCTGAGAGTCATTTTACAGATTCCATGGAAGGGCTGCACGGTCACTTAGTGCAGACCTTACTCGATGAGTGATGAGATGTACGAACCCGCGAATGGTTCCCGGGAGCGAAGATATTCAAAGACAACCGCGACGCTCATGGATACCTGAATGATCTCGATGGACCCAGTTTCTAGTTATCAGCAGCTCTGTGGAAGCGCCAAAGAGAGTTCTTCTCGCACTCGTTCCGCCTCGGAGCCCCAGGACAAGCAGTTGTCCGTGAAGAGAAGGAATCGACAAGGAAGAATCTTCGGGCGGGGAATCATCCGAGACTCAGAGAAGAGGACTGAACCTCATTCATTCGTATGAGTTTGCAGCAGAGGTTCGCGGAGCTTCGCGTTGGAACTCGAAAAAAATTCGAGATGGAGGGGCGGAGCTGTGCGTCCCGCCGAGCATTGAAAGTCCCATAGACTCAATGCTTGAGCGCCGCGGCGCGCCACGGCGCTCGCTTCCTCATTGAGTCAACATCGACCGATGATAGCGTGTCCTTGTCCGGGGTCTGATGTCTCGGGGTAGAGATAGAGCAGGATTCGATTTCGATCAAGTCTTTCGATTTATCATTCCTGCCTGAGAGCTGCTGTGAGGTCTTCAGTAAGCAGACTATCGCGGGGTGTGCGAGATGAGAATGATTTGATTCGAAATCGGACACCCGGTCGGCGATTCGACGGATCTGCGAATCTTCCGCAGAGGAGATTCTGATATTGTGGATCTGTCGTTACCTGTCGGTCACGTTCACCCACAAGCCCCCTCGGGCTTCGGATGCGGGGTCGAAACCCCGACCGGATGTACCGACAGCCGGCTTCAAGACTTTCCCCTGAGCTTCAAGTTGGTCGGCGGTACTTGATGTGGCCACAACCACCCACAGGGATTTGAGGTGCGCCTGAGTCGGATTCATGATGACATCGAACAACTCCCAGAATATGAAATCACGGTCTGGGGGGGGGTTTCCACAGACGTAAGACCAGATGAGCGATGAGTCCCCTCAGCCTAGACCTGATCGGAATGGGGATAGAACTTCTCCTCACTGACGCTCTCGCTAACTCTGCTTTCGGGCCTCCTCAGTTTTCCCCAGCGACATGCCCGGAAGCGAGACAGCGAGCTGCCTTGAGGCGTCACGGTACCCCTGACGTTCCTGGTAGTCCGACACGGAAGCTTCTTCGAAGCTCGCCATTTGCAGCATATCGTCATTCCTAAATATCCTCTGGAGCATGGGTGTCTGCGATCATTCATAGATCCCGGAGATTCTCTGCTCATTCAAAACGAAGTCTCGTAGGAGAGGAATAAGCGTAGGCCTATCTGAGTGAGTTTAACTCCGAGCCTAGTCAGGACGTCGATGAACGCGGTCGATTGGTAAGACGAGCTGTGAGCCGCCTGCGGCAGGATAATGATTATATTCAGCTACCGTGCGATAGGTGACAGATCCGATTTGGATTCCCCGCCTTACTCGGACCTTGGAAGGAAGTAGCTCCCCCTTCAAGAGCAAGCTTTGATACCGGATTCGCTCGGGTAGTCGCCGCGGACTTCCCCCACGTGAGATGACGTATACCTACAACTGATTGCAACAGCCTCATTTCGCTCAGTATTCGGGAGGATCCTCTCCTCGATATGGGATGCCCGTCCTAGACTCCGAGCGCATCCGAAAATCGGGCGGAATGGGACTGAACTGTCCTGCGGGCCCACTTCCCTCGCGCACTGAACTATCAGTTGGAATAGTACAATGGAGACTTCCGACCTGAAGGATGGTATAGGGCTCAAGGGTCAAAAGGGAGCGGGAACTAGTTTCGCCATTTTTTTGAACCCGGAGGTTCTCGCCATTCAAGACATCAGTGGAATTAGGAGTTTTCTCTCGCCCCTGCTTATGGCTGACAACATCTCAGACGAGGAGGCCTGCAAACGGAAATTATATGAAAAGTTTATTCGAGAAACTCGGGAACCACGCCGATCGATTTGGAGGAGTCCGCTAACAGCTTGACTGCAGATGAGAGGAATCGAGAAGCACAGGACGTCACGCAGGAGGGATAGGGTACCACGCGGGTTTGATTAGAAACTCCCCACGCAGACACCTCCGGTTACTCCCCTAATCAGGTCTATGCAGTCAAGGCGCAGCATCCCTCGCTGCTGAATTATTGTAGGATGGAGGCCTCGGGGCGAGGTGGTAAACGGAGCAGACTCGCTGCTTCCGATAAGTTTCATCCGTGAATTGTAACTCTCGCTTCATTGAGTTTGGGCCGTTCGCGCCCTTTGAGCTGTCCACGATTGTCATTGCGAGACGCCGGATCGGATCAAGATATTCGTGATTCGTGATTCGTCTCGAAATGCCCGCGACCGACTGGGAATCTCCGGCCTTGATAGCTCGAAACTGATAGCGGCAGTCGGCTGTCCGACGCCTCATTCTCTCTCGTTCGATCATATCAAGCCGAATCCGCGATCAGTAGCTTTCCTGGAGCAACCTGCTCGTATACTTTACATATTCATGAACGGAAACGAACGTATCATCTCAATATTCACAGAATCAAAATCCGGAGCGCACGCGAAAAGAAATGATTCCGATCTCTCCCCATGCATATGTAGAGCTAGTTAGATGGACAAGTGAAAATGTTTCGTGAATTGGAATCGGGGAAGCGGATGGAGGATGTGGCAAGTACTCCCTTGACAAGTCTTGCAATGAATCTGTGGAACGGTCCTCTCCACCGGAGCTCCCAAGTTTAGAGAGAAGAATGGCGTAGTAGTTGTTTCGGGAGCGACATATGGGCGTTCAGCCGCCCTCCGAGGACGGGGCGAGCTCTGGATTTGGAGCGTGTTTTGGCTTCCAACACCTCGGCAGGCTGTTCCTCGATTACAGGAGACCCGCGCACAAGTGCAGACAAAGACTGCTCTATTTGTGTCTCCACCACAGAGAATTATTCCTTCTTCGAAGACGGCCCTAACTCGGTCGGTTCCTTCTCTATGAGCGACTCGAGCCTCTCAACCAGCTGGAGGTGCAGCCATGCGAGCCCAGCGAGGTATTCGCACCATCGAATCTGAATCGGTTGGCATCGCTCTCGAACTGTAGCCCTCGGCCCACGAGTCGTTGAGACCTCTACCAGTCCGCCTGATTTTCTTCGATGATGAGATCCCTCCGAACCGTCTTACCGGTGCGAGGTTCCTGGGGAATGAAGTCTCGACTCCCATGTGGAAGTTCATCCAGTTGACAATCGGTAGCTCAATCCTTACGGCGACCTTGGAGTCGATTGTCGGAGCGTTCCCTATTTCGAATTGAAATCGCCAAAATCGGATCCCAAATCACGGACAGCTCGCTAGAGCAAGCGTTGGCCCCCCCCCCCTCGCAGGCTCTCGCCTCTCCAGGAGAGCTTCCGTGGAAGCGAGGAATAGGGCAGAGTCACGAAGCTAGGATGAGCCGTTCCATGAAAACTGTCCAGAGGATTGAGCTCGGATTTTGCAACTCTCGCTTTCATCACGCTTATGACTCAGGCATTGCAGCGGTCATTCCTGATTTGATTGAAAAAAAATCATGCAAGTTCTCGCTGAATGCAACGCTGATTCACCGCATGACTACGGGAGGAGGAGGAAAAGGAGGGCACCCCCTTCCATCGGAGGGAATAAAGAAGACAAGGAAAGGTGAATCCTGATCGTGGAAGAGCTGTGGACACTTGATTATGACGGACGACGATTTCGGAAGGGCGGTCCCTAAGCTTCCCGGATAGGGGACAAACCGATCGACCGGATCCGGTTGACTCGGGTCATGGCGGGACGTCTCCCCCAGCATCGCGGGTCCGGGCCATGATAGGTGAATGAACACTCGTCACAGCTTTGTTAGACTCATAGCTTCTCTCATGACGAGCGCCGTATTATTACTCGTATCTTACGTCATCGAATCCATGGAGCGCCGTCCGCGGACGAGCGCGATTAAACTCTTCGAATAGGTGGATAACACTTAACTTGAAGGACTTATGTCACTTATCTCACTAGGGAAGTCGCGACGGCCAGTCCCATCACTTTTCGCGAGGGTATAGTGAGTCCCGCTTCCGGAATCGATCATGCGATGTCTTGCTAAGAGCTAAGTCGTCAGTGTATCCGATACATGGATCCGAGTCCTGTGGGAAGGGACTGGTCAGCAACAGAATTATAGTGAACCTGAATGAATATGAAGAATCCGCTGGAAAACGTTTTGCGAAACAATGCTCCGATGCGGATAGTTCCAGACCGCGAGCTGTAGAGCGCTATCCGCTGCAAAACTCGAACGACAATCGAGATACCAGAGTTTCAACGGAACAATCTCGTACTGCGTAGCAATTGCCAGCTCTGGATGACCGAACCTAATCGCGGTGTTTCTCGCCGAGTTTTCATGGTCAGATGCTTAGGCATCGACTATGAAGCTGAGATTGAGACCCCAATGGACTCGCAGAGCTGGGAGGAGACGATATCGACTGATCGTTGGGAAGATCTCGACGGTAAAGTAGCGGATCCATCTCAAGTTCGAATCGATCAAGTCCGGTCGGCGGCGTGAATGAGGTTTCTCTCTCTGTCTATATGGCAAAGTCATGATCTGACAAAGAGCCTCATGGTCCTCGATGTCGACAACTGACGGGAGGCGGCAGGGATCGGAATCATGGAGCTCCGATGCCATCGAGAACCTCATTCGGGGTGAGAAAAGAACGATATCTCTCTCTCCGTAGGTACCCGTCTAACAGAGAGAATAGGATAGTCAGTCTAGCAATATCCCAATAGGATTTCTTGTCGCTTGATAGTCGAGAGCTCGGGAAGCTTCCTCCCCCTAGGAGACGCGAGACGATCATCTAGTAAGCCAAGGATACTCGAGCTGCGGAGAAATCCAAGTCGAAATCTCCAAAATCCAGAAGATCCGTCTCAATAAGGCAATCCATGAGTCTGAAACAGGAAGAATGTTTCGATTCGAATTTCCTTTCGGTACTTTCAGTTGGAGCCTCAACCTGAGATTTTTTTCGGAATTAGTGGAAGCCCCCGAGTTCCCAAAAAGGTGCTCAAAGATTTTCGCTGAGATCTACGCAAAGTCATCTAAAAGTCGACCACGGCTCTCATAATACTTAAACCCCGAATGCATCATGCATGAGACTACAATGGTTAGACTGTCCATCGTCCAAGCCCAATGCGAAGCCTTCCGTAAGCGCTCCAACTTTATTCTATGTACAACAATACTTCCTCCCAACCGAGCTCTGGACAAAGCCCCCAGCTCGAGACTGATTGGAAAGCCCCCCGCCAATCCAGATAAAACGGGTCGATTGCGCTGACCGAGGACGCCGTAGAGTATGAACAATCCCTTTCTGGGGTGAGTTTGTGGTAGGAACACTGCGGAAAAACTTTTCGTCGATCGGCAATCGACGACGACGCGTCGAACGACGCATTGGCACTTGAGTCGCGAGAGGACGAGTCCAATCGTCATGAGAAAAATTGGAAATGATAGATTCTCCCGTAAACAGTCCAGGAAAAACATGTAGCTCTCCACAGGGACTCTTCGACATAATATGTAGTCGTCGTCTTCCCCTTGAGATCTTGGAAGAACGCGCGGATTAAAATGGGCAGCTAAGGGGCTGTTCTCAAAAATCACAGTGCTCTCAAGTCTGATCGTGCCCGACATCGGCGGTAGCTTGCCAGTTGGACACCTGTTGGATGAAGTCCTCCCGTTGTCTTTTCAGCGCTTGTCCGGGGTTCTGTGCAAAAAGCCTGCGTGAGAAGAGGAGGGTTGGGAATTAGCTTCGACGATCTAAAACAAACACCGAGGCAAAATTTTCCGCCAGAGAGGCCCAGCCACGAGGGATGAACTCATTGGCGAAAATTTCTCTGGCGCATTCCAGAAACTCTCTGAGAAACGAATAAGACCTGACCCTGTGACTAATCTAGATATATCTTTCCATGCGACATTCTCATTGCGTCGGCCCATCACCGATATGCGTCAGCCGATCAAATCAGGAACACCGGGTACAAGTCGAGAACGTCATTCACTCGCCGAACTCTCATGCTGCACGTGCAGAAGCGATTGAGGAATGGGGTTCATGTGCCAAGTCATGCAGAAAGGTTCCAGAAGTTCCGGCCATGTGAGCCGTTCAAAAGGAGAAGCTCAACTCACTCCATAGAGCTCGCATCGTACGATCCGTCGTTCCGCGGAGCATACATGTTGGACTCCGAAGAAGCGTAGAACGATGCTGGCGTTGCCGGATTCGAGTCCAGATGCGACAGATGATGGATACCCGGTAGCTGAGTTATGAGCAGCGGCTTGACGTAGCCGTTGGTGGTGGCTCCGTGCGAGATATCCAGACTTGAAGTGTAATACTTCTGGAAAGCTTGATCTCTCGGTATATCGGGGTAGAGGTACAACAGGTTCTGAAATAGAATCGGTCACGCGTTATTACGTGACGCCACCGGGAGACTCGGAAAATAATTTCGTCTCGGACGAGCGATCATGAGGCTGTTGTCATGAAGCCTCATAAAAATATCGATTGTAGATACCTGTAGATCTGACACTCGGTCAGCGAGACTGCGGATCTGGAAATCTTTCGCAGAGAAGGGTTGGATCATAAGGATCTCCTTGAGACCCTCGTTCTCGTTCACCCAGGCGATTGTCACTCCTCCCAATTCGGAGTCCGAAAACCTCAACAGGAACGTGCCGACAGCTTTCTTCAGCAGCATCTCTTCGGCTTCTCGCCGACCAATGAAACCCCACACGGCCCCATCGACCCACAGGGATTTGAGGTGCTCCCGAGTCAGTTTCATGATTGCGTAGAACCAGTCCCAGAAAGTGAAATTCCGGTCGGGAAGAGGTTCCTTACAGAACTGAGACCAGCTGAGCAACAAGTCGCCGCAATCATGTCCTATGTTGGGTTTGCGGAGAGCTTTCGTCGCAAGGAAGTGGAGGTTGATGTCCGAAAGTCCAGCGCCTGTTGAGGCGCGGAATTTCGTAGAGAGGACCTCGGCCATTTTGTGCCAGGGGATCCGCTCGGGGACGAGGAAAGGTTTCCTCAGGCTGTCGGAGAACGCATTGTCCCAGGTGACCGTCGCCCATGCCGACGATTCTTGATTCCCATGGACAATGACGACAACCGGAAGGGAGCGAGTTTGCACGTAGAAAGTCATATTGGCCACCTTGATGACCGATTGGAACAGAAGACAGAACTTCTCCTCCATGACACTCTCGCTCCCTTTCTTTTCGGCCCTCCTGATTTTCTTCAGCGACATATTCCGAAACGAGACAGCGAGTTGCCTCGTTGCCTGATGGTATTCCATGGCCCCGTAACTGTTGAGGATTTCCCCGGAAACCTCATTTGAAGGATAGCTCTCGCTGCGCGCTAACGTCGACGCTTGGGCCTCACTGATGATCGAGACCTTCACTTGAGGAGGTGACATGTGAACGTTAAGCCGTCCTCCGACAAGCAGCCTCACGGTAGACTGGAAGCGGGTGTTCGTCTTCATAACTTGGGGAGGCTGTTTTTCGATGACGAACGAGCCGCTCACGAGGGCGGAGAGGATGGACTTTATCTGGGACTCTAACGAAGAGAATTTCTCCTTCAGGGAGGCTCCCCCCGTCGTTGGCATTTTTGTGAGGAGCATCTCGAGTCTCCGAACGAGTTGAAGGTGCTGCCAAGCAATATCCGCCAGCATTTCGCACCACTCTTGAATCTCGTTTAGGTTGTTTCCGAAGGGCTGACCGTTGCCGGCGAGCTGTTGCGCTCGCTGCCAATCCGCCAGATGTTTATCGATGATCACGTGTCGGAGCACGCTGAGACGCTGCAGGCTATCTGAAAACAAATCTATCGAATTAGAACGATTCTGCAGTATCCTATTGAGTTTTTCGGGCAAATCATGAACGATATGATAAGGTTAGACGACCGCCAACGGAAAGTTAACACTCACTGCTGAGATTTTCTACAAAATTAAGTCTCTCGAGATGCAGCTCTCTTGCTCTCCCTTTGATCGCGCTATCGAATTGCATGACTTCTTGTTGAGCTCTTTGAACGACTTCAATGGACTGATTCGACGCCTGTATCTGCTGAAGATGAGTGGTCCGCTTCTGGAGTTCTTGGTATTGGAACACGAAAGCTTCCTCGAAGTTGGTCATCTGCTTAATTTGTTCCTCCATCTGAAGTCCTTCGCCTCGAAGCTTCTCCATGTCTTGCAAGATATCCAGCGGCGCATCCGCAGCGAGAGAATTTGAGTTTTGAGCGAGCGACTCTTCGTAGATTCTGAAGATTTTCTGCTCGTTCAGAATACAGTTCCGCAGGAAACACACCAGATAAGTCGGATCTGAGGTGTAGTTTAATTTGAAAGCACTCAAGGCTTCGGTGAGCTTCATGCGGGTGGAGACATCCGGCGAATTTGTCGCATTTTCCTACGATAGAATGAATTCCAGCTCTCAACCTGTCCTCCTCGGATCGAAAAAAAAATCCATCAAAACAGAAAGTATTCCTACCTGAACAGCGTTGAGGAAATCATTTGCCAGCAAGGGCATGAAGCTCTGCACTTCTTGGGTCTCTGAGCTCAGCATTTGCCAATCATGCTTGTCAATCCAATCGGCGAGCGCTTTCCGAACCTCGAAGGGGATGTGCTCTCTGTAGAGCAGCAAGACCTGCTGCTGGAGGTTTTCGGGCAAGCGCTGTATACGCTCCCAACTCGACATGACTGGGGTCTGCAAAACGTCCTCACAATGAATCTCCCTTATATTCCCACATTACGTCCCGCCTGATAGTAGCGATTGCTCCGAGGATTCCGAAACTCAGAGAGTGGGGCTCGCCCCCGACGCGAAGGGCGGGAGTAAAATCTGCCGTCCGGTGGAGCTCTTCGATCCAAAATCACTGTCACACTGTGCTACATATCATACTCCTGGGTTTTCCCAACTCGTCAGCGAAGCTTATAACGAGCAATTGGCGAGGTCGGAATTTCGGAAAGTCCATGGTGCAAGCACAGACTGCGACGACGTCTCACCGATGCTGAGAGTTTGTAGCGCAACTGAAGTGAGTGCAGACGCGGCTCGGTACAGAGAAGTTCCTGGTCCGCGATTCTCAACAGGTGACGAAACACTAGTCAGAGGACACTATTAGGGCCGAGTCCGGAGGAGGAACGAATGCTGATGCGATTTAACGGACTTGTTCAATCGCATCAGCATTCTCTGAGGATCCGTTGATCAGTCAGATATCATTCCAATTCTCATCCAGTACCGTATCGATCTTGGATTAGGGATTCGATAGAGTAGGATATCGAATCGCAGGCGGGCTCGCGGAGAACACCGTCGAATGAGAAGGGGATGAAGCTACAGAAGAAAAAGAACGCACATTCGGCCACATGGCTGAAGGCTCAGAGAGCAGAGGTTCCGGTTCCAGCGACTCCGCTGGAGGAGATTCGGCTGACGGAATCCAAAACAGTAGATCGTAACGTTTAACAATAACAGATTGAATCAAAGTATCCGCGGGCGATTCACGTCAGAACTGTTCCGGCAGTCCGTTACACTCATGGACGATCGATCACACGAGAAGGCGAACACCTTTTAGAGAAAGACGGTTCTCTCGAAATGAATGTCTTATATTCCTACGGGGGTTTCTCAAGCCTCCTTGAGTCTCTCACTGGCAGTAAACACTGATCCCTCACCAGAAACTCTCTCTTCGCTGGACTCATGAGCGGTCAGTGGGTTCCACTGGTGCACCGATCGCAGTCAGAACGTGAAAGTTTTTCTGCGCACCGACATTGACCATTCTGGATCCACTGTGGCTTCGCGCCGAAGAAAATTCAAATGGAAAGTCCTGAATTCCGCTTCTCAGCGATCTCTTACCTCCATGCTGCGGCAAGCTCTCTGGGCGATGCCTATTCTCGAAATGACGCAGTCGTTTCCACGAATCCCTGACGAAGCCAAGCCGATTCTCTCCCGAGCATCATGCTTTAGCCGCCATAGGCGATTCCTGGAATCGAATGCTAGCGCCGCCACTGAAGACACAGAGGCACTGCTCGCTCACCAACTCTCAGCCTCCCACCCTCGCCCAAACTCAACCACAGTCACATACGGTAATAGTCTATGACAATTGCCTCCCTCTCTCTGATCTCTCCCCCATTTACGAATGCCCGATTGAAGATGAGTCAGGTCGATCGGATCATATTGACATTTTCTCTTCCGGAGAAGCATTCGTCGTGCAGAAGTCGGAGGGAATCCTCGGAAGGGGAACGAATCCTCCGAATGCTCAACCTTCCCCGGCTCGACGAGGGACGTGGCCTCCTCTCTTTCTCGGAGCTCAGGGAGGAATAGTCCTTTTTCGGGGCCTTTCAGGGGGGCATTTCGCAACTTGCCATTCGAAAGTGGAGCTATCCCGGGGAAAAATGGCGAACGGCGTCATTGAGAGATGTAACCCTTGCCCGAAACCATGCATGGTCTCGAACCTCTGCCCGTGGCGGGAGCCCGGTACGCTCCGCTACTGAGTTTGAGTCCCTTGATAATGATGACGTCAAAATTAGACACAGCCCGATTCAAGTTTCTTGATCTCGCTCCGAATTCTAATCGAGTCGGGAGTCGAGCTTGATGTACGCCTGGATCTCCGATGACGACATATCTATCTGCAGGAGCCAGGTCCGTATTCGACAGCGCGGTTAGTTGTTTCTCTGATTGAACATCGATGTTGTTCTGATCAATCTCTCTGAGAGGATGATTATCCAGGACTGCTCCGAAAACCAAGGGGTCTCGCGCTACTCGCTGAAGGAAGGACATATCGTCCAGCCCCCGATCGCGAAAATGCGAGAGCCAGCCGTCCGCATGGATTCAATGCGTGGATTAATCCGCGATTCAGCCCGCAGTGTCAAGAGAGTCTGATTTTCCATAGGTAGGTCATTGCAGGTTGGAAATTTTCGGAATAGAATAGAATACGGAAAGGTTGGCGAATTCCCGCCTTCCGATGACCACCCTATGAGAGAGGAGGTTCGGCCTACCTTCCAGAACGACGACTCGAGAGTCCGTTCCTCCGCTTCTTAAGGGAATCTGATGCTGTAGCTCTTCCTCTTCTGGGTGGAGCGAGTCATCAGAGTCTCTTCTTACGAGCCCTGTTTTCGATCGATGGTGGTACGTCTGCGGGTTTCCGTTCTGAGCTGGATATGCCTGGAAGTCCCTGGATCGCCTCCCCCCCGCGTTTCGGGAGATTCCGTCTGCCGCTTCTCCTCACGATGTCAGTCGTAGTCCATCGAGCCGCCCGACAGTCGGCTCTCATCGTGCCGCTTGCCGAACTACGCCCTCGCGTATTTCCTGGGTCGGTAGTCATCGTCGCATTGATATCACGGATGGGATCGGTACCGTTCCGGCGATTCCTTCGCTACCGCGCGTTGGAGTTACGGATTGACCCTCGGGGACCAGCCTAGCCTGAAAGGTCTCCCTCATTTCCTCCAGACCGGGGCTTGGCTCCGGGCCCAAGCTATCCATGCGCCGCACGTGAATGTCCACCGCTTGGCCCCGTTCCGCGAGGCATTGCTGATCGGATCGAGCGAATCCCTGCTCTCGCGTCCCCCTTTCGGGTTCGTACGTCTCCCTCCACCACTCCACTGCCACTTCTTTTCGGAATTAGGTCTTGCAAGCACCCATCAGCCACCGTCACAGTACCTCAAGAAAACGATCGAAAAGGAGAAACTCTGTCAATCGGTTTCCCCGTGATAAGCGAGGTTGGCAGCTCTTCCTGCTCCATCCCGATATTGCGAGCATCCTCACACAAAGATAGAAGTCGCGCTCACAGATTCAATTCTCAGACGAGACCTTCCATTGAACTCGAATTTTTCCTAGTCGAGTTTTCAAACCCCACCACTGTCATAAGTCATGTGGGACCGTGAGGGGTCCCTGGATGGGACGAATAGATTCCCGGGAGACGGATGTTCTCGGTTCGAACGAGATCAAGTCAAGTGCACACCCTCTCAGTCGAAGGCTACATCCCGCTGCTCGATGGGCTATTACAACTTATGGACTGTCGGAGGAGGCGGGCGCATTCGTATTAGGAATTTTCTCGGAATTAAAATTGAATGGTTTCCGAAATTAGTAAGCGTGGAGCTCACTGCGGTGTTCTAGATCGATTGTTGCTCGCGGGAGGGACACTGTGACGAAGAGCTTCATGCTCCTTTAAAGTCTTGAAACATCTTCCGCAATATATTCAGCTCGTAATTGGACGATTTATTGCTGACATCCTGCCCGCGCTATTGATCAAGCGAGTCATCGGGACTCGTCCAGACTCGATCCTCGAGGGCGATGGCTTTGACTCTTGCATGGTTGAGCGCCCATCACATGAGCGCTATGGTCGATGCGGAGTTTTTCTCTTGAAACTCCTCGAGACTGTTTGTCTGACTGACTGACTGTAGACGTCCCGTCGCACGAGCCGCCGGACACGCCTTCGGGATTCAGGTCTGACTTCAGCCAAGTTACCACATCGAGTACGATCCGCTCACGAGCGAAAAAGATCTACAGCGCAACGATCTGCTTCTCCCCCCGGAGACACTTCCAAAGGGCCGGGTCTGCTTGGAGCTACCCATAGGCGCCATCACATTCGGCACATTACAATCACCATCATAGGAAACCATGGGCTCATTTGAATGAATATACGTCATGATGGAATACTCCATTGCCTCGACACGTTGCTTGGTCGGAGGCTGGACTGAAGGGTAGTCTTAACACGACCTCTCGAAGTCCCGACGGATCCCGGAGATTTGGGAGCTAATCTCTGGACGCTTGCTGTTCGGGACTCCTGGCCTTAGATCCATCGAGGACATACCGTCTCGAACCCGGTCGAGTCTGGGTGCCAACAGGAATGGATTACTCGAGGATTCATGCTCACACATATATACTGAAAGCTTTTGCTACTACCTATTTTCCTGTAAGAGGGTCTCGTCTCTTGCTGGATCCGGGGGTTCGGAACAGCGCTCTAGGATGGGAGGAGAATTCCCAGCCATTTCAAATGAAACTGTGATCCTTGGGTTGTCGCAAAATAGTCGGGCTCCCTGTTCCTCATGGACTGCTCTCTACCAGCTATGCACATAGTGCGTACATAGATCATCCAGCTGACCCCTTAGGGGCTATCATGAGTTTCGAAGAGAGAGCGGACAGCTCCCTGAGTGGCACCGATCTTTCCGAGGGTAGGTATTGCCGTGATTGAATATGTACTCCTTCGCAAGGATTTAAAGTTTTCTCATTTCTTGATTCTCCTCACCGCGTCGGTCCGCCCCCTTGAGGTTCCCAGAGATCGTCCTGCGGGACATCATACCTGGGAAAAACTCCATTGCTATTCCACCGATGCGTGCTCAATGTTCAATGGGCCTTCCGGAAGGCTCGGATCCACAGGTCTAGTCTTTACATCTTATGTCTTCGGCCGCAGTGATTTGGGTCCAATCCATCCACGTAGTAGCATCCGGCATGTATGACTCACGAGTTCGAAGCTCTGGCTGTCCTCGGGCAGGTTTGAATCGCGGAATACGTCAGTGAACTAAATCTTCCAAAAGACCTACTGTTTAGGGGCGCAGATCAACTCACATATGTAGGATGATTCCTGAATTTCCCTCTCGCAAACTATTCCTCCACGAGATGTCACCGGAATCATGGCCGACAACAGGTTGAAGGCCGACTTGATTTCTGGGGCTAGAAAGCGATTGAGATATCCTCTACCAACAATGGTAACGTAAATCCGTCCAAATCACAGACACTGCGGATCATCGAACCGACGCGAGACGTAACTCGCAACGCAAACAGCGTGCTTGAAAGGTCCCATATTGATTCGCGCTCATTCATGCCGTGATTATGATCTATCATTCGAGTCGCGCGTGTTTTCAATTCGAAGATATGGCGTGTCGCTTTGTATCTACCGACGTTGCTAATTACCCATTCTTCGAAGCTTTTCTGTGCAGTCATTATGTCGAATTGTCTCTCACACTATTTACGAGAAGTTTTAGCAATACAGAGGGAAGCCTGGGTTTGTGTGGTATTTTGGGGTCGAGACGTTTCGCAGTATTCAGCTCCTCTTGGGTCGGGTATGACCGCGCTTCTCCGAACGAAAGAATCAGCGCCCGAGTGGTTCCTCGGCTGCTTGTTGGGTTGGTTCGTTGCTTGCTCGCTCGCTTGGTTGGACGGTTGTTTCACCGATCCACCGAGCCGAGCGGGGACAGCCCCACTATCGGAGCAGAAGGATCCGAGCGATCTGTGAGCGATTATTCTCAAGCTAATAAAACGAGCGTTTTAGAGCTCGTTCATGAGGGAAGTTCTCGATCTTGTCGATAGTGTATGACAGGAAATATCTCTCGCGGGACAGTGGTAGGAATAGCCGGCCGGTTTCCGTCGAACTCCTTCCGTGTCTTCGGAAGCTCTTGTGAAAATTCAGACGCAGGTCTGAATGCCTGCGCGCGATCTCTGCGAAAGCACTACACGGTCCATGAGGCGAGCGATCATGACCGAGGTGGAACTGTATGTCCATCAATATCCTAAATCATCCCGTCCCTATCCCGACGCCCTCAATGTGAATCACGGATCCTCGCCCTGTGTCATCAGCGATTCTAAGCACCCCGGAGACTGGAGATTGAGCTAAGAGCGGTGCGGATGAGCAAGTAGCATTTTTTTTGAAGCCTCAGAATTCCAGGAATTATTTACCAGAAACCCTCTCTATCGGAAGCGGATCTCATCTCTCGTCTTCTTTGAAATCATGAGGCACTGATGATCTGCGATTTTGGATGCTCCGCCGGCATATCATGCATGCAAAGCTCAACTCCAGATGGAAAGAGGACCCGAATTCGTCTTATCGGTCTGATGGCCTAAATCAGGTATCCGCTTTTTCCTCATCTGCATCCGCTTCCTCGCGATCTATGAATAATTATTTTTATCATCATTGAGATGACCAAGTCCTACAAGAGGATGCAGGAGCGTCGTATTCCTAATGAAAAAGCGACGGTCAATGAATCGAGGCTACCTATCGCAGTCGGGCGATAAACTATGAGGATTTACCAGGAATTGAGCGTCTCTAGCATACGATTCCAAACATCAAATCCTAGAATCGAGATTGACGTTCGCCCTCGCACGGAAGATGCTCGAGACGAACACTCACATGTCTCATATAGGGGATGGAGGGAAAGGGTCGGAAAGGGACGTACCCTGAAGAAACGTCCATCTCGTGACTCTCACGAGCATTCAGTCTTTCAACTGCTGCAGATACTGTGACTAGTGCGCCGTCGCGAGGGATCTTCGGCTCCGGATGTGATCGAATTAGCACTTAAGAGCCCCCCTAAACTTCCGTGAACCATGGCTTGCGACTTGAAACCTACGATGTGGCCGCCAGTGAGTGCTTCCGCGTCTAATAAGTGATAATTATTGATCTCTTGATCCTATAATGCCCCGAAAGTATACCAAACGTCCCTGATCTGAGACGGAGTCTATCTGGAACGTCTTTTATCTGAGACGGTGTCTATCTGGAAAGTCCCTTCTCTGAGACGGTCTCTATCTTGAAAGTCCTTTATCTGTTGCGTTCTTGATCTCCCGTATTTTAGGATAGTGATAATTATTGATCTCTTGATCCTATAATGCCCCGAAAGTAAACCGGCGAGGAGATCTTTGAAACTCCGTGAGGCGTGATGTTCTTTAATAAATTATGGTTTCTCTCCTCCAAAGAACTCGGAAGTATCTGTATGGCCCGTGAATCAACCTCAGATGGCTCAGTCGCAGAGATCTTCCGCGATGGACGAAGCACTTATACCTGTTCTGCAAGAACTAGAAAAATCTCGGCAGCACACAGCGGCGCTAGAGGAACGGATGAAACAGTTCGAGCAGACCTTGAGCGCGGTCCTGTATCAATTCCAAGAGCTGCAGAAAAACAATGCGCATCTGCAGCACATGCAGAATGGCGCGCAGATGGAAATATTGCAGAGAGTGCAGCAAGAGTTCGCGCGTTCGGAGACGATGCTTCAGGAGCAAATTCCGGAGTCGCGAAGTAAGTCACTCTGCAAGGATGAAGCATGTCTGCATGACTTCGATGATTTTCTTGGGTAAGCTGACTTTTCCTATCCGCAGATATCGTCGACCAACTGCTCTACATTGAGCAACTCATGCTCGAGCGACACATTTCCGATTGGCACCGAATGCAGCAATTGTCAGCGAACGGGTTCGGCGTCGAGAGTCGTCTCGAGAGGCTCCAAGAAGTTTGCGAGGTCATGGCTGATCTCATCTGGCAGAACTTCGACATCGCTACGAGGATGAGTCTTGCGGCCGGTAAAATGCCCGCGACTTCGGCCACCTTGGGGGAGAGTCTCTCGCTTCATGAGAATCGGCTCAGAGGACTCATGTCCGTCTTCATCAGCGGGACCTTCGTCGTAGAGAAGCAACCCCCCCAAGTCATGAAGACGAATACGCGATTTTCCACCACTCTGCGAATGCTGACCGGAGGACGATTGAATATATACATGACTCCACCTCAAGTGAAAGTTTCCATCATCAGCGAGCACCAAGCCTGTGCTTTGGCTCGCAACGATGGATATCCGACCACCGAAGCCTCCGGTGAAATTCAAAATGGCAATGGAAACATGGAATACAACGCGGCTTCGAAACTTCTCTCAATATCCTTCCGCAACATGTCATTGAAGAAGATCAGGCGAGCGGAGAAGAAAGGCACAGAGAGTGTGATGGACGAAAAATTTTGTTTATTGTTTCAATCAGTCGTGAAAGTCGGGAACCTGAGTTTTGCCGTGAGGACCCAATCTCTGCCGGTTGTGGTGATTGTGCACGGGAATCAGGAGCCCGATGCGTGGGCCACCGTAACATGGGATAACGCCTTCTCTCGAGGACGAAGGATTCCTTTCTCGGTTCCTGAAGCGGTCCCCTGGAGGGATATGGCCCGGGTGCTTTCAATGAAGTTCCGCTCTGCAACAGGGAGGGAGCTCTCTGAGAGCAATTTGCACTTGCTGGCCACGAAAGCTTTCCGGGATCCGAATCTTCCTCTGGATTGTGGCGACCGGATGATCTCATGGGCGCTTTTCTGCAAAGAACTCCTCCCCGACAGAACTTTCAGCTTCTGGGAGTGGTTCTACGCGGTCATGAAAGTAACCCGGGAGCATCTCCGACCTTTGTGGAACGACGGGACGATCTTGGGCTTCATTGGCCGCCGCGAGACTGAATCGTTGCTGCTGAAGAAGTCCGACGGGACCTTCCTCCTGAGGTTCTCCGACTCGGAATTGGGTGGAGTGACCATTGCATGGATCTCAGAATGTGATGGCCAGAAAAACGTCCTGATGGTGCAGCCCTTCACGGCCAGAGACTTCCAGATTCGCAGCCTTGCTGATCGGATATCCGACCTCCCGGTGAGTCGAGATTGTCGAATATGTGTGTATCCCGTATGTATGTAGCGGTCCCGATGCGCGCGGATCAGAAGGAGGAAGAGTGCGCCCAAACTGCAGGTCGAAAATAACATGTTTTCTTCCTGCAGAATCTGGTGTATCTATATCCAGACACACCTCGCGACCAAGCCTTCATGAGATACTACACGCCGAGCAACACGGCCATCACACCTCAGACTGGCTACGTTAAACCGAGACTTGTGTTCCAAATCTGTGGGAGCCAGCAGGGTTCACCCCCGCATTCGAATCCATCCACACCGCAATCTTTCTACGGTCATTCCGAAACGGGAATGTATTCATCTGGTCACGACGGTAGCTTCTCTGATCCGAGTATGCAGTAAGTTCTCCTCAGAATCTGACTCGGACCACATGAGACCTAATGTCCGAAATTGGATTGCAAGCAGTTTCAAGATTACCGTATTTCCGCAGGATGTACGCCCTCAGCAATGGTGAAACGATGAAAAGACGCCGACATGACGACCCACATCAGCATTCGTGGCAACCAGGGACCGAGCAATAAATTCTAATTGTAAATAATCGAATATATTTCCGCCGAACATGACAAAAAAATATAGAGCGTTAAGCCAGGTTCATGCTGATTCCCGGTCTTATTATCCGATTGTTCAAACGATGGAGAGGCTTTCGCGAAGTCTGTCTGAAGTATCAAGGTCTCCCCATGATACGAGTGCTTTGAATTTTCGGACTCGCGTCTTCGCTGTCTCAATTTACGAGGGAAAAGCCCAGGAGCAGCCATTAGCGTGTCGAGGATGTTTTCGAGAGGGAGGTGGTCAGTTCTCCACGAAGAGGAATTGGATCGATATCTCCAATGAGTGCTCCTCCTACATTGGACCTCTGGACAGTAGGGACCCTTGAGAAGGATCAGATTGCCTGATTCGACCCCTTTGAGGGCAGTCTCCGAGGCAGCGAGACCCTCGTCGATGCCTTCTCATCGGACCCTGCGAGTCCAGCCGCTCCATCCGGCCCTCAGCTCGCGATGAAATCCACTAGCTCCATCTGGGAGTCCCGGAGCGGAACCCGGGTCTCGATTTTCGACCCGCTAGAGTTCTCGATGTGAAATTCGATATGAGTCGGCGAAAACTTTTCAGTTCCTTCGATCGAGCTCGATTCGGCTAGAGTCATGTTGGGTCCACATTCGGTAGCTGCCCCTCGGGGGATTGAGCACGGTACACTTGTGGATGGAAGTGAACTCGGGTCGCGAACAGGGGATTGCTCAACCGTTTTTTTTTCGCGAATCTCGGCAACACAAGCAGCTGACAAGGACACATTGGATGGAGTACGCATGTATGCCGCCGCGTCGTTTGTCCAGATAGACTGCTGTGTAGATGATATTCGAACCCCGGAGCTCTCGCTATATGATGCGCCAATAGGCAAGCCTCCTATAGATTATCTTATCATCATGAATCATTATTGACCTCACGCGTGCTTATCTGTTGGATAGATGGTGGTTTGCCCTGTACCTACTGACGCGACGACGCTAATTACGTTTTTCTAGGCGCATCTCCATGCGGTCATCATGTCGAACTGTCTTCTGAAATCATCTACGAGTGGTCTCAGCAATAGAGGGGAAGACAGGGTTTGAGTGGTATTCTGAGGTCGAGGCATTTCGCAGTATTCAGCTCCTCTTGCGTCGGTAGAGCCGCGCTTCCCCGAATGAAAGAACCACCGTCCGGGAGGTTCTTCGTTGCTTGCTGGGTTGGTTGGTTGATCGCTCGTTCAGAAGTTTGGTTCACCGGTCTATCGGAGCTACCAGACAGGTTGACCGACAAAGCCGAGTGATCTGTCAGTGATCATTCGGGAGCCCGAGCTCATAAAACCGGGCTGTCAGAGCTTGTTGTGGGGATAGCCGGAATATTGCTGACTGTGTGTGATTCTAGAGGGAGGCACTCTGCGGAGCACGGCTGTCTTCGGAATGATGTCATTCCGTGTTTTCGTCATGTAACGAGATGATGAATCCAGAAAGTATCGAGGAAGTCACCACTCATCGCGTTCGGCTTGTGACAAGAGCCCGTTCCGCGGCTTGCGGATCACTCTGGTTGGAGTTTGTCCCATGAATACCGAGAGTACTTCAACATGTCATTTCCGGGAGGAAGGCCTCTCACTCGATGGAGATCATCATTTTCGCGCTTGAGGACAACGACTGCTCAGATAAACTTGAAAGATGCCAGGCGCGGACTTGAGTCCGAGCCGCTCCGCGATTTCGTTTACTGAATCTAGACTCGGAGCAAACTCTGATTCTCCCGAGCGGTATCGATCTCCAGTAGCTGATGACTGCGCCGCAGGCTGACTGACTAAGAAATCCCGTTTTTCCTAGGAATCGAATCCCTTCAGAGAACTGTGGCGAAACGAATTGCTGTGGCAGAACAAGCTACACAACATTTAACAATTTATCTACCTACGTCGGGCCAAGTCTGAATTTTCGGAAGAATGAGAGTGGCGCACCTCATCGCCCGAAATTTCTCGACGATTCCGAAACGAATCAATCGGAGCGACCGAAATGGACGCGTTCGCATCTGTGGATGAGTGATTGGAGCAAGTAATTTTCCTCCAAGGTATTTGCAACGAAAGCAGCGGCCTTACTTAGGGTAAGGGCGGGGCGGGGGCGGACTGCAACCAAAATGAAACGGAGGATATCATCAAGATCTCGCATGATTAATGAGACTCACGGATAGAATTCCCGTGAGGGGGTACCATTTTCGGTGGTGGCAAGGAGGAAAACGCGAAATTACAGAAAGGATTTCACTTCCGGAATGGGATCCAGGGATGAAACTTTCGAGAAAGAGCGCCACTCTCGAGCGCCGTTTCGTCATCGTGTGCCTTCGAGCGGAAGGATCAAATCAAATTCAGCGAAATCGCGGTCGCGTTGAAGGAGATGATCAATGATCAATACAGCACAGCACGCGCAACACAGCCGCGTGCATGAGCCGGGAATCTTTGCACTCTGCGAGGCATCGCCTTGTCTCAACCTCCATCTTGACCGCAGCCTCAGGCTCCTACGAAAGATCGACGCGTCTAGCCGAGGAATTGGACGACACGGAGAGCAGTACTCGCAGCGGCGTACCCAGGAGGGGGGGGGCAAGGGGGCGACCGCCCCCCAACAATTATTTTTGCGTAATTCAGGAGTACAGGGTACCTCATCATTTTGGACCTCTGGCCCCCCGAAAACCTAGTCTGCCCTCCCCCAAAAAAATCCTGGGAACGCCCCTGAGTACTCGAGCATGGAGAAGATCCTCGAAGCGTTTTTCTTAAATCATCTGGACTCACAGACGGTCGATTCTCATTTGGATCGGATGTAGGCTTTCGGTCAGCATACAAACTCGGCCTACCGTGAGATTCGGTGGCGAATCTGATCGGTAAGGCAGGATATCATGAAGATCGATGAGCTTCCATGCAGAGATCTACATAGGGATAGAGGGGCCTGACCTGAGGGTCTACTCTCCGTCGACTTCCCTCATGGGTCGCGCGACGTCTCCCTTCAGCTTGAGATCCCGTACGGCACATTAGAAATATCCTTGGTCTCCGAAGGATGAAAATTCGATGTCGTACCATCGTGACGGAGAGAATCTTCTCGGGAATGTTGTTCAGCGAGGGCTTTTTCGAGGTGCCACAAGCGTGAACGATCACACAGAGTGCGTCGTCGCTCTCCGAGATATTCAGGCAGCATGTTTCCATGAGGACTGATTTTCATGGATTTCGATAATCGAGCTATGAATTCTTTTCCTGTTCTCGACGTTTACTGCAAGTACTCGGAATTTCCTCCTCGGGAGGACAGCGCTCCGACCCGATCTTCGTCCTGCATCTGTGGGCAAGTTCGCGAGAAGAGCCCTATGGGAATTCCGGCGGAGGATTTTTGCTCATGCCGAACTGGTCGAGCCTTCCAGATGGGCTGCATCGACTCTATCCTTGAGGCCGCTTGATCCGAGAGCCTGAAACAGCCTCATCTTGGAAGATCGAATTCCAAGTGAAGCAGCTCCCAAAAGACGAGGGAGCCGAACCCGACGAGACTTAACCTTCGTGCGGGAAGAATCCGACTGCAGATGCGGACCGAGATATCCTCAGGAGGGTGTCAGACGTGAGGACATTAGGAAGAACTTTCTCTCTTCGCTCTCTCCTTCGTCCTCGTGCACTGTATTCCCTACGGGCGAAGACTCCTCCGTCGATATGGACTATTTGAACTCTGTCCTCTGGAAATCGAGCATTGCTTCTCAAGTTTGCAGGCTGCCAGAAATGCGGATTGCGTGGGATCCGGAGAGCCATCCGGATCGAGGTGATCTCGGAAGCAGTGGCCACCTCAACGTCGGACCGAGATCCTTCATAGTTTGGCTTCGTTCGGGACACCCGATCGAGTCGCCGTAGTAGACCCAAGTAGTAGACTCTCGATATCGTGGCTCGAGCGTTCACTTTCCGTGGCCCGCGAAATCTCTTTGCGTGGCGCGCTAGGATAGACCCTGAGGACCTCGCGAGTGCTACAGCGCGGAGCATTCATCTCGTTTCGCCACCGAAAAATATTTCAAGGGGAGCTATGAGAAATTATATGAGCTCCCGTGACAAGTTCAGCAAATCATGTCGCGCCGTTGTCCTCGGATGCTCCGCCCTGAAAAGCGTGTATTCCCCTCACGGGAGAGAAGAGAAAATGAAAAATTGAAAATTCTCGGAATTTATTATTTCCTCTCGTCGTTCGCCCTTATTTCACCTGATCCTATTTGAATGAACATCGGTTTCGCTTGTCTCTCTGTAATCAAGTATCACTTCTCCACAACTTTATGGTTTTGTCGTTTTCCAGAGCCGCTGAAGCGATCAAGTTTTCTGTGGGATGACAAGCGGTGCAGAGAACAACGTCGGTATGGCCCGAAAGCTTCTGCACTACTTCCTTTGATTGAAGATTCCATACGTACACGAGGTTGTCTTCACTCCCTGAGACTATCCATTTGCCGCCGGTGACGGAAAAATTCGCAAAGATACAATATTTCTCATTCTTGTGTCCCGAATAGGTCTTCAAGCATTTCCCCTTCGAGTAATCCCACAGCTTCAATGTATTGTCGAGGGTTGCCGCCAGAATGTATTTTCCATTCGGCGAGAATTTGACGAACGAAACGGGAGGATTGTCGTCGTCGATCAAGGTTTTCAAGCATTGGCCCGAAGCCGTATCCCAGATTCGGCAGAGTCCGTCGTAGGAAGAGGAAACGATCAGACTCCCATCTCTGTTGAAATGCACCGCCGACACCGGGTCGCTGTGGGCGGGTAGCGTCTTGAGGCATTTTCCTGTTTTGACATCCCAAATGCGAACAGATTCGTCGAACGATCCCGACACGATCAAGTTGCTCTGGGGGTTGAAGTTGCAGCAGAAGACGTAGTTCGAGTGGCCTTTCAGGGTTTTCGAACACTTGCCGGACGTGTGTTCCCATATCTTGAGAGTCTTGTCGTCGCTAGCTGAGACCAAGAGCCGAGAGTCGTTCGACCAGGCGACGTCTGAGATGCCGAGCTTGTGGCCGGAGATCGTTTTCTCGAATTTGCCATCGCGAGCTCCCCAGATCTTGATGAGTTTGTCTGCACTGCTGCTAGCCAGCCACTCGCCGTCCGGGGAGAACTTCACGGAGCTCACACCTTTAGTGTGCCCGGCCAATGTAAACTTGAGACTGTAGTTCGGCCGATTCTTGCTCGGGTCCGACATATTTTCTTCCTACACAGAGTCGTGCGACAGGATCGAGCGGAATGAAGTGAAATGTCTCGGTGACCACAGGTTGGATAAGAATTAGGCGGTCAAGGGCTTACGACAGAATGTGAATGGCGCCTTCTGGCACAAAAGTAAAATAGTGAAGGAACAGCTCTCTAGGCTGTTCGGCACATCTCGAGTTCTAGTTCTGAGCTTGATTTAGCGCTTCCATGGCCTTCTGATACCGGTAGGAACACGACGCGCACACTTCAATCCTGTTTGTTTTGGTCCTGCATGATGGCGGCCGCATGGCCGACGCTCCGACCTTTTCCGCCATGAATCGCGCGCCGAATTTTGAATTGCGTCCCATTCATCCGAAACAGTGGAACGGATCTGGTAGTTGGTGTGCATTAAGAACATAACGATATTTACGGCTCGATCGGGAGATCGTCGACTCTCGTCCCAGATTGGATTCCCAAAGCGGCACATCCGAGGCTGTAGGCAGCCTGGCCGTGTTCTCGGTTAATCCGTACATTGCAAGCATGTAATCTCTTATCCATGTTCGACGCGCGAGTTCGGCGCACGCGGAACTCCACATCAGGGGCTTGAGCTCCGGTACATCCTCGGTACCTAGATCGAAGACAACGTCTCGGATCGAGCGGAATGAGGGAAAGCTCCATATGGAGTGACTCGATCTGTCGGGATTGATTCCTCGCCGAGGAACGATTCCTGCTCCCTCCGCTCTTCGTCTCATATGCTAGCTGCCGCGGTCAAGACTTCGACGGGGTATCTCCCGAACACCCCACCCAAACTCTGGATTAAGTGTTGTCCTCGAGGAAACTCGAATGTTCGAGTAGCAGTCGATAGAGACCTTGTTGCAAGGTGAGTGCCTCGTGATGATCATCAGTTCCTCCTCTGGAGTCTCTGTGGTGGTGAGAGGACTCTGTTTTGAAAACAGAGGCATCCCTTCTCTTGGGAGAGCCGGCTCAGGGAGCCGCATCGCAGATTTCCCACATCGATTCCAATGGCCATGACTGGGGCCCATGACTTCTGAGCTCGATCTCTGCGGATTGATCCAAGGAATACATTTCTCATATATTGAGTGCTCGAGAAAGCGCTGCGTTCGTATGACGAAGCGGGTGACTAAGGTGTTCCCTACTCGTTCCTTTAAATATTCGAACACTTTAATTGGTGCTCGCTCTGTCCTCTCGAGTCGAGTATAGAATGATCATGAATCATGGGCGTCACATTGAATAATCGCTCTCTGGTGTTAATCGGGTTTGTTCGCTGACTAGCCTCAATTATGAATCATGATACTGAATTGTTAATTACTCGGGATATTGATTCACAATGTGTTTAAGATCTATGATTCCGGTTTGCTCGGGGTCGTCGACGCTCAGCTTTGTATTTCTCTAGAATCGTTCAAATAAAGATCCGATCAGCGAAATGGAAGACGCGGCAGGACCCATGCATTCTTGCGGCGCTTCTCCCCTTCTTTAGGACTGCAGGGGATTACGACTCCGTCACCTCGTTCTCTCACTCAGCTCCTTCTGGATCCTGCGATGAACGATCGTTCTTCGGCGAGCCTCCTCAATCCTCATGGGACTTCCGCGAATAATCCAATCTTCGATCCAATTTGTGTTCCCGACAGGGGCTACCGGGAACGCTCCCCTCCCATCTACTCAAACGCGATATCCAGCCTGTTCTTACAGCAATCCAACCGAAGAATTAGAATATTCGGTTTTAGCTCACTCGTATAGCATTTACGTCACTGCGAGCTCTCTTTGCCGAAGATCACGGCCGATTACCGGAAGATGGAGTCATTCGGGAATGTACTCACGGGAAGGAATATACTTTCAGATAACCGGCGGGCAGCGATGGCGCGATCAGAGCGCAATTTCGGTGAGTCTCTTTCTGGCCCAAGACCAAGCCTCCCCCACGATTCCAGGGGGAGCTCCTATTCCGATACTCCTGGTTGTCGAAATCTCCGGCCCATAGAGGGATAGCGCATTTTAGCGACCAGATGACCATCCAGTCCGCTCGACCTGAAAAGATGAACTCTGACCGAGAGTAGGGTTAGAGAGTGGAGGGAACTCTCTCCTTCGACGCGGCCAGCAGGGGAAACTCGAGAAAGAAGAAGAGCACAGACAGCATCTCGGAGAACATCTGTGAACAACGAGCCCGCCGCTCGACGTCGATTCCGAAAAGTGGAATTTCTTCCACTCTCTTGCGAGGGTTTGTTTGGAGATAGTATTCCGCTTGTCACACTGAATCGCTGATCTATCAGCCGGATATTCTCGAACTGAGAGAACGCTTGGTCGCTCTTCCTACGTTTGAGTGGTTCGGTCTCAGAGCGATGGGCTCCTGGGATTCTTGTCTCCCGTTGAACTTCCGCTACAAATTCTTGCTCTTGCACGGTAGGTTATGTCCTCGACGAGTGTTGCACAGGCCGAAGTGGCTTGAGCAGTCAAGTGAAAGAGACGAATAGCCAGAGAATTCCGAGGAATGCGGGAAGGCGCAAGGAGAGGTCACCGAGATAATTGAGTTCTGTGACCCAGGTGATTCCGAATAGAGGAGCCACAGCTGTGTCGCGGAGGAAAGTCTTCTGCTCTTAGGGAATGTGATTAGGGGGTAGAAACTCATGATACTCATTTTCTTGTTTCAGGGAGTCCGGGTGATATCAATTGCGGCGACGGTCCGCAGACCGATGACACTCGTAACCTATGGAAATCTTACCGTGAGTCTCACAATTCTCTCTCTTGTCTCGCGCCTGTTCCCAATTATTAGAAACAGTGGGAGTTTTGAAGATCGAATCAAGAAACCCGAATGTTTCCTGGGGTCCGGGCCATTAATTCCGCGCCTCGAAATCCTTCCAGTTTATAACATGCAACAGAAAGCTCCACCGCCGAAAAGGATCCCGTGTCACAAAGTGATACGGAATCGACCTCCGCATTACGGGAAAGAGTGAGCATACCATATCTCTTATTCAGCGGGAATGATAGCCAATGTCGGGATTCGAGCTCCGTAATTTCTCCAAATTTGATAAATTCGTCTCCTTTCAGGTTCCACGGATTGATGGAACGAAGCGAAGCTGAAGCAATCGTGCGTGCGGAGGGTGAAGGCAGCTTCCTGGTCAGAGAGAGCTCCAGGGAACCGAACCAATTCTCATTGGTCTTCTTGTGAGTGATGTTGATGAGAGACAATTTCTCCGGTGCCTGTGACGATCTCCGTCTCCAGGATTCGACTGTACGAGCTCCCTCAATAAGGCTCCTCGTTTCCAGGTTCGACGGACATCCTCGGAATTATCGGCTATATTATACGGACGATCAGCACTATGTAGGCGCTAAGCGTTTCAATAACTTAGAAGGTTCGCTCAGACCCACCTCCCTCGGAACCAATTCGAAACGATACCTATATTCGAGCTACTTTGCGTGAGGTTAACAGATCGTCATGATTAGTAACCAGAGAGCCGTACCTTTCAGATCTCGTGGCGGACGGTCTGATCACCATGTACCTCGATACACATGCTGGGGAGTATATAAATCAAATGTGCAATGAAGCCAACTACGAAGATTCACCTTACTTGACTATAAACCAGAGCAAGAAGCAAATGTACTACAAGTCAACGAGACGGCGAATGAAAGACAAGAAGCCTCCGGTTCCAGTCAGGTGAGCGACGTATCCACGATAACCAGAGGAATAGGAGGATCTACATCTAGGAACTTGAGTGAAGTTACAGCATTTCTCTGCTATACCATGCAGGCGGCGAGATTTTTCACCGCAAATACGGAAGATTGAGGAGGATTCTTTCGAAGGCCATCCGATCCATCAATACGATGAACCAGAATTTTCGGTGAGTTGAGAATTATGGGAAGAGAGCTCGCTGTCGTTGCGCTGTAGACAGGCGTCTCCGATTCTCCATTGTTGGAAGAAATCCCTGCGCTTGCATCCGATTTCCCAGAATGACGACATCAATCTCTTGCAGCAAGCACCGCCGCCACTGCCAAAACATACTTCGAACCTTGCCAAAGCGGGGGACTTCCCGGAGCCCCCCAGAGATCTCATGGAATCTCCTCCTTCACCCGGACCACCGATCCTGCGACGCCCGAACCCAGACGTTCCCCGAAGGTCGGAAAACTCGCAACATGTGCCAAAGTCAGTGCGCTTTTAGATTTTAGATAGAGGCCTGCATGTGATTATCTCATCATGAGCGATGAAATGTGTACTCCGAGCCGCATAAAACTATTCCGAAGCATCACAGTATGTACAATTGGATTTCAGGCCCGCTTCACATGTACCCCTGCGAAGGGAGAACCGCAAATCGCTAGATGCCCAAGCTGAGTTCCGTTCCGGGCAGAATCAGCAGGCTCCGCAGCGGCACCACCATCGGTTGTCCGCTCAGAACCAATGCAACCTACCATCGGAGGATCCCCACCACTTGCATCAGGGTCGGAGTTCCCATCAAGTGCAATCGCAACAGGGTCAGAAGTCCGACAAATCCGCCTCGCCGAATCCGGCAGCCACAGAAGCCGAAAGCTTCACCTCCTTCAACGAGTCGAGCTCACCGGGCGAGGAAGTAGATCTCCCGGATGCGAAGGACTTCGAAAAAATGCATGCGTTCAAGGTAGGTTTCTTCAATCCTCGTCATCGGCGTCTTCCTTGAGAGGATATATCGGGCCTCTCTAACTTTGGGCTCGTCGCAGGTTCACAACTTCATGGGATTGCCTTGGTGTGATTTCTGCGGGAATTTCATGTGGGGATTGATCGCCCAAGGCGTCAGGTGTGAAGATTGCGGATTCTCGGCACATTCGAAATGCTCAGAAAAGGTGAGACGTGGTCCCGAACTCTCGGCTGTTCTCATCGATCTCTTCCCGGGGCACGAGCTGAGCAGCTTCTGAGTCATCGTCCTTTCAGGTGCCAAATGATTGTACTCCTGACTTGAAGTTTGTCAAGAGAGTTTTCGGTGTCGATCTTACTACGCTCTGTAAGCTGCATGCTACGCCGCGGCCTTTCGTCATAGAGATGTGCATAAAAGAGGTGAGCTCTCGCGACATTCTGAGTTGAATCACGATTCTGGCGCTGGAAGGGGCCGGTGGTCTCTGATACCATAACTATAATTGTTCCAGGTTGAGCTCCGAGGCATGCAGGTAGAAGGTCTCTACCGCATTTCGGGGAGCAAGGATGAGATAGAACACCTCCAGGCTGCTTTCGAACAGCACGGCGACCAGACCCAACTAGATATCAAGACCTATGAGGACATCAACGTTGTGAGCGGCTGCTTGAAAAACTTCTTTCGACTATTACCGATCCCTCTGATCACCTATGAAACTTATGGGATGTTCGTCAATGCGGTCCGACGGCTCGAGCCTGAAGACAAGGTTGAAGGATTGAAGGTCGCCGTTAGGAATCTCCCTCCAGCTCATTACCAAAGCCTAAAATATCTCCTACAGCACCTGAACAGGTACGGACGGGGTCGAGGGCCGGCGAATAAGAAATATCGTATCGGGGAATTAGGACTGGAAAATTGTTGCCACGGGAATAATAATAAAATTCCGATTTCTTCCCGTAGGGTCACAGAGAGTTCGAAGATCAACAAAATGACCGCTGACAATCTGTCTAGAATATTCGCGCCTACGCTGCTAAGATCCCCGGATTCGATGGGTGTCGATCTCCAAGCCGCTCTGCAGACAGAAGCGGTCGTGGTGGAAACGTTGATTGTCAATCAGAAACAGATTCTCGACTTCTAGCTGTGTACCCCTAGATTTTCCTAGAGTGTTCCGTATATGGAGAAGCCTTCCATGTACGCTATCCACAGTCCGATCGGGCAAGTACCGCTTCCCAGGGCGCTTGACATACGTGACATGTTGTGAAAACACAGCAATCCCATCACAACAAACCTCGATGGACCGGCAAAACCTGTTCCTTGTGTAGAAAATTCGCCATAGCGATGGATTTTCAGCATAATCTCTACGGCGAGCCTGCCAATGGGCGGGGGAAAGTGGTCGTTGTCTTGAAAATTTGTGTCCCGTAGTGGTTTCGTGTGGGGACATCTGACTGTACATCTCGCTGTAGTCCCGCCGAAGACCCCGCATTTGAAGTCTTCTGACCATAGGTACATAGAATCGTTCCTCTGAGGAATACTTTGAGATACGTATTACGAGGTCGTCTCTGAGCGAAATTTTCTCGGAGAGTGTCGTATGAATCGAGTGGAGCCCGAATAAGCCATGTCTTCCGATCAGAACGACCTATGTAGGTTTCGTGATGCTTCCATGGTACACCCACGATGTGGAGCGAACACGAATCTCTAAAACTTTCTCTCTGGAAATCCGGCATCGGAGCTCCTTTTCCCGAAATTCTTTGCGGGCCGACATTCCAATCGGATTGAAAATTGCTGCATGATGAGAGGACTCACTGCTACGCAGACGAGACATCTGAGTTTCTGTGCTAAGACTTCCCACCGCCTTTGTGTGCAATAAATCACTGCTCCACATGGTTCATTATAATCGACATGTCATTTTTCTCGTTTAATAAGCTGGGATCTCATAATCAGCACGCTTCTTATTCGAAAGTTCAGCGTCAGTCTAATTGTTCGCTTTCCATCGTCGAGTTATGACTGAACAAGAAAAAACCATTCCAGGATCTCTGACAAGAAGGGATGCCGGAATGGAGGAAATTCCACACAGGCATCACGGCATTCAAAGATTTGCCAGCCCCGCCAGACTCTACCGAATACGTCGAGGATGAATTCCAAGGTTTTGAAGCCCGCCTCTCTACGACGCGACGCAAAGCTGATAGACAAGCATTGGATGTATCAGTGATACATTTCCCCTGAGAACTCACATCTCTGGCTCTGAGCCAATCGATCACTGACTGAGAATGGTTGTTTCGAAGGAGGAGATTCATCCCGTCCACCATCGGGTTTTCTCCCCTTGCGTCGATTGTGATCCGTTAGAGCTATTCGTCTGAATCATGCTGCGGTGTGCAACCGACCGTTTTGCAGCTCCGGGAGGGTTTTCAGGTCTCCAAGGGATGGGTACGACATCCGAATTGGGAGAAGATAATGTTACAGAGGCTAATTTGCGACGAACGAGGAATGCGGTTGTCCCGGCCGTTTGCCGCCTCGAGTCCGACCAGGACACCGGGAACCCCCTCAAAGGCGGGGCATTTCACTCACGAGAATCTGTAGCGTACGGAATTGAGGCTGAAATACGGAGAGACTCGAAATTGAAGCGTACGAAATTGAGGCTGAAATACGGAGAGACTCGAAAACCAAGAGGATAAGGGTTGAGAGACTTCGACATCCTGCGGATCGACTTCCCCTGAACATTCGAGAGAGCTCACGGCTCCGAGGGGCAGATATTCTCCACTTGGAGAATCTGGGTTTAGAGCCGAACTCCCAAGCGAGCGGGATTAGCGCATCCAGTGGAGAAAGTACAACAATGAGCTGAGGCGTAGGAAATCGTGTCCCGGTGCATGACTTTTTATTAGTATCAATCAAACGTTACCTGGTAAGCCCATATTGTCTCCAAAATGATTCCCACCTAAGTCCACCAATCATTCAGAACCTCTTGCACCGTTGAATTTCGCTAGAGCCTCTCATGATGGTTTCACCTGAACCAAATTGCATCGGAGAATTTGCCTGTACACGTCCTTGTGAGCCAATGGATACCTTGGAAAATCCATCGCACGAAGACGAAAAACATTTTTTCAAAGAATAACGCTCATTACTCATATCAATCATTCAACATTATCTAAGGTTTTGTAAAGAAATGGTAAATCACAACAGTGGGATTTGTTTCAAGTCCTCTCCGGCTTCTTGCCGGTTGTGGTCGGAACTCGAGTCCTGAGAATTTCGGCTACTATTCCTCTACGCTGAGCTGAATCGCTCTCGACGGCGGAAGTTTTCTTATTTCTGCTTTACCGGAACGCACCGACGACTTTTGTAGGATGAGAGTTGCGTTTATAGCGGCTGATGTGTTAGTGATGAGTGGTATATGAAAATACTTCTACTAACAGCTGACGACTCGGCCATCGGGCTGTTGTCGATACTCCGGTAAATTTACAGCACTCGCTTCCTCCTCATCGAGGCGGGTGTTCTGTGTTCTCGCCCGAAGGACGTACGCTGTCGGAACCATGAAGATTCGTTCACAGAACGTGCACTAATCCTTGCAGATCTTTGTAGAGCTCTGTCTAGTGGAATGGCGCAATTCAGTCGCGATAGAGTCCACAACCATTTTCTACTCTAGGTGTAAAAACTCATGTTTCTTTTGAGATCCTTTCTCACTGTGTTCTCGCAGCTGGATTCTCGGCCCATCGGATAGGTTCGTCGTATCATTTGGTGAGGTTTTCTGGTGTCGCAAGACTTGAGACTACACCCTCAGGGATGAGCATTCCCTTCCGGCGCCATATCCGACGGACCATTTATGATGATACTCAATCGGTTCACTGATGAAAGTATCTACCGATCGATTGTCATCATAGAACTGCTGTAGCTGCGTTCCGATGTTTTCGCTGTTCGTTGGGGTCTTATGATGAGGATTGTCAAAAGAAGGAGAGCCATCGGTGTCACGAGCGAAGATGGCGAGCTGTCGAAGCTCGAGTTCTGAAACGGATAACATGAACATTTCGTCAATGCTGAATGATTGCTCCGGGGAGAAGATTCTGCTTCGTCTGCAACATTCAACCGAGATCGAAGCTCACCCTCGTTTTCAATTCGAAGGAGTACGGAGGGTTATTTGGTTATGCTTGGCTGGGGTACACGGCGCGGAAAGACTATCCAGCGCATCGGCGAAAATCGTATCCGCGGACTCCACGCCGGGACTGCGTAGAAAAGCATTATTCAGCCACGGTATTGTTGGGTACAGTGTGTGGCTTGGGTCATCTGGAGCCACGGCTCCGTTCCTCCGTCAACTCACCTGTCCGCATACGAAGCGGTCGCGTATAATTCTGACTGGCAAACGCAGCGATCATCTTGAGATATCATCTCTCCATGATGCACGCACAGGGGATTTGCGCAAACTCGGAAATTTTTCTTCTGGGCCTCATCTGGAAGGTCGTCTGAATTCAGAATTAATCAGAAACACTGTGTGTCTTCCCACAGCTCGTTTTCGATTGCAGTCCTCTTGGATTCACGTCTCGTCCCTCTTCCAGCCGCTTGTAGGAAGAGGGCTCGAACGAGGTAGCACCACCCACCTGCTCGAATGGCGATTGAAATAGGCTGAGCGACGGGCGCTGAACATTCCACTGGAGAACACATCACGTCCAGTGGGGGCGGTGATGCCCGGTGATCGGGGGGCTGCATGGCTTGTTTTTGAGCGGGAGCCTGAGCGGGAAAGCAAGCTACTTAATATTCCAGACCGTGACGGCTCGAGCACGGAGCGCAAGCGAGTGAGTAACCACGATTACACATTCCCTGTCTTCACAGTGCTTTCTGGGCCCGCATGATGCACACATCATTGAAAGCTCGCCCTGTCCGCGAAAGTGATTACCCACGAACGGGGTAATATTCCCGAGCGAACTCCAGGCCGACCGACTCCAGGCTTCTCATTCTATATTCGACATTCAAAGGAGAGAAACAATCTGAGGGACGAGTCCGAAGTTGTTCTTATCATGGGTCCCATTTCTAATTCAAGGCATAAATCATCGATTGTGAGGAGGTGCTGCGGATGAGGCAGTGGAGGTGTGTGCATCGAGCTAGCTTGATGTTTCTAATCGATTGGAATTTTAGTCCGATGCACGCAGAAGACGACGGAACGACTCCAGGGTGATGGTCATGGTCCAAGGGTCAACACTTGCAGGATTCGGGTACAGGAGAGAAGGATGGACTGATTGAGGGTAGACATTCCAAACAAACAGAATCTCTGAGTGAATTTCGCTCTTACCCACTGTCCTGTCTTCGACACCTGCCCGCTGTTATTTCTGTCTGACCGTCCGAGTTGGCAGACGCCATCTCCATTTGCGATGGAGATCTTGTTACGCAATGAGTTCTACTAAAAACCACGCCGCGATACCGATCGATTCGAGACGTCGAGGAAGTCATGTTTTCTCTCCTCACGAGTTTGCGATACTAATCGTCACTCTAAAATAATTCAAGCGTCAATGGGTGTTCCATCCAATTCTCGAGCATTCGCTTGAGAGAAGTCGAGGATCGAGGCTGAGACTCATGGTCGATCGCTATCCTCCCAAGAATGAGAAATCGGAAGGAACTGCGACAGACCGCGAATAATCCCGAGTCATGGGATATGAACATGCTTCCGGGTACCTCCCCCGGGCGGAATTCGCCAGAAGGCAAATGGTGTATCGTGTCGAGGCTATCGATAAATTCTGACAGGAGAGAAGCGAAGAGCGATTGGATAATTTTAGAATTTCATTCGAACCTGTTGCATGGACGGTTTGAGAGCGTTCGGAGCTTTCGCCACTTCCGCAGACATTGGAGCCTCTGCGGAATCGGTGTTCGTTTTGTCGGACTGCTCAGATAGGCTATTGTCACATATCAGCCTCCGACGTTCTTCGCAATCAGACTCGTCTTCTGTGGTTGTGTCTCCACTCTGAGGAGTATGCGCGAGCGGTTATACAGCGTGAATTCAAATGAGCATCATTAGCTGAGCCTGGATGAAGGCGCACACAACCACATACTTACCTCTCGAACATGGATCGGAATTGCTGTCGAATTCGTCCGTTCAGTCGCCGACGACGGTCTGTTCTTGAGAATCGATTTTTTCACTCGTGATTGGTTCTGCGGACTCGGCTGAGTCAAATTGAGATATTCTCCTCGAGTCGTCTTCGGTGATTTATGTTGGTGAGCAGAGAATATATTCACAACTGTAGGCCAATAAAAGAATTGTTATTCAACTCTGCCGATAGTTCCATGCTCAATAATGGGTAGTTGAGAATAATGAATCTTAATTCATGAAAAGCATGGTACAACGAGAACGGTATTAACATTTTGCAAGCTTCGATTTAGACGCATTCCTTTTCCGATTATTGGCAGAATGAGCCGGAGAGCCAATCATGTGAGGAGGTAGGAGAGAATCTGCCGATCCCGTTTGTAGGGCCCTGGACGCGTCCAGAGCGTCGAATCGGGCTTTAGTCCGGACCCCTGAGAGATGATAAGACGATGTTCACTCTACCCCTATTCTTTTCCTACGAGGATGCCTCCTGAGACCGCCTGAGCGATTGAAGAGCCGAGCCGATTTTCACCTTTCAGAAACTTTGGCGGATTGCAGACTGAAGGCGATGAGGGTGTCGTCGTCGTCGTCTCGTATGGATAGCTGCTGTTGTCTGTTGAAAGTCTTCGCCGCTGCGAAGGCGGCGTCGACGTATCTTCCTCTTGTCCCAAAGGAGGAAGAACGGCGGTGCGGTAGCTGGAACCGCTTTCGACGCTGCCTCGATCCCAGCGTATCGACGAGGGAGCCTCGCCATCCTGCAATGATCGGGTCAATCTCTTAGCGAATTCACGCTTCTCACACTGAAAGGTCATGCACCGGTCCAAGCGTCAAGGCCCCCAAGGCTCCCGAGGCTTTTTGGTCTCGATTCCGAGTACCGCTGAGCTCAGCTAAGCTCAGAACTCTTTCGACGAGAACACCAGAGGGGCTTTCCTTACCTCGACACAACTATCTTCGAACTAAATCCTCGTCTGACGCGACTTTCAAACTCTCGTTAGAATCCTCTCCCATGAAGTCGTCCCTCTAGAAGACTAGAAGCCCATGGCCCCTTACCCTCGCAATCACTTCATCGGATGAAGTGCGCCCTGTCTTGAGACCGGGATGCTTCATTTGATAGGGATAGACTCGAGCATGACCCTCCCATAAAATCACCGAAATTATCAGTGTCGACCACTCGGTTTCGGAACCGAATCACTCATTAGTTCTAATCACAAACCGCCTAGAGTTACGACTAATGTTGTCATCCTCAAGTTCCAGCATATGCTCCGTCGGGGCGTGAAGCACTGTCAGCGGGGTTGCATGCCAATTCCGTCCAGTGCTTCGATCCGAGCCTTGACACGAATCTCGTCATCGTATACAAAAGCTTTCTGCTGATCGTATAGTCTAGATTCACATTCTTCCCGAGATCCGAGTTGTGGTTAATTTCAACCAAATCCTCAGCACGCAACAACATTCGGGGTGCGACAGAGGGACCACAAAAGGAAATCAAAATAAGAGAAATCAGGGAGTTTAAGAGAAAATATTCCTCCAGCGAAATTTATTTAGCTCCGAAGAACTTGGACAAAAGTTTTCAGAGATCTGTATGAACAGTCTATGTAACAGAATGAGCGACCTTCGAACTTCTCGACTCCGCTTGGAACTTCGTATGTATACGACAGATAGATGCTATGAACAATAATCAAGGTCCCAGTGTCGGTGAAAATTTCGCGTACCGACTATACGCTTCCCTCCTCCTCTATCTCTCGATTGTGAGTCATGGAGCTGACATCGGCAGTGCTTCGGATCGAACTCGGACCTCCACATTCTTCCGCAGATACTTCAGGGCCAGAGCCTCTGAAATTTCCGGTGGGACTGTAGGAATTCGGAATCCGACACGAGTATCGGTCCATCAGCCTCGTCAGACAAAATATTGTAGACAAGCTCGATTGAATTTGTGTGTGCGAAGGCGGTGCCTTGGTTTTTTCCCCATTGCATAGTCTCGTCACTGGTGGCGAATGCGGTGGTGGTGATGGCAATTGTGAAGAAGGCGGTGGAGGCGCGAGTGAAAGTGATGGTGATGGAAAGTTTGTCGCCGTGCCGTGAACTATTCCGACACTTCCGAGGTTCGCACGAGGCACACGACACGCTACTTACGACAGGCAACGGTAGCACACTCAGAAGGGAGTCATAGATTGACCATGTGGACATTTCAGACGAACTGCCGAGCCCACTCAAGGACTGAGGGGGCGTTGGCATAAAGGGTCAAAATTTTTCACTTGCAATTTGCTGGAAATGGAAACCGCTTTTAGAGCTCGCCACTCCTAACAGACAGCGCAAGTAGTGTTTCTCCAGAATTTGTCTTTTCCCCTTCCAGCTCAAATGCGAGCAGTCGGGATCTCGAGGCACAGCGTCATGGCACCACCGAGCTAGGGAACTGCGATCGGTTCGGAGAGAGATTTCTGCGCTTCCAGGCGTAAGCACTCACGAAATGCTTCGGTACGATATCAGCTAGAACTATTAGGCGAGCTCTATTCCGGTGTCGGTGCGTGAGAGAAGCTTCCAAGAATTTTCAGTGTGACATTGGTGTGTCCGAAAAGGAAGTATAGGAAGTGAGATTTTCGAAACAAGAATCCTGCAACAATGCGAACGCGCAACAACAGTCGCATTATCGAGGACGACAACCAGTGATCGCAAACGTGGCAAAGACATCTAAGAATCAATTGCTCAAAAACGAGAACCTGTTCTCTTTGCGTGCTGCGAAATCAATCGCCCTCTTGCAATGCTGTTCCACCATTTCCAAAAGACGATGTGGAATCACTGTATTCATCTACATCAGCCGTCCAGAACACGACAGCATGAGCAGTTGACATAATCGCCGTAACCCCAAGACGCTATGATCATGGATCGCTCATCGAGCGTCTAGTTCACGGAGCCATTGCGTCGAGTCGCCGAGCAATCAATCGATTCTGAAATCCTTATAATCTAAGCTGGAAACAGATTTGTCTTTCTCTACACTCACCGGCGAATCGGCAGAATCATGAATCTCACTCGCACTCTCACTCCGATCGTACGGCGCTGATTGAAGCTGAGCGGCGCCAAGCGCGTTCAAAGGAAGACACTCTGTTCGATTATCTCTCTCCTGAAAGTTGCACATCCGTGAACGATGGAAGGAGGCTACGCTCATTGAGAGCAGAGCGCTGAAGGAGTAAATCATCGTGAGCCTGGCCATCGATAAAGTTGAACCCGTGAGCTATTCTCCGATGTGAGTCCTGAGTATGACCTCAGCTCCGATCATCGTGTTTCGATCCCGACCTCGTCAGGAGGATTCGTAACCCCAGCCACGAGCGGGCAGCAGCCGAGAACGAAAATTGCCACGAAAAAATCACGACGGCCGGAGATTACTTCCAATTCGAAGGAAGCAGAGCCGTTTCCGGTCGCCGCGGTCTCGGATCCGAGAACGAGAACGCTTCCACACTTCGACGCTCGCTGTAGGGAGGAAGGGAATCCGGTGGAACACTCCGACGAGATTCAAAGTGATTCGGCATCGATCCCAGCTCGGGCGAAGTGTCGGAGAGGAGCTGATCGGTGAGCGACTCTGCGACGCAAACCACCTCCAACTGGCTTGTGTGGAGATCGGAGAATCGCGTAGTCATCCGTTAGGTCCTGCGTCGTCAACCGCGAGCGCATACATGTAATCCTCATTCAGGAGCCCCTCAGTGTGTTGGACACAGCTGCGTTACCGTCAGTGTTGGTGCACATCTCAATCGATTTCGATAGGTTATATGTAGGTGGAATTTCTCGACAACCTGTGTCCGAGAGGAATGATACATATGTTGTACGAAACCGATTCTCTCGTTCTCGACCGCCTCTGGCGCAACCCGAATCCCCGAGGTCATCTCGGGGATCCGCTTGAGAGCCGGCTCGGTATCAGACATGAGGACAGACGCTGGGAGCGCTGAGTGACGGACGACGAGCATCACGGCCGTCACAAGGACGATAAGAATTCAATTGATCGCACAAGGGGATTCTGCCTCATCAATACGACCAAGGAATCGCAAGATCTAAACATTAGAAAGATTACTCTAAATTTGGAGAAGGCCGGGTTTGGCTCTGGCTTCCAAATGAGAACAATGCCTCGTATGCTCAGAAATTCTCATGGGCAAAATCGTCGCTCTGCCCCGCTCTTCCTTACCAGAAAGGCGTCTGAACTCTCGTCTCGCGAAACATTCAAACAAGAGATCGGACTTACGGCGAGTACACTTTTCTGTTACATTCCTCGGGAACGTAGTCCGGTGCGAACCGAATGCGAGCTTGGAGTGTTCAATTATTGGATCCGAACCGCGATTTCTTTGAGCTCTCAGCATGTAGGTTTGCGAGACTGCGGAGATATCTCGAGCTCGCCCCACCGCTCGAATTATCACAAATTGTGCTGTTCGATTACTTTTACGGTCTTTCGCTGGGGGAAATCTCCTGGATTCTGACTCGATCTCCGAACTAGACCTAGAATCGTCTTGCTCCGTCAAATTCTTTGCCTTCAGGATATATCATCCTTCTCTTCGTTCGGGGCATCGAATAACGACGACTCGAAGTTCTTGTCATTTCCCTTTCCGAAAGTAATCCTGAATGAAGACAAGCTTGTCATGGGTCTATCGCGTAAACAATGGCTTTGAATGTACACCTCATCGATATCGTATTGTAATCCTCCCTGAGAGCTCCAGCCACGCATTTCACACTAACCTTATTATCTGTCGGCTGTTGATTAACGTCTATGAACTCGATAGTCGGATCTTCGCCATCTGAAAATGTCAGAAAAAAATCTCAGCGGGAATCTCAGGTCGTTATGCAGCAGACTTCTTGCGATCAGCGGTCAAGCTCCGATTAAAATCAGGCTCCATGAGACACATCGGATGGCTGCCGTATCCCGACCTCTATCGACAATGCAATGCACGCAGACGTCAGACCCCACTGTGGGCATTATAGTGAATTTCCTGTTCCCCCGTCGAGATGAGAAGGATCGCAACCATCGAGGAGTACTTTCGGTCCGCGGGGGAACGCTCTCCGAGAGCAGCCGTCTGTCGCGAGAAAGCGAGAATCGAGTTCCCCGGACCGAGTAGGAAGACAGCCCGTCATGTGACCGAATTCTACAGCCGGCTACCAGCCGATGCGACATGGACTCCGCGGATGCGCTTAAGCAGTCGTCAGCGAGGTTTCGCAATGTACACCTACCAAGTATATTCTTACCAACAGCGACCCGGGCAGCATTCTGAGTCGTGGAGACTGAACTTAGATCTTTCTTCTCGGCGGCGATAACGCTCTTATTATGGACGCCACCTGGTAGCTGATGCTCAAAGTTTCGGTAGCACCCAGCATCGGTTGTGCCTCCACGACCATTCGAGTCGGCGTCGATTGACGCTGCGTCCGCCTAAGCAGCAGGAGAAAACGCGTCAGATGGAGCTAGAACTGATGTCGGCAGCTCAAGTTCCCCACGTCGATGTCGAGCCCGGTCTGCCCCGCAATTGATTCACCCAGGAGCACGATTATCGTGAGAGATTGTGTTTTCGATTCAAGCACGAGGGTCGATGCGACGGTGAGCCAGGGGTTGGAATCGCTCCTCCACTCACCTGATTGATGGTGTGCCCTGAATCAACAAGCACATCGACAAGGTCCATGCTCTTGGCGAAGGCGTCTCGGAGATTGACGTGGTGAAAAGAGACGATACTTCCTTCTCGCCTGGCGCGCTCGAGCGCTTCTTTTCGTTTCAGCGCTTTTTCACGGCGCATCTGATTCTTGTAGAACTCGGCGAAGTTGTTAACGATAATGGGAATGGGCAGGGCAATAACGAGCACCCCGCAAATGGAACACACGCTCCCTACAATTTTGCCCAACAACGTCGTCGGGACGATATCTCCGAAACCAACGGTCGTCATTGTGATCACAGCCCACCAAAACGCTTCCGGTATGCTGCCAAACTTGGTACCGTCTTCGTCTTTTTCGGCGAAATAGGCCAGTGATGAAAAAATCATCACGCCGATGGCCAAAAACAGCATGAGCAGACCCAACTCCTTGTAGCTATTGCGGAGGGTGAAGCCTAATGACTGAAGTCCGGTCGAATGTCGGGCTAATTTCAGGATTCGGAGTATTCGCATAATACGAAACACCTGTACGACACGACGAACGTCCTGGAAGTGATCTACTTTGGCTGCATGGGGGTCGTGTGGTTTCGACGCGTCCTGCTCCTCGGTCCTGTCCATGATCAGCGATATGAAATACGGCAAGATGGCCAACAGGTCGATGATATTGAGCATGCCTTTGAAGAACTTCCATTTGTTCGGTGACGACAGAAAGCGGAGAATGTATTCGAGTGTGAACCATGTGATGCACACAACTTCGATATAAGCCAGCGTATCGTTCTCTCCCATGCTATCGCCTCGCTCGTTTTTCTTTTGCAGAGCAGGCACTGTGTTCAGGGTGAGTCCTATCGTCGAAAGTATGATGAAGAGGATCGAGAAGATAGCTACCACCTGCAGTAAATCAACAACGGCCACTGACATCAGCTGCTAGCGCGACAATATTTCGATTACGGAAAACATCTTATTATTCGTAAAATCTAAAATTCAGCTCCATGAAGCTAGACGGACATATTGACATAAGGTCCGAATAGAGGAAAGGCTCTATCGTCAACGGGGTAGGAGAGATTCATTCAATTCGATCACCGCAGGAGACCGTGAGAAACAACGACCGTAACGAAAAAGGGAGGGCGCACCACTCCATAAACAAGGAGAATATTGCTCGGCAAAACTCTTCACATCGATTCCTCCCATCGGCGGCCGAGCGAGCAGCCTTCCGACCGGCTCGAGGAAACTCGGACGAAATTGTATCGCACACCGAGGATGTCGCTGATGATAGAATGTCACGGAAGCGGAGACAATGGCGTGTCACTACACAAAACACAACTCCGAATATTTTCTCGCCGAGCGAGCAGCTTCAGCGAGACGGGGAAAGGAATTGGAATTCTTATTCGAGACAGGAGGCGACGAAGTCCTTTACTTTCTCCACGTACGATTCCTTTTGGAATTCGCGAAATTCAGCTCGAGACGGAGATGGACAGAGCCTGCCCGAACGGGTACGTTCAGTGGAAACGCGAGGATTTTAGCGTAAGGCACGGGATATTCGATCACTAGAAACTGCGGATGATACCACTCGAGCAAATACCGCCAAGCTTGGGTCAGTCGGGAGAGCCGAAATGGGCCGGAAGTCGCGCGAAACCCAGATCAATTTTCGTGAAGGAGAAAAATGAGTCAAAAAATCGATGGAGCTTCGCTGATGTTGTACGAGAGGGGGAGGTGCGTGCTCGTCCGCAACTCAAATATTGTTTCTCATCGACATTCTCCTTGTGGCCAGCACCAAGCGAGCTTTTCCTATTGTCCTTGAAAGAAACTCGATCCTTCCGTATCCTAGAGTCAGCGGTTAGAACTAGGGTCGGGGTCTGGATACATCTGACGGAATCGATAACGGTAGTATGCGGTTACACAGATGCACATGATGCCACAACGTCAAGACAACATTCTAACAACAACATCGACTCAAATTTCGTATCTAGATCCCTGGAGAGCTCGTCGGTCTTCCGGGAGCCGCTGCGAACAGAGATTTGACTTCCGGGAAAGCTTGCTATTAGAAGGATTCGCCACTCGATCCCGTTCCGGACAGAGAGGTTTAAGACACGCGTGTTAGACTTGCGAGGAGACCGTTGTCGCCTTGCCCATACCCATCATCACGTTATCCATTAGAATATTGAGGTTTCAATGCGAGTTGCAAAAAACCTACGCTGCAAGAGAGAGTTAGTATGCATGCGGTCGGGAGAGATCTAATTCCTCGGAATGCCGTGCGGGAGAACACTTAGGCGTCATTGGTGGCATTCGCGGAAAAAGCGCTGCTCGTCGAGCGTGTGCACACAGTCATAGCGGTCACTCCGGAAAGCATCGATGGATATTCGAAAGTTCTGTCGCTCCTCGCTCCGGACATGCTCTGCTCCAGCCTCGGAGGAGTGTCTCTTCTCAATGCGCCACGATCAATTCAATCAACGTCCCTAAGTACGATCACCGAATGCTCTCGAAAGCCACGAACGCCGAACTCTGGATTCCTCTGGTCCCGTAGGGAACGCGGAGAAAATATTCGCTAGGTGTATCAGGCAACCATCTATGATCTAATTCCCCGCATTCAGCTTTTTCGAGTCGTTGGAGATCACTACGACCAGTGCTAGTCTCGCATAGGAGCGATTGTGGGCAATAGAACCCGTATCTGAGGCAGAGAGAGAAAGAGCATTCCTTGGACTTACTCTAGCCGCCATAGATGATTGTGGCTTTTCCAACAGATCCCAGATGTATTTTTGAAATTGAGCTCTCCTCCCCTCGCCGAAGTACTCTTCGTCCCTTTGTCGGAGGCTTTCCGCCTCCTTTCGCATCTCCTCGTGCACGTGCTCCTAGGAACGTAATCGGCAAATCAGATCCAGCTCGTTGACAGCTCCCGACACGACCTCTTCCGTTGGATACGGATTGATATCGAGAACACACCTTCCTTTGGTGGTACTTGTGTTGACAGCAGCTCTCCAAGTACAACTCATCGATGCCCCAATACTCCAAATCGTCCGCAAACGCGATAACGCACATTTCTTCGACGAGGTGTAATTTGCCCGTCCTGACGGAGAAAACGAGAGGCTCGTAAGTATTGGCTTCTCGCTGGAGATCTGACCGGCGCGGCGTCGTGCAGGGGGAGATACGATCGACGGACCTCATGACAATGGCTCACCGAAAAAAATTCAGAACCGCCCCGAAGGACTTTGGGTGTCGATCGAAGAAGTATTCGTTGTCAACTAGCGAGTAGTCGTCGCAGAGTTCCATAATGGCCTCGTGCGTATTACACTCGCGCAGTCGACCCAGTCGCGTATGCGGGAGGCGTTCCAGGGTTCGCCACAGAACCTATAAGGAGTGAGAACCTTGAGCTGACGACGCAATAGTCGGAGGTTCAGACGTCGTCTCATGGTCGATCGAATCATTCGGCAACGAGGACTCCCCGGACCGCCGAGAGATATCGAAGCATTAGAATTACTAACTTCGTGTTTTAATCCGCCAACGTTGATGACGACTCGTTTGTTGAGAGCCTTTGATCTCATGATCATGAATGGTTCGGGCGGTAAAGCTGTTAGGGATCGAGAGAAGTTCCTCTGAGCCGCCCCAAGTGGACTCGCGGTGCTGGCCACGGGTACCATGGACCGCGTGGGGTTGGCCGGGAGCTGCGGCGTTTGAGGAACTGCCGCACCTCCTGGTAACGCAGCCATATTTGGGGTGTTTCGCGTAAAAACCTCCCCGAGCGGGTCGTCGTTGGCGATGGTGCTGTTGTAGACGACGACGTCGCCGTCGTCGTCGTTGTTGCTCCCGTCCGAGACGACTATGTTTTTTTCGGGCGCCTAGACGCATGCCACTTCCCGCTTGTTGAAAGCTGCTCCATGACTGCCCAGCGCCTTCAAGCTTGGATTCTTCTCTTAGCTGCGTCCAGGCGCTTCGCTTCACCGTTTTCCAATCCACAATTGACGTTGCTGCAATCGGAAGTCGCTCTTCAAGCATTTTTCCTGCCTGAACCGGTTTTTATTTCTCCTAAATAGTAGAGTTCGCTTGCCTTGAGGTAAGAGAGCGATTAGAGACACAGGGACAAAAAGCGGTCCGCGACCTCTCAATCTGTTGGTTGATTTCCGATCTGGCCAGCTTGTTGCTGTCGTTATGGTCGGTTTCGTGGTAATTGTCGCTGAAGGTCTCAGTTTCCGCGGCAATGCAATCCTTTCTCCCCTCCTCGTCAGCCTTTCGGCCTGATTCTTCCCCAAGGGATAGTTCGATTTTCGTTGCGGATGGCTGAAGTTGGGAGGGGCTCTGAAAATTCCCAGACCTATTGTAATTCTTCCTCGCTCGACGTCTCGTGAAGCGGTAACTCGAAACAGGAAGCTGAACTTCTCCCTCATCCCGGCTCCTCATGCTGAATCCACCGCGTGACGACAATCCGAAAAGTCCGCCGACGATGCGGTCGAGCGGGCGCACTCAGTCAGTCAGGAGCCTCCAACCGGGCCAGGAGTGAACTGACAAGCTGTTAGAGCACTCATCGACTCCACGCTTCGATAAGATCCGAGATCTTGATTCACTCAGTTACGGTAGCCCTGGTCGGTCTCGAGCGGACTTGATCGTCAAACGACGAAATACTGTCGGAAATGGCATCATTCGCCGAGCGAGACGTCGATTCAAATCGAGTCGGAATGCAACGAGTGGGTTTCTTGAACTCCTATCTAAGTACACTCACCTTCGTGTTCTACGGCAGCATTCGTTTGAAGCGAGGTTTGAGCCACTTCAGCCTCCGCATTTCATCGGCAATTATCTGGAATTTAGAAAGTACCACGGATCAATCCGGGAATCCATCGTTCGACCCGCGCGGTTCCCATATCTCCTCTCTACTCCTCTCCAAGCTGACATTAGCGCCATGAGTAAGAATGGCGCATGGATAATCAAGCATCTATCTATTCATCTATATCTGTTTATTCTATATCATATTAAATAATAATTATAAAATATAACATACGTAATGATGATAGAATGACAATGATTAGATAATATATAATGATGATATAATGACAATCATTAGATAATATATAATGATGATATAATGACAATGATCAGATGATATACAATGATGATATAATGACAATCACCCCCTATAATAAAAGCGTATGTCTGTCTGTCAGTCAGTTCACACCTTATGGACCATTTCGTCCCATGATTTGGACCTGATTTTGTGCTCACTACACGTGGGGTGATCCATTATCATTCCTATGTGACTTTGGCATTATTTCTACCGATCATTCCTCTGAGCGAAGCGAAAAGCTCCGACTTTTTTCCAGTATGCACTATGACGTCAGCATTGGCGACAACATTGCAATGCTGGTGATTAGATATAATCTATCGGTTAGTGACGGCGAAAAATTTATGTCGGGGAGTCACACCTTCAGAGACTCGATTCTCTCGTTCTCCTGAAACCTCGTGCTGAGAATAATTCTCCAAGACGCAAATCAGATCACCCTTGAAATCACCATCGGACCCCAGGGTCTTGTTTCCTCTCGCACGACGTAACTTCGTTGTTGTTGATGCGAACATTTCGGAGCCACAGATTTCAGGCGCCGGGGGAATTTCGATCGGAGAGTGTACGGGCTGCCGACATGACTCTCATTCACTACGTCGCGTCGACGTGAATTCTCGGCGACGAGCACGGCGGCCATGCGAGCATAGCATCATTTAGCGGATCGATGAATGGGATTTCCCCGGTCTGAACGGGCACGAGTTTCGTGCCCTGCTCGGCAGAATGACTGATGTCATCCCTAACGTCCGGTCTGTCTCCGTCTCTCGAGGATCTCTCCTCGGACGAGCTTCCTCATTGTAACGTTGAAGCGAACTAGACCACTCGGGTACATGTATTGGATTTCGAAACTCGCTCATCTGCCTCCTCATCTGGGCGACATATATTTTTCTCGTGGCTTCAAAGAACCGCTCGACGTGGTGGAGCCGAATCGGAAGAGGCAAGGTGAATATCGATCCGACTCGGATCGCCAATCCCGTTTTACTGCGGAGGGGCTCCTGTCAAGACATATTGGACAAGTGAGTTTCCTGCTTTTACATACATGTTATGATGGTCACTCCGAAAACGAGGAGAACCTCCTCTGCGACGAAGGCATTCCCTGGGAAAATCTTGGAAATGGTAAATTTCGTGGAGGAAACTTTGGTCCCGCAGTCGAGAGTCTGAGCTCGAAGACGACAGTCGGTGACCGCCCGCGTCACGATACGACCTCGTTCCTCTCCTGACGCAACTCGATTGAAGCCGTCCCCATGTTCAAGTTCGGAAAGCCTCGTATAATTCGCGACCCTGAGGAGAACGGATCTCTCACAAGATGCTTCTCAATCTATCAGGGACTTGCGATGTCTGCGTGTAGCTCGGCAGCGCCGACAATTACCTAGTTTCCTCTCGGGTTCCGAATCGAAATCAGAGTGGAGAAATCAAATTAGCGGAGGCAGCACAGAGTCCGAACACAACGCGCAACGTTGCAACTTCTAATACATACATATGAATCAAGGCGCTCTTTCGGAAGGAACTCTCTCGGCAAGATAGATGCAACAGTCACTCGTTCGAAACCGGTCATCCATCGAAGTGCTTTTCGAAAAAGGTATTTCCGAACATCAGCAGAGTATCGCCCTTCAGAGGCATTGCTATCCGCCGGCCGACGGCCTGACCTCGTACGTGTGTCTGTCTGCTCGTCCGTCCGAAAGCCTGACCGCCCGCCCGCAAGCTCGTTCGTTCGCCCGTTTGTCTGTGGGATGTGTGCGAGTGTGTGATTGCCGAAAGTTTGTACGGCCGCAGGCCTATTTGTTGGGAGAAGAAAGGTGAGCAGCTGAACCGAGCTATCAAATGTTAACAGCCACATCGACACCCATAAACGAAACAATCTCCGTGCCCGTTGAAGCGAGTTCGAGAGACACCGTGGAGACCGACCGACCGTCGGGCGGACCGTCCGACCGACGGACCGAACGACTGACCGACCGATCAACGGGCCAGCCGACCATCCATCAATGGTGGTCCAAGCCGAATGGGCCAATCGAAGGGTCTAAAAACTCAATTGTGTTTCTCTCTCGAAATCTCGCATGCGGGACCATCCCGGAAAAAAAAGCCGAGGCATAATATTTTTCAGCAAGAAGGAAAAAATATATTTTGATTGATGCTCGCATCGTGTTGTTGCATGTACAATGCCATCGTATCGTTCGTAAACACACAGTCTCGGTGGCGCACTCGGGAAACAACACTCACTCAGCTCTTGTCGAGTAGGCACGCTAAGTGAGCATGTTCGAAAACTGAGAGTCTTTGGACGCAGCTTGTACGTCGCCGACAGCGTGGCGACTCCGTTCGGTGATGTGTTGCTATTGCTGTTATGAGAGCTTTCCTGATTCGCTTCTGCTGCTGCCGCCGCCGCTGCTGCTGCTACTGCTGTCGCCGGTCTTCGTCGTTGACGTTGCCCATCCTGGGAGGGTCCCGTTGGCTCGCTGCCAAGCATGTTCCATTGCAGTTCGTAGAAGAGCGGTGAGCGAGTAACATATTCCGGTAGCGAATTGATGCCCCGCACGAAAGGACGGAATCGACGAAAAGTACGACCTGATACGAAACAATTTGTGTCTCCGCACTTCCCCATCCGACGAGCTGGTTCTTCTCTGTCAAGCCCTTCGGACCTCTCGACTACCTTTACCTCGTCGACGACTACTGCTAACGAACTGTATATGTACGTATATCGTCCGGGTACTCCGGTGTCATCCTCTTCCGTGCGGCGACGTATTCTCTTCTCACTCCGGGGAGCGAGAAGTCTGACGTTTTGAGTCGCAAAGAGTTCCCTCACTCCTTCTTTCCACGTATATTACTGCACGCTGGTACGCCAACTCGGCACGACACTTCAGGGAGCCCATGCGGTGCTTTTGTGAATGTGCGTTTGAGCACTCGCGAGTCTTGACAAATGCTGAATGTAGGAGATAGGAAAATGAGTGCCGCCCTCGCGAGAGCCGGCTCTTGGGTCGAACCCCAGATCAGTTAGCAGCAGTGGCGGCAGCGGCTGCAGCAGCAGCAGCAGGTGTCAACGGTCTCGAGACGTCCGCCCTTCGTTCGCACGGCGGAGACAAAGAGCCGGGACGTCCATTGAAATTCATTCACTCATGGTGTGACATTTGGCTAGCCGCCCAAGGAGACGATGCTCCATTGGCTTTGTGTTTTTTCTTCGGCCGTGTATCGCGTGGCGAGCACTGCCGTCGGCGGCACCGCCTCCGTCGTCGTTCCGCATACTGTGCGGATAGTTCTGCTGCGACGGCAATATGCTGTTGCGCGTGAACCTCATGAAGGCACACGTCGACATAGAGGCGAGCACGGTCGTCTCCCGTTTGACTCCTGAACACGAAGTCACGTTTACTCATGATGGACCACGTTTGGGGTTTGGGGAGATCACGGTAGGTTTTAGCGTCGCAAGGACAGGCCCCACATACGGAAAGTGGAGCAGATGCATCGGCTGAGCTGTTGCTCGTAGCGAATCCATCTCAAGTTGTGAATATTACGCGTCATCGCGTCAGATTCCGTTACCGACTGAGCGTGAAGAGCTCGTTCTCCGTGAAGCGCCTAGAGGAAGCTGCTCGTGACGGCGCGGCGTGTCGTCGTCGTCGTGACATTAAGAAGGGCAATCTCCTGTCCCTAGACCTTCAATGCGAGGAATTCGCTCGT